CGCATGTCGTTAGTAATTGGCTGAGCGGTTGCTTAGAATTTAATCAGACACTAGGCAATGGGGGACCTTATCATGTACCACTTACTGTCTTGTTGTGAACAATGGCCTGTAACCATTTTGTTACCAACCATTTTGCGAAGAGCATAATCTCACTCTTGATTAGTTATTCAACTAAAAAACTGGTTCAGTGCTAGTCTTTGTAGCTTAAATGATTAAGAATATTTATCTATGCATTTAAGGTATTAGGTTCGATATTCGGCTCCCAATATCGCGTGTATCCAAAAAACAAAACAAAAATGGTTCAGTCAAAATCTTGAGCTCACTGTGATCTGATGAACTCGTGCATATTTTTTTTTCTGTGTGTATAGTTTTAGACTGGTTTTCACTTTTATCTACATTCCTCTCTTTCTACTACCATTATTGTCCCATAGGCCACAGCAGCTTGTCTATATGATATCTCAAGACAAACAAGATATACGGTTCCATTCTGCCAAAAGCTGGCAGAATACTGAATTGGGTCCAATCCAAGCTAGTCAGACTGAATGGTAGATTTGTTCAAAACCCCGAGCTGCAGTTGGTCATTGTTACATGTTCTCAATCACACAAACAATTTGTTCACCAACCAAAAAATCACACAAACAATTTTCTTTTCTAGTTAATAATCTGAGTCTGGAGGGCTATAAAGAGGGATACCTTAATAGCCATCAAATTAGTTTCAGAGTTCTTATTGAATGACCGGATTGAACCCGTTAACATAATCCCTTCATTATAACAGCTCCCAATTCATCATCCCTCACCAACATTGATTTGACCCTCCTATGGTCCTAACCCTTCTCTGTTGAAGCCATGAACCATCGATTGATCCTACAACATACAGAAGAGATGAGGCCCAGAGACAAAGGGTACAAAAACTTAAAGGCATCGTATGAGGCTTCCAAACCAAACTTGTATTCAATCTGGGCCTGTTTAAAGCAACCAAATCTCTCATTTTTGAACTCAAATGTAAGGGATGTGGGCTTAATCCATGGCCCAATTATAAGCTGAAGTGACTTGCTTTGACATGTTCTTCTCCCATCCAATGCAATTTCTTTCTGTGATGTGGAGAAGATTAACTCGTAAAAGTCCCACAAAGTGTCTTCAAATTTCGAGTGCTTTTGGAAAACCAAGAGTCTGCTTCTGCTTCTGCCTCATTTTGCAGGTGCCACTTTCTAAACCAAGAGGCTGCTTCTGCTTCTGCCTCATACTATATCTGCAATTTTGGCTGGCTGATTCCAAAAAATATGAAGTCCTTGAAAATTGAGGAAGTTGTACAAATATTTGGTTTGATAGACCACGGAAATTCTAATTTGTATAGATTACGATTAATGTGTACAAATAACTACATCATAATTACGATGTCTAATTTTAATATTCACATAAATACTTTTTTTCTTTGATACGATCGTGAGTGTCGGGCTCTGTTTGAAATGATTCACACCAAATTCATTGTGATTGTTATATTAAAATAAACATTTAATTGCTTTTACTTTTACTTTGATCTTTCAAATCCATAACTGCTTTAGTTTTACTTTTAATTTGATATTTCATTTGCCAACACATTATTCATATGCCTTTTTACCTACCATGCACTTTATCCTGCGTTACTGAGCCACTCATAGTTGTAAATTTTTAAAATGTGATCAATGTTTTTTCTTTGGTCCCTAGATAAAAAGGAGGACCCTTTCAATTTTTATTTGTATGATTGTGATTGAGCACTCACAAATAGTTGTAATAAAGCCAAGGATCTAAATAAATACAAGAGATATTGGGGGAGAGGGGGAATCGAATCTAAGACCTCCGATACAAGAGTAGATGCTTTTAATCACTTTAACTACAAGTCCATTAGATACTCTTAATCACTTTAACTATAAGTCCATTGATGCGAAAGATCATTTTAGTACTGGTTATTAGACCAAACTGAACATATTTGGATTAATAAAAAGGAGCATGCTAGAATTTTGAAGGATGGAAAAGCTCATTTCACGCATCATGCGAAATACACGAGGATTAACTGACTTGGATAGATATAATTATTTGTTTCTGTCAATTTTGGCTACTCTAATCTCAATCTTCTCCTTATTAAGATATTATGGGGTAATCAAACCACAATAATATTCATCGTGATTGTTATATTAAAATAAACATTTAATTGCTTTTACTTTTACTTTGATCTTTCAAATCCATAACTGCTTTAGTTTTACTCTTACTTTGATATTTCATTCGCCAACACATCATTCACATGCCTTTTTACCTACCATGCACTTTCTCTTGCGTTACTGAGTCACTCATAGTTGTAAATTTTTAAAATGTGATAAATGTTTTTTCTTTGGTCCCCCGATAAAAAGGAGGACCCTTTCAATTTTTATTTGTATGATTGTGATTGAGCACTCACAAATAGTTGTAGTAAAGCCAAGGATCTAAATAATTTGTTGATACAAGCGATATTGGGAGAGGGGGGAATCAAACCTAAGACCTCGAATCAACGGCGGATCCAGAAATTTTTCAGCAGAGGTGCAATTTTAAAAAGTTAAGAGCTCAAAATAAAAGTAAAAAGACAACTAAACATCCTTATAATTTAAACAATACTAATGTTATTCATAATTAATTAAAAAAGACAACTAAGCCTCATCCTCCTCAAGTTTGCTATTGATTTTACTAATACAGAGAGAGCTAAATAAGAAAAAAAATTTATTCAAAAAAGAAAAAAAAACAAAAAACAAAAAAAGAATAAACAAAATTGGCATTTGCTCAAGAAAAAAATAAATATGCATTCGACTTACTTTGGATTGGCATACTCAAGAAGAAAAAAAAATGCAGGATTCTTGTGATGCACACACACTTTGATGAAATTGGGGAATGTTAAATTGGTCTTTTATGAAGAGAATTCCTAATCCCACTTAAATAAGGAATTCTCAAAACCCAATTGAATAAAAGGAACTCCCAATTAAAACCCAATTAAATAAGGAATTATACCAAGCCCTTTGAAAAGCCCACGCCAGCAGTTTCCCTTTCTTTATTTTTTTCCTTTATTTTTTAAACCCTGGTCCAAAACGACGTCGTTTTGGCCAGGCTTCGTTTTAAAAAAAACAAGCGCGCAAGCTTTGCATCGTTCCTGCTTGAAGGAAAGGGCCGCACTATTTTTAGCCACTCAGAGATAGCCTTTTTGATCTTATTGGCTTAAGCAGACCATTCATGAGCAGATAAGATCAAAGAAAGCAACCTACAGTCTCATCCATGCATACTAACTATAAACAACTGATTTGCTTATTCAACAACTCTCTAATCAGTTTAGGCTAGTGGTTTGGGCATTTCGTCAAACAGGTTGTGTGCGTCCAGCAGAGGTGCAACTCCAGCAGTTGTAATGGAGTTTTCCGGCCACCGGAGGTGCAGGTGCACCTCTTTGCGCCAGATCCGCCACTGCCTCGAATACAAGAGTAGATGCTCTTAACCATTTTAACTCCAAGTCCATTGCTGCGAAAGATTATTTTAGTACTTGGTCATTAGACCAAACTAAGCATATTTGGATTAATAAAAAGGAGCATGCTAGAAATTTGAAGGATGGAAAAGCTCATTTCACGCAACATGCAGGGCCCAATTATTTATTGTTTTTTTCCCCCCTCTATTATTACAATTATTTGTTGACTTGATATATGCAGAATTTTGAAGGTTTTTTCTTCTTCCCGGATTATGATACTACTATTTGTATAATATTAATTAGATATCTTTGTCATTCTGTAATTATATAACACTTTCAATGTCACTATTAGTGAGTTTTGGGTATTAACTGGTATTTTATATGTGCCATGAGAAATACACGAGGATTAACTGACTTGGATAGATATAATTATTTGTTGGGAGATTCACTATTATACCCAATATGGGGGCATAAATTATAAAAATACCCCATATGAAATAGACTTTATAAACACACCCAAAGCCCATTTACAACATAACAATGAGGCTTTAACTTCTTATAAATTACAAAACTACCATAAATTTCTTAAAACAAGCCCAACCCCAAAATCTCATAAAAATACCCAAAACACTCAATAGGGCATTAAAGTAATTTAATAATTAATATTAAATTCAATAAGGCCAGCTGTCATTTTATGGGTTTTTTTTGGGTTTGTTTATAGAAATTCAAAGATGTCGGGTTTATCTATAATATTAGTGCTAAGAATGGGTATATCACTAAATATCTCTTATTTGTTTCTGTCAATTTTGGCTACTCTAATCTCAATCTTCTCCGTATTAAGATATCAAACCACAATAATATTCTACTATATCTTAATGTACTGTTCCGCAATCATTTTGACATTGATAGCAATTAGCATTACAAATTTTCTTATATATCTTTATCTTTTCGTCACCCTCCATTACGCGGCTAAAATGATTACTAATCTACACGCTTGAGCACGGTTCGGATTGAATCGATATTTATTCAAAATCGCAAACCTTACTATAAAAAAAAGCATTAAAAAGTACCAAGAGTTGAAGTTGACTAGCACAAACTGATTAATCTAGCACCATAACGAAGGCTTTGTAGTTTTTTTTTAATTCAAGTTGGTTAAAGTTCACGGGTTCAATTCTCACATTGTCGCGTTGACGTTTTTGGTGTCATCATATGTTTGAAGTCTAACAACTCCCATGATTTCATCAACTAGCAGCACTCACAAATTCACAACAAACAACCCAGATGCGCCCCCTGGTTTGGTTTCTCTCTTTTTTTGACTTCTCCAATCTCCCCTGTTTCAGCCACTTTCACTCTCTCTCTCTGTTTTTATTTTATATAAACCAACTTCCCATTTCCAAGTTTCCATATCCCCTCCAAATCTCACCCCAACTTTCTCAACCTTTTCCTTCCTCATTCCCAAGTTATCTTAGCTGACAGCAACACCAAGAAGCTCTTTCCTGTAAGGCAAAATTGCCCTTGCATAGCATATAATTCATTGGGTGCAGCAATGGAGATTCAAGAGCACCGATGCGATTCGTTGTCGGAAACAGAAAGCACAGGGGTTGGCCATAGCGGTCCGTTAAGCGGACCCCTAGTGACCAACAAGAGGAACAACAGCACCAAAAGAAGTGCAAGGTTCAAGGCCAGCGATCAAGAAGAATGCTACGTTGAAATCACGTTGGATGTTCGCGACGACAGCGTCTTGGTGCACAACATCAGAGGAGGCGACTCTGAGACTGCAATGCTAGCGAGCAAGATAGAGAGAAGGCCTTCATCGCTGTCTCTTGGCTCCCAACTCTCATTCAGATTGAGACAAGTGTCCCAGGAACTGAAGCGCATGACATCTTCCAAGAGCTTCAAGAGGGTCGATAGGACCAAGTCCGGGGCTGCTCGTGCACTCAAGGGGCTCAAATTCATGACCAAAAATGTGGGCAGCGAAGGCTGGTCAGAAATCGAAACAAGGTTTGATGAATTGGCTGTCGATGGCACTCTTCCTAAGTTGAAGTTTGCCCAATGTATAGGTACGAAATGTTGTCACACCTTGTCACATTGTTTTATATATGCACTACAATAACATCGTTTGAAAGTTATAAACGGTGTCGTTTGTGACAGGGATGAACGAGTCGAGCGAGTTCGCTGGCGAGTTGTTCGACGCGTTGGCTCGTCGGAGAGGCATAACAGCAGGTTGTGTGACCAAGGATGAGTTGAGAGAATTTTGGGAGCAGATTTCAGATATCAGCTTTGATGCCAGGCTACAAACCTTCTTTGACATGTGAGGCTTACTTCATTATTGACTGTGTCTATCCCTTTGATTTAGGGCAAAAAAGGATTTTGTTAGCCTAGCCAATTCGTGTCACAAGGGCAACAGAATTATTGCCACAGCTGCTGATCATGTGCAGACAGAGCCCATATGAGATGATGATGATGTGTTCATAATGTCAAATCATTCTGCTTAAATATAATTTAATAAAGGGCATTTAGATAAGACTAAAGTTCAAAAAGAAAAATAAAATAGATTATCATAAATTTAATATATTAGGTATGTAGGAATTCTTTGTTTTTTCCATTGTCTCTAGCTAACACATGCATGGTTGAATGAAGGGTGGACAAAAATGCAGACGGTCGAATCACAGAAGAAGAGGTGAAAGAGGTAGACTTCTTCGGAAATTCAAATGGTTGACTATTTTGATTCTATGTTTTGTTTATATTAAAAACGAAACTAAACATCATTATATTTGTTTAATTTTCAGATTATTTCCTTAAGTGCCTGTGCTAATAGGCTGTCACAAATTCAAGAACGAGTTGAGGAATATGCAGCTTTGATCATGGAAGAGCTGGACCCGGACAACATCGGATACATTGAGGTTAACATCTTTTCATTTTCAAGTCTTGACTTCATTTGGGCTCAGCCCGGTCTGGTCCAAACTCGATTGGGCCAAGTTCATCTTGATTGGCCCATAAGTATTTGGAGTTGTGTGGCCTTATAATCACCAAGTTCTCAATCCTAACAATTTGGGCCTCAATTGCAGTTGTACAATTTGGAAATGCTACTTCTCCAAGGCCCAACCCAATCAACGAACCTCGTCACGGACAGTGGTATCCAGAGCCAGTTGCTAAGCCAAAAACTAGTCCCAACCAAAGAGCACAACCCTATACGGCGGTGGTACAGGAGGCTGGCCTACTTCATGGAGGACAATTGGAAGCGGATTTGGGTCATTGCCCTATGGATTTCGATCTGTTTGGGCCTATTCACTTGGAAATTCATCCAGTATAAGCATCGGGCCGTCTTCGATGTAATGGGCTATTGCGTGTCCATAGCCAAGGGTGAAGCTGAGACCCTCAAGTTCAACATGGCCCTAATTCTCCTACCAGTTTGTAGAAATACAATTACTTGGCTAAGGAGCAAGACCAAGTTAGGGGTTATAGTTCCCTTTGATGACAACATCAACTTTCATAAGGTATCATGCTACAAAATTCAAAATGTCATCAGTAAATATGATATACGTTACTATCTAATTTATGTGATTGCTTTAAAATTTGTTAAGGTAATTGCATTCGGGATTATAGTCGGAGTAGGTCTACATGCAGGGTCACATTTGACATGTGACTTCCCTAGGCTACTACACTCGACAGATGAGGAATACGACCCAATGAAGCCATTTTTTGGCAACAAAAGGCCAGACAACTATTGGTGGTTCGTAAAGGGCACGGAGGGCTGGACCGGGGTGGTGATGGTGGCACTAATGGTAGTGGCCTACACATTAGCACAACCATGGTTCCGTCGCAATCGGCTCAGCCTTCCCAAAACCCTGAAAAGACTAACCGGGTTCAATGCCTTTTGGTACTCACACCACCTATTTGTTATAGTCTACATCCTCTTTATCATCCACGGATACTTTCTTTACCTCTCCAAGAATTGGGACAAAAAAACTGTAAGTGATTCTTAAATTAAATTGTACCATCCTCTACCTCCACTGAGCAAGTTAAAGCTAGCACGCGAGAGATTAAATTTGAAGGCTGGTGGCAGCAGGGCTTTGCTTTTGTCCTCTGATTTCATAACCCTTGCTCTGTTCATGAATTGTCACAGACGTGGATGTATTTGGCAGTCCCAATCCTACTCTATGCATGTGAACGCTTAATTCGCGCATTCAGGTCTGGCTATAAAACTGTTAGGATCTTGAAGGTACGAGTCTGTGTGCTGAAAGTTTATCAGCTTCTTTTCAACTTGTGGGGTGATGCATTTTTCTTTATCGAGAAGCTAAAGATTTTGGTCAAATCCTTTATTAATTTTTCAGGTCGCAGTTTACCCTGGAAATGTTTTGGCTCTGCATATGTCAACACCACAGGGGTTTAAGTACACTAGTGGCCAATATATTTATGTCAACTGTTCAGCTATTTCCCCATTTCAATGGTAATTAAATGTCAAATATTACTTTTATTTATTTATTATTAGTAGAATAACAGGTCATTAATCATCATAATTAATGTATTTTATAGGCATCCTTTCTCAATTACTTCGGCTCCTGGAGATGATTACCTAAGCATACATATTCGAACATTAGGTGACTGGACATCGCAGCTCAAATCCATTTTCGCTAAGGTAAATTCATTTGCATAAACATGGTTAATTTGTGGCACGTAGTTTTGTATATGATACCTCAGTTTTGGAATATGATTGTAGGTTTGTCAGCCTCCATCTAGCGAACAGAGTGGCCTTCTAAGAGCTGATATTGCACCTGGCAATGTGAAACTCAGGTATGTATTTCATTTTGAGCAGCGAATCCTGACCGTCAATTATTGATGCGTGTGAATCTTAACCGTCCATCAACATTGAATGAGGGTTTTCAAACACTGTTAAATTATTAATTTGAAGTAAGTGTTAGCAGGATGCCAAGACTCCTAATTGATGGTCCCTATGGTGCTCCAGCACAAGACTACAAAGAGTACGAAGTCCTTCTGCTTGTGGGCCTAGGAATTGGGGCCACTCCTCTGATTAGCATAGTCAAAGATGTGCTTACCAACATTAAGCAACAAAAGGAAACAGAGGGTTATCGAGGGAATATGGTAGAGAATAATGGTGCTAACAAAGACAACAAAAGAAAGTCTTTTGTCACCAAACGAGCTTACTTCTATTGGATCACAAGAGAGCAAGGCTCGTTTGAGTGGTTTAGGGGTGTCATGGATGAGGTGGCTGAAAATGACAAAGATGGTGTCATTGAGCTCCACAACTACTGCACAAGTGTGTATGAAGAAGGAGATGCTCGATCAGCCCTAATTACAATGCTTCAATCTCTTAACCATGCCAAAAATGGCGTCGACATAGTTTCGGGGACTAGGGTTAAGACGCATTTTGCTAGACCAAATTGGCGCAACGTTTTTAAGCATGTAGCTGTTAAGCACACAAATCAACGAGTTGGTGAGTTTTAATCTTTGAAGAGAATTGAACCCTTAACTTGAATTTCGAAATTTTTAAAACTTTCAAAATGATCATACATGGACTAATAAGCTGTGTTTCTTTTTATATGTTTTTTAGCAAAACTAAGGGGTAAAAAGAATCGTTTTTCTTGCTTTGCTTTTATTATAAATGTCTTGTATATTAATTTGGGTTTGCTTTGTCCTTTTGTTGCAGGAGTATTTTACTGTGGTGCACATGGATTAGTTGGGGAGTTAAAGAGGCTAGCTCAAGACTTTTCCAGGAAAACTGAGACCAAGTTTGATTTCCACAAGGAGAATTTTTGAAAACCTAATGATCTCAGATTCATACAAATGCTATGAGTTTATTCCATTCATTTCAATTTTCCACTTGTACAGTTGCAAGCTAGAATATATATCAACAAGGTTTTAGTTCCTGTTTGGCTGATGAAGTTGTGTTTAAGTTTCTTACGTATTATTCAAAGATGCTAATTCTTGCTTTGTTATGACAAATTGTTTTAGAACAAAAAAAAAGCAGATTAAAAGCAGAAAAAAACTGAACCACTATTTTAACAGTTAAATAAAGGCTAGCTTTATTCTGAATGCCTTGTAATTGGAAAGTTCTTCCTACAGCTACAGCCCATAGGGACCAAATGAAGCAATCCATTTTAAAAAGCTTCTTGTTTTGTTTATTATTCTGTAAAATCGTACCCATTTTCGTTTTCTTTAGACCAACCAGTTGGAAAATAAAACACAACTCAAAATCTAGATGCCTGAAGGCAGTTCTTTAACTTTCTGGGGAAGTTTGCAGTAACCCACAACAAGAAGTTGGTGCATAGAAAAATTCGCCCTGCATTTCACCTCCATACTTAGCAACAAGAAGTGCCATTTGATTCTCCGTAGTTTAAATTAGTGTAAAGTAGAATATCGCTGTATTAAAAAACAAACAGTGTCATTTGGGTTTGATGATTTTGGTAGCTATCTCCAGCATAATGATCATCAGGTAAGTTTTTCCCAAAAACCAAGAGGATAAAAAACACCAGAAGCATAAAAGATAGAATCTTCACATCAGAGCCAAATGAATACATCTACACACTCAATGTTTGATTATAATTTTACACAAAAAAGAGAGGGGATTTGGACTTAGCTGAGAGTATTGAATGGTTACTTTGCTGAGCCTTCCTCATATCAATAAAGTTCTATGATTTGGCATTATAAAACTCCAAATGCCAGTAATCTTAGCTAGCACAGGCATCAAGTCCTATATTGATAGGTGTCAATTAAGTATATATAATCTTTCATTTCAATTTAATTTATATTGTACTAAAATTAATTGTAAAGAAAAAATTAAAAAAGAAGAAATGCCACCCCACGCAGCACCAACTTCAAGGACCCCACTGTATTTTCCACTGTGCTACTCAATTCCCCTCCAGTCACTAGATCTTTCCTCCCCATCATAAAAGACCTCACTTCCTCGAGAAGTTTTCCCAGTTGACACTTGCCGCACTCATTGCAAGCTCTCTCTCTAGCTCTTTCTTTGTTTCTATACAAAGCGTGCTCTCTCTTTTTCTGTCAATCTTTCCTAATGGCAACAACTGAACCCAAGGCGGAAGCCAAAGCTGAACCAAAAGAAATTGAAGAAACTTCTCAGCCTCCTCTCAAATACAAGGTATTAAATGAAGCCATGGTTAACTTCTGTGAACACCAACCTTATTCTTTCCAAAAAAATGTTTCGACTTTTGCATGTTTCTAACATCTTCTTCTCTGTTTTGCAGACATGGGTTTTGAGAGTCTCTGTTCACTGTGAAGGCTGCAAGAAGAAAATCAACAAAAGCTTAAAACAAATAGAAGGTATAACCCTCCATCCCTGATATTCTTGAAGCATCAGTGTCAGGTTTTATTATATGGTCTCTACGATTTCAAAGTTTCGTTGTTGTTCTGACATGCATCTCATTCTTTTTCCTCGTAGTTCAAATTTCTGAGCTCTTCTCTTCCCCTGTTTTATTATCTTTTCAGTTGGTCTTACTGTTCAACTTTCAAATATCGAAGCTTTCGTGAAAAACATTTACTGTTTTGTTGCTGATTTTCTTTGTTGTTTTCAGGGGTTTACAAAACAGAGGTGGACACGAGGCAGCAAAAAGTCACAGTAACAGGGAATGTGGAAGCAGAGACTTTGATCAAGAAGTTGACCAAGTCAGGGAAACATGCAGAGCTGTGGCCTGACCAGAAACCTAACAATTCAAATGAAAAGAAGAAAGGTAAAGGGAAAAACAAAGAGAAACAGCAAAGCGACTGTGAAGGCTGCGAGGAAAGCAACCACGGTGGCCCTGGAGGTAGTGGTGACAATGAAAAGGAGACTGTCAAAGTTGATGTTGGTCATGCTCAAGGCTCTGGTAACAAGAAAAAGAATGAAGGTGGTGGCCCGGCTGGTAATAAGAAAGCTGATGATGGGGGCAATATGGTCAAACCAAATGAAGGTGGTGGCGCACCCGCTAAAACTGGCGCCGGTGGGCAAGTCAAAGAGTCAAAGCCTGAGGTGGTGAGGCAGGGTGGGAATTTACCAAACCATCCACCGGTTGCCGAGAAGAAAAGTGGGGGCAGTGAAAGTGATTGCGAGGTTGAGAAAAGTGGTGGAGGTGGCGGCGGTGGAGCTAGTGGCAGTGGAAGTAAAAATAACAAAAAGAAGGGGCCAAAGGGGAATGCCAATGCTGAAGAGGATGAAGGTGAAGAATGTGGTGCTGCTCCACCAAGCACTGGATCACCAAATCATGGCAATGTGCCACGTGGACCAACTGGGCTCCATGTTCCTCAGGACCTACATGGCCCACGTGTGCCTCAGGGTCAGGGCCCCTATGTGCCTCAGGGGCATTATGGGCCTCCTGGGCCTTATGGGTCCCATGGGCCTCGTGGTCCAGCCTATGGTCCTCATGGACAAAGCTTTGCTCCAGCTCCAGCCAATCACAGCCCTCCACAGCAACATGTGTATGAGTACCAATACCCAAGGTACAGGCCTCCAATGCAAGCTGTTCACTACAATGCTAGCTTCCCCACCAATAGCTATGGTGCATCTCATTACGATGCACCAGCACCTAACTCGCATTCCTTCACTGAGACACAGCCCCCATCCTATCATTTGGACAACAATGCATCTCAGCCGTATCCATATCATCAGCCATCCTACAACTTACCACAGCCGTCCGATTCTTATGGGCTGTTCAGTGATGAAAATCCCAATGGGTGCTACATTATGTGAAGCTTTGTGATGCAAAAAGGGAAAGGAGATTAGGCCTTCTACTTAGCTTGTATAAGTGCTTTTGGGGATGCTTTGTTATGCGTTATGCAGCTGGTAATGTGGATATGGAAGAAGCCTAATCTAAGTTTAGGGGAAAATAAGTGGGGTTTAAGGTGGGGTTCTATGGTTTAGGGTACTTTTAAGTAGTTGATCTATGTGCTTTAGCTTTGTTTAGTACTTTTTTGTTTTATGCTCTTTTAATTATTATTAAAAGAGTTAAATTAACTAAGTAGGTTCCTAATTGTCTGTCTCGGAACTTCTTTCTCATGTGTAAAAGTAGATTTCGCAATTTAGCTTATTATTAGATGGTGACTAATTTGCATTTATATTTTGAACATTCGAAGTTAGAGAATTCATTTTTTATATGTTCGGATACACCACTTGGCATACCACCAACCATGTAGTGGACCCGGAACATACAAAAATGACTCTCAAAGTTGCAAACCAACTTACTTTTTGAACCATCTCATTTATTGCACATAAGCTTGATTTCTTTGTAGGACCATTGCAATCTTTCAAATGCTTTTTTTTACTGATGTGTAAAGGGAAAATTAATGGAGAAAAGGGAAAAGAGTAATTAAACTTTAATTAGAGGTGTGCTTAAAAGGATGCTAATTACATTGTAAACTGGAATATTATTTTGTCTCTTTCTAGGCTAAGGAAACCAGATTCCTTGAGCAAATGTTTTTGGATTCTTATTTCTTTCACCTGTGTCTGCTGAAAATGGTTCATGTTGGTGTGTAGCAGGTTGTGTGGAGGAAGCAAATGTTTAAATTCACCAAATGAAAAAAAGTCTCTTGTTCTTTACTATAAACTCAACTCAAAGAATTAAAATAATTGATCTTGTTTGAAAGCCTTACTTTTAAAAGCAAATCTCTTACTTCCATTAACCTTTGGAGTCTGTGATGGCCTGTCCGCTTGCTTTACTTTCATTTGTTTTTTCATCTAGACTTCTACTTTTGGATCAAAAGCAATTTTTTTTGCAGATTAAATTAAAAGCAGTTTTGTACGGTAGTATGGAGGTCTTTCTTTATTTCTTTCTTTTGAGAGAGACTGTCTCCTTCCTAGGGCGAGGAACCCACAACAAATCATGTTCATGATAAGGTCAGAAACCAGAATGCTTGCTAATTAGCTTCTGTTTGACTTCAGTTTAGACTGTTTTTGACCAGTTAATGAATATTAATTATTACTTAAAAAAAGGGATTAGTCTCACTCATCTGTTTTATCAAGTAGTGACACTTGGCCAAACTCCACCTTCGTACTTTAATCATATTATTAGCAGTGATTTTCTGTTTTGCCCTACCAAATGGTGGATTGGTTTTGTATTTTATGTCTAAGTGGGATTTTTTAGGGTCATATCAGTGATAATATGCAGAGGAACCAGCATTTGGTGGGTCCTACATATCTGCACTCCTTTCTGGCTATATTCTCCATTGCCAAAATATTGAATGGAAATTGTGAGACTCCCAATTTTCTGCAATTTTGATCAGATTTTTTTTTCTTCTGCAGTTTTAATGTCTGGAAAAAAGGCTCTTTTGGGCTTTTATTCCCTTGGCCACTTGAGAGTCATTTGACATTCCAAGCTTTGTAAGGAAGAGAACCTCTATGTTTTATTCTGATTCTTCTCTTAGGTGAGCAATCAACAATTATGGTCTCCCTCAAGGATAATTTGTTCTTACCCTTCCAATCTCCAGGAGAGATAATGGTGTTGCTGTTGTAATAAAAATGTAAATACAAATTTACCTTGGTACAAAGTTATCAGTAAAAAAAGAGATAACCAAGGACTGGACCAATGGTGTTTATGAGGTCCCTGAAACTTACCATTACTTGTACTTCACACAAAGAGAAACAGTAAAAATTCCCACTTTTTTTTAAGATAGGAAAATGCTGAAGCTGCTGAAAAGGGTAAGGCTGGGACAGGCTTTATTATATACAGAAAGACAGGATGAAATATATTGAATCATTGGGATAGATGAAATTAATTCATAAGAGAATCTTAACCCAAAAACAAATACACTTCATTCTTGATATTCAATCAATTTGCATATTCTTCCTGATAAATGTCTGAGCAATTTCCATCCATCTGGATTCTGGAACCAGATTCCTTCAATCCAATCAAACTTCCATGCCAAGTTAACCCCTTAATTATTCTCAATAAGTTGATTGATTTGCACAGGGAAACACAGACAAGTGCATGCCTTCACACAAAAATTTGTTTTAACTCCTATGTTTTTGACAGAGTTCATTTTGCACGGTAAACAAGATGATAATACACATCAGACTTTTTCTTAATGTTGAACAGTGACTTGTTCTGTAGAAAAGCATTGACAAGACCCTGATTTGCAAACCTTACTTTAAGATAACTAGAAAGCTACACCTACAGATGCTCTGATTTCCCACATAAATTGCTGTTCATCTGCCAAGTCTTATACGTGCAATTAGGCCTGCACTGGACTCCAAGTACACCATCTCCTCTGTCTCTTTTCTAAAACAGTTCAACTTCTTTGTTTTTTGTTTAGCTCAGTTCACAAGGACCAAGATGGCAGATTTCCCATTACACTCCATACTATTTCTCAATACTGAAGAGTAACTCAGTTTCTGCAGAACAAAAGGAAAGATCGGATTTTTAGTGCCCAAGAGGAAAGTTGCTTTGAATTATTGAAAAACTGAGTTGGCTTGGCTGTGTGTGCTTGTGTTCATTGGGAGGGGATTTGAAAAGAGAATCAATGGTTAAAACAATAAATTATGATTTAATTATTTTATGGTGAGGCTAATTATGTTGGTAATGACCACAATCATAGCAAATACAGTGATGCAAGCATCTGAAGATATGATGTCTGATTTGGGATATAGCAATGCCTAATTAGGAGCTACTTAGCTTGTGTGTTCTAGGAAAGATATGCATGCATACATAATTACATACACAAATACCTGTGCCTAAAAGAAATTTTTTTAACTAAAGGCTAAGGGTTCTGTCTCTCTGATAGGGAACTATGTCCCATAAACATTGCATATACTATGGATTTGAGCCACATGCTAAGTTGGTTAAAGTGAAAGTGTAGTTAGTTATGAACTTAGCCCAAAATTATAAAAAATATAGATGAAAAGTTGACATAAGTAAGTTGATAGATGATTCAAAATGTATCTAACTTTTGAGAGAACAAAGTGCGATTTGACTATAATTTCGGAGAACACTACGGTAATTAAGTCTTGATAGTATTCTTGCCCTTGTTGACTGTGAGCATGTGAGGCAACTGGTTTTAAAGAGATCCTACCTATCCGTTGTTTACGTAAGCTGTATAAGCCTGAATATGCAGAAGCATATGCTTGACAGCCACAAGCTAACTGAGCTTTTAAGCACTTTTACACAAGCTCTTTTCCCAGATTGATTTGGCAGTCTAATTACATATCTTCTGCTGTTTAAGTGAATAATTATTATTGTAACTTGCTAAACACAGACTGATAATCAAATCACATGCTTTTTTACCTTTAAATAAAAGGGGAGAAAGGGATTGTTTGGTCTAATAAAACACACAATTTCAGGCAGAAAATTTCCCTAAACAAATAGTTAAGGCCCCTTGAAAGAAAAGAAAAATTAATAGTTGAGAATGCTAGTTTCTTCAGTGTAGGCACAGGTAAAGAGACCTTCAGACCAAAGCTATGGACCACTGAAGAGTTGACAACAAGCCTCACTGTTACGCAAAGGGTCAGAGTGAAATGACTGAAAAAAAAGAGAGTATCAAAAGGGTCAAATTGCTTCTCAGATCCAAGTCGCAAAAATGTACGACATCATCATTGCTGCCTGAAGTTACTGCATTCACCCATCAATCACACAATTACCCATGACACAACTAGTTTCGAAAGCAAATGATTCATTTGGTTTATTAGTTTCCTTTCTTTTGCTAATCAAAATTTAATTTTGTACCTGTAAGTGTGGTTTGGTAGTTCGATTTGAAATTGATTGAAGGTGAAATGAAGACAATTTTTATGAGCCTCACATCTCTAAACAAAACTTGTAAACACAATACATTGTACTGTTGTTCGATCTAATAAAAGTTTACCAAACAACATTTAAATCAGTAGTCCAATTTAATTGAAATGGTCAAGTTCAAACCGAGTGATCAAATGATGTCCGTTGTTCTTTTGTTTACTTGTGGGCAAAACCCAGTAAATCTAAACCCCTCGGGGCTAGCAAGAGCCGACCCTAAGCCAGGCTATACGATGCAACCGCCTTGGGCCTAAAGCAGCAATAATTTTATGGGCATTTCTTTTGTGTGCCTTTTCTTTTACACATTATGAGCCCCGTTTGATCGTAGTGCTGATGGATTCTTATTTGGGCTTTTTCTACTTCATCCCTGCTGTGGGCTGCTAACAAGTTCTAATTTCATACAAAGACATTGAAAGAAAAGCAACTTTGTGTAAGTGGATCTATAAATCCCAGCCCAATCCAAACGGTACAAAAAGCCTGATATTTTGTCCAAGCTGAGTTCATATTCCCGCCAGCGCCAAGTTAGAGTGCCCGCGACGCTTTTTCGTCTGAGAGAGAGAGAGAGAGTCGGGCGATGGAATTTAGTGTGAGCGGGAACGCCCTGAAGACCTTCACTCGCTCTATCACGTGCCTCGCACGCGTCGGAAACGAGCTCGCCATCCAAGCTTCGTCTTCTCAGGTTCACTAACTTTCCTTTCACTTTCCCTCATTCCAAACACTCCATATATTGACCCCAAACAAGAAAAAAAACACTCCATATAGTCTTTACTAATTCCCGCTCCACGCTTATAATTCGTACTTCTTTTTTGTTCGTTCGATTTTCCTCCGAGAAAACTGATAGATTAATTATTTGGTTTTTTATCAATTTCTTGCGTCATTTCGTTTAATTTGATCGCAGTCATTTGACATTTTATTATTGTAATTATGATGCCTGATGGTAGAATCATTTTTACTTTTCGTTAAGTATAGATCCCTGGCGTATGATTAGTAATTTATCTTTTGAAAAAATTATATGTAGGTGATAAATGTTTAGGGTTTTGCTTATGCATTTTTAGGGTTTTGGAAGAGCATGAGTGGCAGCTGTAAGAATATTGGGTGCACATAATCGGATATTGCAATGCAACAAATGAGTTACTAATCATTTGTTATCACGACAGATGCTAAAGATTTTGTTCCCGTATCTATGCAGCTTGCTTTGCACACTCTCAATTCGTCACGGTCTGCCTATCACTCAAGTACATTTAAGCCTGAATTCTTTGATGTCTATACTATATCTTGTAACCAGGTGCAATGTAGTGTGCTTTTGAAGGTAAGGCGTCATGGTTCACCAGAATTGCTTTCTTTAGGCTTGCATACCGTGGTAATCTTACTGACTTAGTCTGTTCAGGCTGTTTGTTCTGTGCTTAGGACACCTTTAGCAACTATAGATCATTTGAGCATACGATTGCCTGATCCCGATGCATCAAAAATGCAATGGACTTTAGAATGCTACAGTGGTAAATTATCCTTTTTGATATCTTATCTGTTTATTCTTTATGCAAAATGGCACATGCACAATTTGTTATGACCAGAATTCAGTCTAACATTTTGTTTGCTGAGTTCACCACTACACACACAATCAGGATCAGGCTTCTGGAACTGTAATTCGAGCACACTGATAGAATATTGATTGCCTAGAATTTTGTTGTTTAGCACACTATACAACTACATGTTGCAGCTTTCCTTATCATATGATCTTCCTTTTATTATATATTGTTTGATTGCCATGGTTTTAAACTTCATACTGACATTTTGCAGGTATGAAAAAATCCTATTGGATTATTTGCAATGTTGAACCAGACATACAACATCTATCTCTTGATAGGAGAAGATTCCCAAGCAGCTTAGTTGTGAGACCTCGAGATCTAAACAGATTGCTTGCTAATTTTCAGTCATCGCTTCAGGAGATTACCATCATAGCAACAGAACCCACTTCCATGCCTTCTGATGTGGCAAGTGAAATTGGAGGAAAAGCTGTCGAACTTAGAAGTTATATTGACCCGACCAAAGGTAATAAAGGTTTTGCTTCTCATTTCTGAAATTATTACAAGCAGGATGTTTACGCTTGAATTTTCCAACAACAGACAGCGACTCATCACTGCATACTCAACTATGGATAGACCCTGCAGAAGAGTTTGTGCAGTATACTCACACGGGAGACCCCATAGATGTGACGTTTGGTGTGAAGGAGTTGAAGGTTAGTAAATTCAATCCTCGGGACCTGATTATATTTGAATGTGTTACATTGCCAAAAGCATTGTCCCAGTGACAAGCCTCTGCATTTAAACAGACATAACATCCAGCTAATTATTGTTCTTATCATCACAATAATTTTCATTGGTTGATGCTTTGTAGTAAAGTGTACAAACCTCATAGTCTATTTCCTTTTTCACTGGATGCTTCACATTCTTTTTCTAGAGCTAAATCCTAGGTGCTCTAATTTGTTGTTACATCTGTCTTTTTTCCAATTTATTTCAGGCATTCCTTTCCTTCTGTGAGGGCTGTGAAGTTGACATTCACTTGTATTTTGAGAAAGCCGGAGAGTAAGATATATCTAAGTTCTTCTTATTTTGTTTATCTTCCCTTTGCATTCTTTTTTCTCTGCATCCTATGACGAGTTTTGAGATTCAAGCTAATATGCATGCTATAAGCTGACCATGGTCGATATCAGTCAGAAATCGGAGTAGGTGCCCACATAACTTTCTGTGACATTGTCAACATCACACACCCATACTTCACACTCCTAGTTCATCTTTTATTTGCCGATATGACACAAGAGTGGTCAACTCATGACCATTTCAATATGTTGGATTTGGATTGATCATGCCAAATACTTAAGATATTTTATAGTATTCCATTTCTCATCTTCTTTCGGATTAGAATTTGAAATTATTGTGATTTTTCTCCTGTAAGATATAAATGAATCTTCGGATCAGTTTAATCAGTTGTCTTGACGGTATGTTCAACTCTGTAGAGGCAAACATAGTGATTATCTAGTATTATAAATTTCAGACTTTGCTAGAAATTGTGGATGGAAGTATTATATTAACCAAAATGTAACTTAAAGATTGGTTAATCATATGTTTGGGAAAGCAGGCCTATTCTAATGGCACCCAAGTTCGGTCTAGATGATGGGTCCACTTCAAATTTTGATGCTACACTTGTACTTGCAACCATGCTAGTGTCGCAGCTCCATGAAAGCAATACCTCAGAACCTCCACAAGCAGCTACTGCAATGCACATTCAGGAAGATCATGGGACAGGGTCAGAACCAGGACGAGAAAGGTGTGGAACAAATGTTTCGGGGCATCCATCTGATCACACCAGAATTTGGTCTGATCTTTCAGGTAACCATTTTCGTCAAGATCTTAAGAAAGTGCCAAGATGTTGTGCTTCTATTTTCTTTAACTTTTTTATTTTGTGCAGGAAGTGGTGCAAGAAGTGGCAGTGGTGCCCAAGCAGGACAGGCTCAAGGGGAAAGAAATTTGAGTGCTAATGGACAGAGAGAAATTCAAAGGATGAGCACAATGCATATTTCAAATCCTGCATGTGCTAGGGAAAATGAACCTGTGCAGGAGGATCATATGGAAGAACCTCGAGGTTTGTAAGAGGGTAGTTAGGTCAATCTTGCTCATTTTATACAAATGTAGTAACTAAAGCTTGTGCATTTTGTTGCTTCCAGATAGGTCACAAATTAACGGTGATGGCTTTTCACAACGTCATCCTAGCAACTGGATAGATGCAGATGAGGATGATAGTGATGAGGATGGAGAGGAGAATGAACTCTGTATTCCTTCAACACCACCATACTATGAAGAACATTAGGATTATTTGCTGTAGTAAAGGTTTGCTGGATTTCTTCTCTTTCTTATGTTGTAAGTCCATCTTTCTCCTCTAGTAACATGCTTTATTTTTAATTTCTTTTTTGTCAAGTCGATGTTTTGATATTACATCAAAGCAATTTATGACAAAGGGGTATACATTATGCAAGTATTTAAATAGAATTAAGTCCTCAACAACATTTTAGTTGGAGAGTTAGGTCATATAATTAAGTTCTCCACAACATTAAGACCAGGGTTATTGGATCAGAAATGGTGAAATTGTGTCATAATTTATATGCACCAAAATGTGAAACGATTCTTGGTGTTGAAATAGCCAAACTCGTAAGAGTTAGGTCATATAATTGGTGGGGTTGGATCAAGAATTCACATGCACTATGATCCATCACTATCATGCAGCAGCAGTTATAGGACGGACACCCCCCCCTTTACTGTTGCAAATATCGCCATAAATGCGAAGCAGATCTTAGTGTTGATTTTGCATTGCCTCTCTTTTGCAGAGAATTTCTGTCTGTCTTAAGATAGGTTTTTCTTTTCCCTTTTTCTTTTGCCGTAGGACTGGTAATAAAAACAGCAGGAAAAACTCAATCGTAGTGAAGTCCTGCGTTTTCTCACTGTAATTGTCAGTTTTTTGTTGAAATATCCAATGGGAATGCCAATTAGGAATTTGATGCTTTGAATAAAACCGATAGGAAAGAAAGACTCAACAAAGTGAGCTTCTCGGGATTTGCTTATTTATTCAATAGCTTAAGGCTACATAAGTTAAAAACTATAAAATCCCTCACTTTGCCGATATTTGAAATCTTAAAAATCTGCAGGTGGGACCCATTAACACGTAGTTATCTCCTGCAGTTAAGCAATTTGTGGTTTTTCTCGTTAATGTCGGCATGATCCCTGAACATAGCTTACATGCCAGGATGTCATCAACCTTTGCATTATTTTCTCATTTATTCTAATTTTGTTATTGTTGATCTTTTGGTATGGTTGGAATAGTTCAGACTGGTTGTGGGTTTCTTTTTCTTATGTGCTTTTCAACACCTGGAGCTGTTAAAATACGGTTGCTGGGGCTGTTTGGGGATTCAGATACTGAAGGGCATTTCTGTCCATATGTGAGAGAATGACCCTCCCTTGTGCATAACATTAAAAATTGATGTTGCAAATGTGAATTAGGTTATTTGGTTATAGCTGTGAGTCTGCGCATTTGTCCTCAAGCTCGAGCCCCTATTTTTTAAGAATAGATTAATTTAGGGTAGTTTAAATTAGTGATTGCATAAGACAAGAATCATAAATTGATGTTCACTCCAAAATTATAATGATGAGGGAAGATTCATGTGGAAAAGAGAGATTGTGATTAAAAATGGCATAAATAATTCCTTTTTTAAAAGAGCGTGATATAATAGTCTCCTGTGGAAAATAAAATAGAAGTATTTGTTTTGGGAAAGCTTGTTAAGCACCAGCTGTCTTGAGGAGAACTGAGGAGTTGAGTTGGTGTTGGAACGCGCAAACACCGTCCTAGCGATCTGTGGCGGGCCACCATCTATTTAACGGCTACGGCACGTAGACGCTCATTATCCTCCTCCTGGCTAACGCCGCTCACATAGGCTATAATTTAAAAATGAGGAATGCTAGCCGTTATTCCTTTCAAATGCCACAGCTAGCTATCTATCTATCCATCTGTGATGAAAAGAAAAGCGCGGGTATTGAATTGAAAACAACAACAAAAGGGACAGAATCAAATTCACATACCTTTCTTGAACGGGTATGTTGGGTTTCGTTTGGGAGTCTAAAGAAAGACAACAATGCATAACTATTTTAACTCTATTTTGAACAAATACAATCATTACTAGTAAATAGGGTTTTCGTGAAAAGGAATAGTGGGATTTTAGATTGTCTTCTTTGCAAAATTAAACAAAGCAAGAATGGGTTTAGATGAAGGTTTTTACTTTTTATATTTATCATACAGGAATGTTATGACACCATTATTCCGCATGTGATCGCATGTATCTTTATAAATCAGAAACTTAATTGGTTTTTTGTTCTTTATACAAGCGGTAGTTGGGGATATGTAAATTCAACACCAAAACCACTAAGTTACAAACTCCTAATAATTCTTTTTCTATAAATTAAGGGACTCTAAGTTGTTATAACTTGTAACTTAGCTTTCACCAAACAAATGTCAATGAGATACACATTAAAAAAATGTATACCAAATCCTTTCCACGTGCTTCCAACTCAATATTTTTTTCTTCTTTTATTTGTGATGATGGAAGGATTCAACTCAGCTTCAAATATGCTTATTCTATACGTATACATTAGATTGGCAAATCAGTAAGATTTGAATGGACGAGAAAACAAAAAAGAGTAAAATGAGGACGGTTATGTTGAAAACAAAGACAGAGGGCAGGGGGCATAATACTGAAGGATGACGCCAATGGGTGAAGAAGACTTATTATTTGATTATGGAGATTATTAAAGAAATGATAAATAAAGAAACAGCAGGTAGGAATAGGATGATAGGAAGGAGAAAACGTGTTTCGGTTAACGATTCTTGGATGGACTTGGCCACTTGGGATAGGTGTAAACCCTAGATGCCGTCTTCCCTCTTCCTTATTCTATTTTAATGCAACTCCCCCTCTCCTCTCTCTCCTCTCTGTAATCTCCATTTCCAGAGAGAGAGAAGCTCAACCAGTCAACTATATATTGCATGCCTAATAGTAGGTTGGATTCTGAATGTGGACATTATTTTACTTCTAATTTACCAAGTCTGCCATTGGTACTGTGAATTTGGTGGCATTTCCAACTCCTCAAAATACAAAATACAAAAACCAACCCAAAAATAATAATAATAAGTTGAATTAGCATTGTTATATAATAAAATTCACCGAAACAATTATTATATTCTTATTATTAAGGTCTTTGTAAATGGTAGTGTGGTACAACTAACTAATATGCAGAAACAATCAATGGGCGGCATTGTAAATAACAGCTAATACCAATGTCATTTCATTACATCAGGCCGCTTATAAGACCTCAAGCAACTGAGGTTTAGTTCTTGTCTAGTTGGCCTTGTCGCTCCCTCTCTCTCTCTCCATTGGCTCACTGGTAAAGAGATACAACAAACACAGAGCAAGAATATTAAAATACAAACACCAAAGAGAAAGCAAATAAAGAAGCTCTCAAGCAAGAAGAAAAGAAAGCAGCAAGTTTTACAGAAAAGGAAGAAATAGTGATACATTGAGCTTCTTATTGGGAAACAATGGCTAGGCTATGCTGTGTCTCATTCCTCCTCCTGATCTGCGCCTCAATCTTGTTGATGGGTTCATCAGCTTCTGTTCTAGCAAGTGGGGACCACCCCCAGAACCTTTCATGGATGCCCACCAACAAATCATCCTGCAAGGGCTCCATAGCAGAGTGCTTGGCTGCAGGGGATGAGGAGTTTGACTTGGACTCTGAGATCAACCGGCGCATCTTAGCCACCAGCAAGTATATCAGCTACGGTGCGATGCAGAGGAACACTGTACCTTGCTCTAGGCGTGGCGCCTCCTACTACAATTGCCAGCCCGGAGCTCAGTCCAATCCCTACAGCCGCGGCTGCAGCGCCATCACAAGGTGCAGGAGTTAGTTTTTAATTTTTTGTTACTTTGTTTTTTGTTTTGTTCATTTTGGAAATGGGTTCAATTGTTATACATGAACAAAGGGAGAGAGAGAGAGAGAGGGTTTGGAGGTGGTGTGTCATTGTTGTTATTATTAATGGAAATGTTGATGATGTTATAAAATCATATTTGAATGTCTCTGTAAAACATTAATAATTGCTGTTCTTTTTCTTCAAAGTTTTGAGCTTTTGCCTGTTATGAATGAACCAGAAAAAAAAGAGCTGATCACTGATGGCCTGCTCTGTTTCTCCTTCTTTTTTTCCCTCATTGATTTAGTTCTTTTTGGAAGAAAGATCTGTGCTCAACAATTCAAGACCTAACAAGTTGTGTAGAATGAATTACGTCGAAGTCATCAAAATTTTCTATCCTTTTCTTCTTGAATTGATGTATTATTTGGCCATGTCAATGTCTCTACAGAATTGATTCCATATGATGGATTATATTGGCCATGAAAGTTAGCATCTTATGGGGACTTGTGTTTACTGTGTTTTGTTGTTAGTTATAGAAAAACCCTCTTTTCAATTTGATTGCTGCCTTCCTTCTCCTTTTGTCTCAAAGGAGAAAAAGGCAGCCAGAGAGTTGGTAGAATGATACGACATAAATAAAGCCAGGGGAAAAGTAACAAGAGAAGAAAGAGGAATTGTTGAGTTGTAATGACATAAACATGTAGTTTGCAAAAGGAGTAAAAGGACAATTTAAAGATAAATTCTATCAAATGTTGGAATTTTTTTTCTTATTCTCTGTTTGCCTTTGGCCTTTTGACTCAAAATTGGTTTTCTGCAGTATGAATATCTTGATTTTATTCATATTTGGCTTTTCTTTTGCTTTGAAGTTCTTTGCTTTAAAGTGGGGTAGTAGGGCAAATGATGTTCATGCAAGAGGGACAAATAAGTTGGTACCTTTATTTTTGGCCAAAATTTGAATGGAGAGAAATGAGTTTAGCCAAGTTGGCGGATGTGCTCCCCACTATGCATTCGAATTCAAGTCCCTCTCCTCCTCGTTGTTTAGATTAAATTAAAGTAGAATATCGTTTCTATAAAAAAAAAATAAAAAAAAATTGAATGACATAGAATATATGGGTATAAATGCAATGCAAGAAGGACAAATAAGTTTATTTCTCCTTGCATTTGGTAAATGTTAAACCTAGTGTAAGGTTTAAGGTTATATTTAAACTTGGACAGAGTAGATTTTGTACTTGAAAGTGAGGATGGAGATATGTTTGGTTTGGAGAGTGAATTTTAGCTCTTGCTGAAGTACAGTGTCTATAAATTTGTCCTACCAGAGTCATAAAAATGGTCATAATTGCACCTATCTTAAAGTCTTCCATGTGAAGTGTATGAAAGCAACCGCAAAAATGCTTAATGAGAATGAGAGAGAGCTATATCAGCAGCAAAAGATGATCCTCATGATTTGAATTCTCCCCTTTAAGTTTTAGAGTAGGTGTGTGTTGGGTTTGTTTGCTAAGTGCTTAGGTCCACATATCAAAATTTAAAGCTATTTGTGGTCCCCTTTGCCAAACATAAGTTGAGCAAAAAAGACCCCTCTAAGATCTCTTTCATCACAGAGGCTGCTGGTATCTTTTTTCTTCCATTATTGAAGCTTCGAATCTCTTAGGTAAGCTTTTGGTACACTTCACCTGTTCACAGATGGGGAAAAAAAAAAGTAGATTCTTTTAGGACATATGGATGAAAATGCTAAGAACAAGTCTCCACCTCACACCGGAATTGGAACTGGAACTATTCAACCGGTGTGGTTCGGTTCGGTTTTAATGAAAAAGATTTATGAAATCGGCTGGTTTAGTTTAAACTGATTCCGATGTGGTTTATGATTTTCTGGTTTCAGATCTGATAATTTTTTAAATTATTATTATTATTTTTACAAATTCTAATTAAAATTTATTTTTTGGACTTAAAAATTCACAAATAATCCAATTTTATGCAAAGAGAGATGATTGGACATAGAAAAGAAAGGTGCTTTGAAGTTGGGTTTGGGGAAATATTAGTTATGGGATTATAAGTTTTGCATTTGACTTAAACAATTTTTTAAAAATAAAAAAATTTGCAGCCGGTTCAGTTTTGTAATGTGTGAAAATGGTAGCATAATTGGTTTGAATTGGTCCGATCCGGTTTGATGCCGATTTATTGACTTTTTAGTCAACATGATTTTTTTTTCCGATTTTTTCCATTCGAAGTTGCTCGGTTTTCCGGTCTCAATACCCACCCCTAATTTTCTATGAGTCTGTGACTGGGATTTTCATCATCTTTGAAATTGGGTTGGTGGAAATTTATATTGGAAACAATTCTTGGTAGGTAAAGCAACTCCAGATTAAGCTGCTCTTATGTTTCGGTGGCTTAAATATTTAAGGTAGACAACTTTACATAAATTAAGTTTGATCAAATTTTATAATATTGTAACCACTTCAACTCAGAAGATTCCCACAACCCTTTTTTTTTTTGGGATGCCAGATGGTGTGCAACTATTTCAATATATTTAATGTTTCAGAAACTGAAAACCTCAAATGTTTTTGTTTTTCTTTAATTAACAAATCAAAACCTGATAGTTGAACCACCAACTGGCTTGAAAACTTATGATCCTATTCGTGATTGCTCTGTAACAACATTTATTGATTTTCTCTAGTTTTTAAGTAAGTGGTGGTGGATGCATTCAAAGCCTTCTGAATCCCATTGAATTCAATATTCATGTCCATCTTGTTATTGTGCCTACAAACTATGCTCCATAAATTGGAACCCAAAAAGAATTGAATCAAAGTTACATCCCATTAGGAAGACATTAGGGGTCCGGCGTGACAATAAAATTGTCATCCTCGCTATCTATCTACTTATCTTGCTTTTGCTCTCAGTTATTACTTCCAATTCTCGTGACGTTGCACTCTAGTGGTATTTAGTCTTCACCTTGTTGGAAATTCATATGTTATAGACGACAATTGTTAAATAATAAACTTTTAAAAAAATATTGGATAATGAGTTTGTAGCTTAAGTGATTAAGAGTATTGTTGAATCTCCCTCCCTCAATATCGTCTATACTAAAAATAAAAATAAAACCTTCTCGGACTCGTATAAAACGTGCAATACTTGGGCTTCATTATATGAAAAGTATGCAAGAATTCTATAGTGAGGGCCTTATATATGGTCCTTAGGTGAGACCCTATCTCTTAGCCGTTTGATCAAATTAGTTAGCCAATGAATCAAATTGATTAGCTTGATTCAACGGTTAAAAAATAGGACCTTACCTAAGGGCCATATATAACATGACTCGAAAACTCTGATGTCAAACGACTAGCTCATTTTCCGTTGGGCCAAGAGAGTCAACAACCAGGCCTAGTTTATTCCTCAACCGTGGGAAATAGGAAATACCCTAAATTCATGCCAGCATGATCCAGTGGGCCATTTACGTAGGACCCAAGAACCTTCTCGAACTGTAACCCCCCCACCGCCAAAAAGATCCAAAACGTCATTCTCGTTTCCATTAACCCATTTACATGGAAAGCAAGTAAAGATTTCACGGCGTTATTTTTCACGTTCGAGTAGTCAACGGCGCAACGTCGACGGACTTCATCCTCGTCAAGCGAACAAACATTTAGTTTTAACGCGGACTTCCCGGTCGGTTCGCTTCGCTGAAACAAATCCCACCGCCCAATTTCTTAAGCGCTAAGGATATATTCAGAGGTTCCTTTCGGGTTTTCTACTATAAAACCCTCGTCTTCCTTCTCTAACCTCCAACACCAGTTACAGCGAACAATCATTAGCCGAGGTTTTAAATTCCCAACAAGAAAGAAAAGTTGATTATGGCCCAGGAAGATTTGAGCGTGCAGGTGCAACAACAGATGGTATGGACCATAAACCCGCCTTTTCTTTTTTCTTATTATGTTATTGATTTGTTTATTCTTTTTAATTGACATTGGCACTGTTTGGTTGCCGAGAAAATTTGGTGTTCACAATATATGGGATTTTAAGAAATACCTAAGTTTTGTAACTTTCCCACTTTGTTATTTTTATCAATTTCTTTTCAGATGAACAAGGAATCAGCTTTCATGGGTGTTGTTAGCTCATATATATTTAAATGTTTTTGTAATTGTTTAGGCTGAGGAGGAGGAACAGAGGCTCAAGTACCTGGAATTTGTTCAGGTGGCTGCAGCTCATGCCTCGGTTTGCTTCTTAAATCTGTACGGATTTGCCAAGGAAAGGTCTGGTCCTTTGAAGCCTGGAGTTGAATCCGTGGAGGGAACTGTGAAGAACGTTGTTGGACCTGTCTATAACAAGTACCATGATGTCCCTGCTCACCTCCTTACCTTCGTGGATCGCAAGGTACCTAACAAATGTCATGTTTAATTAACTCTTTTTCATGCTCTTATGCTATTTGGTTTATTGTGCATACGTAACACATCGATTATGTTTTAGAGTCAATCCATTTTTCAATCTTCAATTTATAGTTGGTCCATTGCATCCAACTTCAATTGCACAAATTTGATTACGGCTTCTGGGTTTTGTTCTTTGATAGGATGTATGCTTGCATCTATTTTCTATTTCATAATTAGCTTGGTTAATTTGGTTTTTATATTATGATGGAGTGAAGCTTCTTTATTGTGTTCAATGTGCAAGTGGTAAAATTCTAAAATTTGTATTGGAACATGTTCAGGTTGATCAATCTGTGACCAGGCTGGACAGTCGTGTGCCGCCGGTGGTTAAGCAGGCTTCATTCAAAGCCTTATCAGCTGCTCAAAAAGCCCCAGAGGCGGCTCGAGCGGTTGCCTCTGAGGTTAAGCGTGCTGGGGTTGTAGACACTGCCTCGAGCTATGCTAAATCTGTCTACACCAAGTGTGAACCCGCAGCTAAAGACCTGTATGCTAAGTATGAACCGAAAGCTGAGCAATGCGCCGTCTCTGCGTGGCGAAAGGTGAACCAAGTCCTCCCAAAGGTGGCTGAGGTTGTTGTACCAACTGCAGCATATTGCTCTGAAAAGTACAACCAGACAGTGCAGCACACTGCAGAGAAGGGGTACAGGGTCTCCTCCTATATGCCTCTGGTTCCCACTGAGAAAATTGCCAAGGTTTTTGCAGGGAAGGTGCCTGAAGCAGAGCCTTTGGTTGCAAGTCCTGGTGAAGTTGATGTTGCCCTTCATTGATAGGGCTTCAGTGTTGGTTTTTGTTTTGCCTCGGGTTTTGTGATGTTATGGTATTAAACTGAAAAAACAGATAGAGGCATGGTTGTTGATTGTTTTTCAAAAGGTTTAATATATGTATAAAATATAATATTCTAATGTTTATTTATTTTTATACTTTTCTGTTTGTGATTTAGAAAAGATGAATGTAAATTGAAACATTATGCAGTTAAATATATTGTAGCTTCCGGAGTCCAATTGCCAAATTACATGTCCATATAGAGAGATTATTCCCAAATACGCAATTAATATATATATATATATAATTTGTTTTTTGTGATTGTGCAGAAACAAACATACTTCATGAATCATCCCCTTCTTAAAACTTAAAACTTATTCTAATGAAAAAAATTCACTTGATAGATAGTTAATTGATACATCAACGAGGTTGTCTCTAATTAAAAATAACGTGGATGTCCCTCCCCATGGCGCCCAGGATCGAACTTTAGTGGGGTTTTTTGCTCCAATATAACAAAAAAAAATTTTAAACCTCAAAAAGTATATGAGGTGCTTATGATGCCAAGTCCTTTTGCTTTCTGGGCCAAAATTGACAATATCTTGTGGGCTCTAAAAGGGCTCAACAATCAAACAGAACGACATCCCCAAACTTCTTCCACAGCAAATAGCATCAAAATTCCCAGCCAAAGCTTTCAAGGCCTTCCTTCAACTTCAACGAACCGAATAGCATCAGAGCTTCACTCCAATTTCTCTTTCAGTTTCTGCAGAGAAAACCCAGAAGTGTCACAAAGTCTCACCGATAAATTCAAATGGCCACTAGTTTGCATTTACCAATCTCGATATCAGCGACTTCTTCATCGTCACTTAGAGCCAGAAATACTCGAAAGTTCGCAGCTTTTTGTTCCATTAACGCGAAAGCAAAAGTTAAAATCCCCATTCCTCCAATAAACCCTAAGGACCCGTTTCTTTCAAGGCTCAGTTCAGTGGCTGCCAATTCACCCGAAACTTTACTGAACCGACCTGTTCAAAATTCTGACTCTCTTCCGTACTTGGATTTGTTTGATGAACCTAAGCTCATGGCCACACCTGCCCAAGTATCTCTCTCTCTCTCTCTCTCTCTCTCTATATATATATATATATATATATATGCTTACGTATCTTTTTTTGAAGGATTGAAGCAAAGTTTCCTAGATTAATTTAATAGGTGCTAGTGAAATTAGCGCCTGGTAGTTCTTTTTAGCGGAAAGAATCTTAATTTCGTATTGGTTAAGCTGGTTTTGTTCGAAATTTTGCTATTCTAATAGGTCTTAATGGAATTAGTAGTGTCTGGTAGGACTTTCTGGCTTCTTTCTTCGGGAAATTTGACTTCTTGTTTTGGATAAAAAAAAATTGTAGTGATGTTTCAAAATTTATTAAGAAAGTCGGAATGTTTGGTAATTAAAGAAATTGATTTCCATGCTATCCTGGAACCCCGGTTAATCAAATTTCTTTTTGTTTGTTTCTATGACTCTTATTTGGTTAGTTGGTAAACTGATGATATTCTCTGCTTGAACTAGGTGGAAAGATCTGTTTCTTACAACGAGCATAGGCCAAGGAAACCACCTCCAGACTTGCCGTCATTGCTACTCCACGGGAGAATAGTTTATATTGGCATGCCTGTAAGTTATTGACCCAATATTCATGTTGGTTGTAGATGCCATCTTCTGAAAGTAGCAAATCATGTTATCTTTTCGTAGTTGGGGTGAAATTGAGAAGCCCAGAGCATGTCTTCAGTGCAGACTGTGCACCTTGAGTGTGTTCTCTGGTTACTTCAGAAGGGGAAATATGACTAAAATGATACGAGACTAATGCCGATATTCATTCCTAATAGGTTTTAGTCAGTCTTATTCTCACGTCGTTCTTGCATTTTGTGAAATCTGTTAAAAGTTGCTTTGATGTTTCAGTTAGTACCAGCAGTCACAGAGCTAGTTGTTGCGGAATTGATGTATCTGCAATGGATGGATCCTAAACAACCAATATATATTTATATCAATTCTACCGGAACCACTCGTGATGACGGTGAAACGGTAAGTCTGGTGTTTAATATCAAAACATGATGCATATGAAATGATCTCTCTCTCTCTCTCTCTCTCTCTCTCTCTCTCTCTCTCTCTCTCTCTCCCTCCCTTTATCTATTTTATGTATTTGAAATGCTTATTGCTCAGGTTGGCATGGAATCAGAGGGTTTTGCTATCTATGATGCAATGATGCAGTTGAAAAATGAGGTGATTCATTTTAAGAATTGTTTCACTTCACATAGTTATTTGCTCTACTTGGTGGTGATGATGGTGTTAGTTTGCATGGGTGTGGGTTTGGAGCTACATAAGGTGTTTCTAGATTAGCAATTGTGCTTAGGGATATGCATATGCATGTAGTGCCACACATCAGTGCTGCGGATGTGTTGCTGTGATGCTAACGCTAAAAAATGGTTGTGAGGCAGTGACAGTGGCAACTGTTGATTGGGTTTATAAATTCTATGAATTAGTATATTTAGTTTTATATGCACTAGTATCAACTTCCCACACCCCAGAGGATATGTGCTAAGTGACCTGGCCACTGACTGAAAAAGTAGGGGAATGATATGCATTTGGTAATGATATGAATATTCTACCTTTTATCTCATTACATAGTTGTTCTTGCTTATTCAGATACATACGGTTGCTGTTGGGGCTGCTATAGGTCAAGCTTGTCTATTGCTTTCAGCAGGAACTAAGGGCAAACGATTCATGATGCCACATGCCAAAGGTATGATGCATTTGGCTTTTTAAGTTTGCAATCTCAAACCTTTAAAACTTTCGTAATTTCCTTCAATCCTGTTTCAGCCATGATCCAACAGCCTCGTGTGCCATCATCTGGGCTGATGCCTGCTAGTGACGTTCTTATTCGTGCAAAAGAGGTGATCCCCTGTTTCATTGCTTTCCACCATTTTAATATGGTTAAAGACTGATTGTTTCAAATGCAATGTTATCCATTCCTTGTTCTAGTCCTAAACATGTATTTGTTCATCATGTCTTTATTGGTTTGGTCTCTGAACTTCTCTGGAGGAGTAAAAATAGAAAGGTTTCATTCACATCACCATTTTCTGTTCAATATGCAATATAATGATAGACATTTACTGAGCTCTGGCTTAAGATTTCATTCATAAGGTGACAATCTTTTTTATTCAAGTTCTGTGTGCATTTTGTGGAAATTTCAACATTGTCTGAATTTGCAGGTAATGACAAATAGGGACATTCTTATAAAGCTTCTGGCCAAGCACACAGGAAATGTAAGCTCTTTTTATAAGATTTAATCAGCGGCAGCATATTAGCAAAAACTAAGGAACTTATCTTATCTTCTTATTTTTGTATTAGTCAGTAGAGGCTGTTACTAATGTGATGAGAAGACCATATTATATGGATTCTACAACTGCTAAAGAATTTGGGGTGATTGACAAGGTAAGTCCTTTTAGATTGTCTTATGTAGTTTGTTTCTTCAATTTTGTGGAAAATTGACTGATGGGAACACTGTATGCAGATCCTTTGGCGCGGTCAAGAAAAGATAATGTCAGATGTAGCCTCCCCTGAGGAATGGGACAAGAAAGCTGGTGTCAAAGTTGTAGATGAACTTAGTCTCTAGTGGGTGCAATGTTGTCATTATAGGTAAGTTAACCTTTTCTTCATTATGCAACAATGGTGCTTCATGGGGTTTTTTCAAATGTGAAAATTATCATTTTGATTGGGCTTTCTGAAGGACTCAGCGAACTTAGCGATGGGGCAAGCTAGTCAATTCAGTTTTCATGGGGAAGAATGCAACTATAATAATAATTGCTTGAAAATTCATCAAATTATGCTGCAAATCTATATTCTATATAGTGGTCATGCAAAGGACAGAAATTTGTCTATTGTCTTCCTGGCCTTGAGCTAGACTTTCACACCTTGGCTTGATTTGATATTTCACTCCATCAGCGTATGAGTATTAGTGTGATCTGGGGGTATTTGCAACTTGAATAAAATGGCATGAACGACAAATGGGCTGTTGTTCTGGTACTTCAAATTGTTTCTGTAATGGTTGATGGCTCAAGATTGGGCCTGAAAAATACCAGCAATGCATGGTTATACTAGAACGTTGCAAGATAGTGTGGCTATTTAGTTTTATTTTGGTTCGTGTATGTTAATAGTGTTTTTGCTTGCAAGATCCTTTCAAGAACTAGGTTTCTGATTGGAATGCTTCTCTTGGCGTGTAGGAATTCTTACTTGGTTACTAAATATAGAAGAAATTACATGATCGGTCACTTGTTGGGATTCTTTGGTTATTGGTTGAAGCATGAATGAATGAATGTAAGGAGCGTCAAATCATCTTACGGGGAGAATATAATTGCAGGAATATCTGAAGTGGCCTGTTTATGAGGAAGATTTGGATGGAAGAGATTGAATACTGATGCCAAATTGAATTGCCGCTGGAACAATCTGGAGGGTGCACAAACACGGACGTTTGAAGGTTACGAGGGGTCAGACTCTTTTTATGTCTTAATTGAAGTGCTGTAGATTTATCGAATGTAATATTTTGGTCAAGTTTTGGGTTTACGGATGATGTTCATGCTTGAGGGTAACCATTCCTTTCTTAATAATATTTCGAACTCAACATGCATGGCATGCATGGTTTGCAAAGACTATTTAATGGGTCGCTTACCTATGTAGCTGATGCATATTCTTTGAAACAATTTATTGGTGAAGATGGCCATGGCGACCCAATTTTTGGGGGCGTTCTTTTTTAGGGTAGCCAAGGCCTAAGTCAGTATATTATCTCAGAGAAATGCAGATATGACTGAAAAGAATGGAGACAAGGAAATTTGCTCAAATAATATGCTTAGCCCTAGCTTCGTGGTCTGCACCTAACCAATTCCACCAGAAGCATCTTTGTCAGGCATACTGCCAGCCGCCGCAAGGACGCCAACGATGTTTTAAGGACGAGGAGGAGGAAACAATATTTTCATCATCACTTCAAATTTGCAATGATATTACTGATATATGAATGACGAGGTTAAGGTTGAGGTTAATTATTAATATGCTGCTGAGCTTCTCCTTATTTTTTGTGCTCACATTTCATTTCATTGTGATGGGATCTTTTGCCTATATATGCATGCTTGTCCCATGGATGTTTGGTTATGCAATCCAGCCATAAAATAAAAAAAAGAATTCAACCTTCTTCCCGATTCCTGTCTTCTTTATCAAATAATGAGACACCTATGCATTCGGAATTGTATTTCATTAATTTAAATATCTATTTTATTCATTTAATAATTATTTTTTCAAAAAATTACTTCAATATGATATCATTTAACCACAATTATCCATCAAGATAGTCTTGAAAAATATACGAAAATTGGTAGTGAGCCCAACGAGTATACCTCGGATAAAATTATTTTTCATTTGAGTCGAGAATTAAACTTTCTTGTTTTTGGTCGAAGAGAATTAAACTTTCTAGTTGTAGCTCAGAACCACTCACAAGACTCGAAATGAAAGAGGAGAGGGAAGAGCGCAAATGGGGAAGCCCTCTTTCTCACTCGGATTGACAATCTTCGTCTCCCTCTCTCTCACAGCCTCCTCCTACTCCATCTCATCCTCTTCTTCATGTTCCCCAATCTTTCTCAAACCATCTTCACCATCAACATCTCCCAAAGCCACCCCTTCAGACCTGCTCTCTTTGCTGGGCTCCAAATCCCAGTCTTCAACCATTAACCCCCTTGTAGCCCAAGAGCTCACTTCTTGCTTCAAATTCCTCGTACCCTTTACGCCAAATGTCAACAAATTGTGCCCACAAAAGTATCCCAATAGAAAAGTCTTAAACTTGAAGCAAAAGGGTGATTTATGTCAACGGGAGGAGGAGGATGAGCTTGTTTGGTGGCCTCCTCAGCCGGTTTTGGAGCTTGCTCGCCTCGCTGTTGACTCTGGTGGAGACCCAGCTGCTATTCAACGTGCTTTGGATCCCACGATGATCACTGTCAGTCTCTTTTTCCTCTTTTCCTTTAGCAATTGCCGATGCCTCATGTCTACGTTTGCCTTTTGTGCTTAGATTTGGCGTAAAATTGTAACTTTGGTTTGGCAGCATTCTGATAAATTGTTGTCGGGTGCTTAACAGTTCTTTTTTCTGGAAAATTCATGGATACTTTTCCGAAATTGGTCTTCATTGTGTAGGTTTTTCCCCATTTTGATGACACTTAATTGGGAGATTGCAATTCATCCACATATTTACATCACCCTGTTCCAGAAAGTGGCTCTAACTTCTGGCATATTATGATTATACTTCTGTGGGTGTTCCATATACACATTGACGGTGTCATCTCACAACTATAACTAAGATTTATGATAAATTAAATGTATTGTCCGGGTTGTTTTACTAGTCTATCTGTACACCAGTTGTAACTGGAGGATGTTTAATTTAGTAATGCATTAGGTACCTGATGTTGAAGGATCAAAAGCAAACCGATGTGAGCTTACTAGAACTCCATATGGGAGACGCTTCATAAGTGAGGTAGGTTTGTATCAAAGGAATGAAACTTCAAATTTTCGAGTTATCCTCTACTCAAGAAATTAATTCTCTTTTTGAATTCATATAGTGCTCTTCTGTTGCACTGCAGGAGTTGAATTCATATATTGAATTTTTATTTGAACTTATTCTATCTCGGGGTCCCGCTGTTGGGTTGAATGTGTCGTTGAGTCGCTATGATTTATTCCATGGCCACCTTTTTCTTGCTATAGACACTGGAAGACTTGGTATATTGTAAGTTGGTATCTTTCTTACTGCATCCTTTCTTGTATTGTTGGTACCATAAAAGGCTGAGAAAATATTAGACCTAAGTTGTAGAACGGACAATGTTTTACCTATCATTGGTTATTTCAAGAACATATCTTTTTATGTTTGACAGATTCCATGCCAAAGAATACCCTGCATATGATAAAGAAGTATTTCCATATAATATGGGCTACTGTCAAGTAGGTAAAGATGCCTTGATTACATCTTTATTTTTGCAATTCTCAAAATCTGTTTTGGTACCCTAATACTAGCTGTTCTGTCTTCCAGAGTGACTTATCTGAAAATAGAAAAAATAATGAAGAAAGAACTTAAAATGAAATCCTCTTTTTAGCTTTATTAAATAGTTCCTCAAATTTTTTGGTTCCTGATGTCAAGCAATTACAATTGGTTAGATAACATGGTAATTTCTTGTGGTGAAATGTTTTTGTTACGCCTGTTCTTCTTATATTACATCTCTTAGGGTCTAATGTGAGATATGATGATTCAATGAACTTGCGAAATATCCTCTGGCTGGCTCCATTGCCAAGCAATTCAACTAAAGCTTGGGTAGCACCAGGTACCCTTCCATAACCAATGCACTAAGATATACTGGTGGTGATTGGTAAAAAATGAACCATAGGCTATTTCTTTTGTAATAAAAGTTATGTAATACGGCTTGTTGATTTTCAGGTGTCCTTGTAGCGCTGGATGCCCATCCAGAAGGCATCATATATAGAGATCTCATACCTGAATATGTAAATTTTGCAAGGACAATATATGAAGGTTTGAACTTCCATTATCATTTTCACTCCTACATGGGTGATATGCCATTTTCCGTTTCCTAACATAAGTTCCAGAAGATTAAGAAATACAATTTTTCATTGGTTCTGGTCAGACGATCTTGGGGAAGTTGCAGTTGATGTCAACTATTTGGATGTTGGGAATGCAAAGTTGAAGTTCCAACTTTTTATATGCTGATGCTCTTTTCAAGGTTTGTACCATATGCTTTCCCTTCATCGCCTAGTCTATTATGCGACAGTGCCAAGTAACCATGTAAGGAATCTACCTTTGTTTTGTTCTGTAAATAGTACTATAAGTCTCCCTTGATTGTGTTCTCTTTTCATTCTGATAGATGAAATGAGATGACTTTTAATTTCTTTTCGGTGCACAATTGCAGTTATTTATCGTGGATCAACCCCAAATGCGATACGAGCCAAATACAAAGTCTCAAGTAGGCTGGCAGGATGATTCCCTTGGTTTGATTGTGGAAAGTAAGATCCGAGAGTACACAGGAGTGCGTTGGTTTGTTCTTGCTGCAGATTTCGCTAGGCATGCAAGCTGAATTTGCCAGTGTCGGTGCAAATGTGGTTGTGCTGTTTCCCTTTTACTTCTGTTCCTAAGTGTGGAGCGCTGCAGATGAACTCACCAATTCATTGTTCCTAAATCATCATTTCTTCCCCATAATTTAATGGGGATGTGATTTGTAAAGAATGTCTTGGTTACTAGCTTGTTAATAAGAAATCTTAGATAATTGGTTGAAACAGAATGATAAATTAGAGTTAAAAGAAAAAAACTAAAAAGAGGAACCATGCAAGAGTGTTCAATCTCCTCATAATGAACTTGATTTCCCTATTAAACTAGGCCACAAAATGACATTTCCCTCTATTAAAAACTGGAATTATTATAGAGCAAACTCTAAAGCCCAAACCTAGAATATTTGCAGATAATTAGTGTAGCCCCTTGACCACTTTTAGAGCTCGTTCGAGAGTGATTCTGAATAAGCTAAAAAGCATTTTTGTGAAGGATCACTTCTTTATATAATCACTTTAAGTGGTTTTAAGTGATTTTATGGAGAATCACATGGAAGGTGTCTCTCTCCAGAATCACTTGAAGTGATTATATGGAGAAGCACATCTCAAAAGTGACAAAATCACTTTTAAACGAGCCCTTATTTGTCAAGAAGCAAGCCGAATATTTGTATTTTGGGTCGGTCGGGTTGTGGTTACGCCCGGACACCCCCGCCTAAATCTCCCACCATAAATAAAAGAGTAGAAAGCAAACACCCGGAGGTTAATTGGGATTTCTTTCTTGTGCCCGCACCATTTTCTCGACCTTTTTGTAATTTCCGGTCCTTTGGTTAGCTGCCTGCTCGCCTGCCTGCCACAAGGGGGGTGTGTGAGGGAGGGTTTTACAGTAGCCAGCCACCAAACACCTCAAACAATCTTCAATCATCTTCATCTCAAACTCTGTTCATCGTTCCGTTGCCAAGACTTCAACTTTCAAGGTAATAAGTTTACTTTCTCTCCTCTTCTCTTCTCTCTCTCCCTCATTTTTCTCTTCAACCAAACTTAAACCCGTGCTTTAGAATAGTTGAGTGACATTTGCTTCTTCTTCTTCATGGTAAGGCGCAGTATTGTTGATCTTGTCGTTTGCAGATATGGTGTTTGTAAAATTGCCTCTTAGACAATTTGTGTTAGTGTTGTATGAACTATAATTTGTTGGGCAATCTCTAAAGCGAACTAGTTTGCAGTAATGGCCATGGAAGAGCCAAAAGACCCGTTCAAAGGGGTGGATTGGAAAGCTGTTGGTAGTGACATGCAGAAGGACCCCAGTGTTAAGCCGGGCATAAAGAAGCGGCTTCCTAGAAAGATTAGGCAGATCCCAGATTGCTATTTTCTTCCTCGAAGATCCCTACCCTATAACATTGCATTCTTTGGAGCATGTATTGCTGGTGGCATTGGTGCTGGGATGCTGCTGGAGGTCTGGATAAACAAGAAAGTTAAAGGTACGTATGCCCTGTAATCCTGAAAGTTTCCAGCTTTGCAAGTTTAATGCTTTTGGTTAGATGCACTGCATATCTGAGCCTTGTCTATGGTGGGTTTAGGGGTTTATGGTTTAAAATGCACATTCAGAACATTAGGAATTACGAAAGGAGATGTTAAAATAAGAAATCTATGATCAGATTGCTGATGTTTTATGGTTCTACTTTGTTGTAATGCGTAGCCTATACTTTTCTGATTGTTGGAAGTTTCATCTCTTGGTTTTTACTAGTTGTATTTCAAAATAGAGTTTATGTGCTAATATATCATGCTTTGGTGCTGCAGATGATGGAGGAGTCATATGGGAGTTTGACAAATGAAGCCTAGAGAGATGGAGTTGTTAATGTGATGGCATTACAAATTTCCCCTCTACTCTCTCTGCCTCTTTGCTCTTTCAGAATATTCTTAATGAGAGATAAAAAGCTGTAAAGACAACTGAGTTTGGTTTCTATGCTAATGTCTGGTCTTGGCATTTTGATAATGAGCATACTATATTGTTTTGATATCGGCTCTCCGTTCTGTTTCAACTTTGATTTTCATATTATAGGAACTGATCACAACTCTGTGTCATTTTTCATACTTATTCCACAACTTCTCTTCTTTGGAGAAGATCACAATCGTCCAATAGTACAATAAAGTGGGAGAAGGTCATGATTATTTTTTCTTTAAACAAGCCTTAATTGGGATTACGCTTTCTTTATACAAGCGATATTGAGATTATTTTTTTCTTTATACAAGCGATAACACAACACCTATGGTGCATGGAAATCTGCTCTTAACCATGATGATTATCAATTATTTAACAAATAACTAAATCCTTTCTCTATCTAAAGACGATAATGACTGAAATTAAATTATTACTTTTTTGAAGCCCAAGTCAAGAGTTATTTAATATTAAAAAAAATAAAAAAAAGCTTTCATAGACTTGGAGAGATTTTTGGGGCAATAATCCGAACAAAACGAGTAGTTTTTAGGTGCGAACTACGCACCAGGGTACATCGTGCACCCCGGCACAACACAAAAAAAGCTTTGCCGCATACCACTTTTCTCTCTCTCGCTTTCTATACTCGCGCTTAGGCTTGGCTACTCTCTCTCTCTCTCTCTTCGAACCTCCGCTTCTCTCTCAGTCTCTGTTTGATCTTGTGCTCTCTTCTGATTCAATCTCTCTGTAATTGTGCGTGCGTGTTTGTAAATGGCTGCCGCGAGGATCGAGCGTGGCGATCTGTGGAAGAACAAGGCCCTGTCCGTACAGCTCCGGCTCAGGGAGCGGTTCAGAGTGGAGGTGGACCGCCGGCTCAGGCTCCACCCCATTTTTACAGACGACGGTTACTTCTCCTCCACCTTCCAGCGCTGGCTTCAGCGCTTTCGTGACTTCCGCAGAGACTCTCTCCCTTCTTCCACTGTTTTTTATCGCAAACGAGGTATTTTCTCAATTAAATTTGTGTGTGTGTGTTTGTTTCCATTATTATATTCGGAGCCGATTGAAATTTGATTGATGTGTTTCTGTCATTAATTTTTTCCGTATTTCTTAAAAATTGCAACTTTTTTTAATAAGATTCTTGGCGGTGGACTTAGTTTAGGCAGTGAAGAAATCTCAAATTTTTAGTTTTATTTAGTTAAAATTGTTTGATGAATGTAATTCACTCTCTCCTAGTCTCTTGCAGTTAAAAATCAGTTAGCTAGCTAGCATGAGAGGCAAGACTAGTTATGTTTCAAATTAGTAAGAAATTAAGAATTTCAGCTTGATGACGATTTTGGGTTCCTATTGGCTCGCATTTTGTTAATAACTAATGTTGCTTTTGTTTCTTTTCGTTAATGAACTAAAATTTTTGAAGAATTTGTAAGTGTTTAGATAGCGTTTGTTTAGTTTGCACTTCTATCTATAATCTAAACATGTGGGAATTGCTGTGAGTTTTTGGTCAGAACCATAATAAAAGGATGATTTTTGTTTTTTCTGCCTGCAGTGGGTAAGGAATTCAATGCTGAAGAAGAATCAGTCCTTCTTCGCATGCTTCAAGCTGTGGCTGTTCCGGTGATTGGCAATGTTTGTCATGTGTTTATGAATGGATTAAATCATATCCAGGTATGCGAACTTGTGCGGAATTGATATAACCCGACACCTTTTTTTCTACTTTTGAGGGCTGCACGAATAATTTGGATTTTTGGGTGTGATAGGTTTATGGTGTAGAAAAATTACATGACGCTGTGCTACACAGACCCAAAGGCCAGCCTCTAATAACGGTAGAGCCCCATGATCCTATTCTATGGATCTAGAACTGAGTGTATTTTAATCTATTGGATTAACCACCATTTGCTCCTCCACTTTCAGGTTTACCATTGTTGAATTATGATGTTTTCTTTATGTATTCCGTTTCAGGTGAGCAATCACGTTGCTTCTATGGATGACCCGCTTGTTCTTGCTGCATTGCTTCCTCGACATGTTCTTCTGGATGCTCAGAACTTGAGGTGGACACTGTGTGCCACTGATCGATGTTTTGCAAATCCTGCAACTTCAGCATTTTTCGATCTGTCAGAGTCTTGCCAGTTTCTCGTGGTGATGGGATTTATCAGAAGGTATTCTTTGAAATATGTCTTTAAGGTTTGCTGCATTGCTTACTTTTTAAGCGATGCTATAGTGTGATAACCACGCCCATGTGATTCAGGGTATGGATACAGCTATTTCGAAACTGAATCAAGGTGGTTGGGTGCACATCTTCCCAGAAGGTAGTCGTTCTCGAGATGGTGGCAAAACCATGGGGTCTTCCAAGAGAGGTGTTGGGAGGTGAGGATCTTGTTGTGAAAGTGTGTTGCAAAGAGAGATTCCCCTTTTCTTGGATTCATAGGAGTTTTTTAAATGATTTTTTTGGGGGTTGGCTCCCAAGCTTTGGTCTTTGAGCTGTGAGCTTCATTGTAAAGAGATGTGTCTTCCTTTTGAATAGTAACTTTTGGCACATTGGTTGCAGTGCTCTTTTCTTTGGAACACTATTTGATGACTGTTGCATATTCTTACTTGGCAGGTTAGTCCTTGATGCTGACAATATTCCTATGGTTGTTCCATTTGTGCATAGTGGGATGCAGGACATCATGCCTATTGGTGCCAGCATTCCAAGGATTGGCAAGACGGTAGGTAGTCTAATGCTTGCTATTCTCAATAGATGTTCAGTTTTTCGCAACTCAGTGTCCTTTTGATATGGTGATGGTGTTATCTTTCCAGTCAGATATTCTTTTAAGACTTTAGCAATTATATGAGTGAGGGGATAGGCCTTTTTATCCAGTCTTTTGGAAAATGTAGGTGACGGTGGTTATTGGAGATCCAATCTACTTTGACGATCTGTTAAATTCTGAAAGAGCTAAGCATGTATCAAGAGGAAAGTTGTATGATGCAGTGTCTTCAAGGATTGGACATAGACTGCGTGAACTGAAAGTTCAGGTGGACAAATTGGCTCAAGTGACTCGGCCCCAAAATCTTCCTGCACAGAACACAGAGCGAGCTGCGGTCATTTTGCAGCAGGTTGATTGGGAATCATTTGGAATGGGGAACTTAGTATCTACTGAAGATGATGGTTCACTGGTGCCTGAAACTCAGGTCCAACTAGTTTCTACGCATACACAAGAGCCCAGGTCTACCGATACTGATCGGCGTTTCAGAGTGGGTTTCTCTCGTGAAGGTGGCATTGCATCGCGGATGCGTAGTTTTATGGACCATCCTGACTTGATGGGTTTTGCAGCCAGAGGTTTATTTATGAACCGTAGAGCTCGTGAAACAACTCCAAGTGGTAGAGGGGTTGGTCCCTTGAAAGCATGGAAACAATATTTGGAGGCCAATGTATTACCACAATGGAATTAGTTCTAACATAACACTCAAGGAGAGTGAGAGGCCTATGTAAATTAAAATTTTGATTTTCATCATGAATGAATTGAGGTTTTGGTTTAAAATTTTCTTTTTGTTTTAAGTTTAAACGGAAGTTTATAATAATTTGACTTCACCTCGTTGGATTGAAACCGATAAATTTTAATAAAACTCAATTTGATTCAATAGTTAATAAATTTTTTCTTCTTCTTATTTTCACTTGGGTTGGATCATTATGTTCTTACAAAAGAACCTACTGAAGCAGGTTAATTTGACAGTTGAATTATATTTGTTCAAAAAAGACAATAAAAAATTAAATAATTTCTGTTTAAAAAAATATATATACATAAGCATATCGTTCCTTTCTTCGCGTTCAACCCAAAACAAATCACGTTTCTTTCTCTCAAATTACTTTATATAGTGTTATTTTTCCGCAAATATAATTTCAAAAACTACAAACCAGCTGACTTCCTCACTACAATCAATTTGCCTACATTTCACATCATTGAAAGAAAACACAACTGTTTCAATTAGAAACAAAAAGGTTCTCTCTTTTCATTAATTTCTTTTAATCTTCTTTTGTATGATTCATTGTACGTTGTCGCTTCTGCCAGAAATTGGCAGAGTTTTGCAAAATGCCAGAAGAAATGGTGATGCAGATCTTGTCATGGCTGCCTCCGAAATCTCTGATGCGATTCAGATGCGTTCATAAATCGTGGTACAATTTCATAAATGACCCCAACTTTGTGGATGTCCACCTCTCCAAATCCGTAGACAACAGATGTTCATCCAAGACCTCAACTTGTGTCCTTTTCAAGCGTTGTGTCCTCAACGATGAAGCAAATCATATTTTGTTGTCACTTGTTGATCTTAGCAATGACAACGATGATGTTCAAATTCAATCTAATTCTATCCGAGACCTCAACCTTAATAATGTTCCTCCACTTTCTGTAGGGCTAAGGCACGAATGTTTGGTAGGGCTAAGGCACGAATGTTTGGACATTGCAGGCCATTGCCATGGGATTATTTGTCTAACTGATTTCTCTGAGAATGTTTTTCTGTGCAACCCAGCTCTAAAGCAACTCAAGCTTCTTCCCAAGTCATGCCTTCGTCTACCTCAACCTCCCCCGAAAACCCTGAACAGATTGCAGTCGACAGGGGTAGCTGTGGGATTTGGCTACGACAGCAGAGCCAGGGTTTACAAAGTTGTTCGAATCGTAATGCATTTTGAGGGGTTTTGGATCTTGTTCTTCCCTCACATGGCAGAGGTATATACCATGAGCTCTAACTCTTGGAGAGAGATCAAGACTGATATACCAAGCACTGTGGTTTGGTCTTCTTCTTCTTCCCAAATCTACTTCAAGGGTGTTTACTATTGGTTTGCCTTGGAGCTGGACAAGCAAACCCTAGACGAAAACAAGAAAGTCATGCTCTCCTTTGACATGGACGACGAGTTATTTTTCGATACGCCGGTGCCGGATAGTTTACAAGATTCAGAAGAAAACTATGGAAGCCTTGGAGTGTGGAATGAATCCATTGCTCTGTTTTCTTATCACGTAGAAAGTGGGGTTTCTAAATTCATAGACATATGGGTGATGGATGGTTTTTGTGGTATCAAGGGTTGTTGGACAAAACACTTAACCATCGAACCTATAGCAGGCATTGGGATGCCGTTGACATTTTGGAACAGTAATGAGCTTCTTCTAGTTGCCACGGATGGATATGTAGTTTCCCACAATTTCGATACCAAAGTGCTTAGAAATCTTCCTATTCATGGTGTGCTTTTTGAACATTTTCAAGCTGTGCTTTATACAAGTAGCCTCATTTCGGTTAATTGAGACAACAACAAGATTCTCATGTTAAGTAATCTCTCGTTCTTCTACTTCTTTTAAGAAACGTTCTTTTTGTAATTCTTGTAATTTTAATGAAATATTACTTTTGCATGTGTCAGATTGTAATTTGACAATTAGGAAGCTGTTATGGGTTTTGAATGAAAGTGAAGGGGAGGTTAGGAATGGTGTGTATACTGTGAGATTTCTTTTATTTATTTTTTAAATAAATAGTATAGCCGTTTTTAAAATTTTTTTATTACATAGTATCGCCAAGTGGCTATACTATTTAATAAAAAATTTAAACAGTCACGAGTATATCCGAACAGCTATACGTTTGAAATATATTTAAAGCGTATCGCCGCTCGGCTATACTATTTATTAAAAAAGTTTAAAAGAGCCCAGTGTATAGCCGCACGGCTATACTGTTTAAGTATAATATATATAAATCGTATAGCCGGGCGGCTATACTATTTAATTATTAAAATGGTCGTCTGTAATGCACAAGAACTGGGTCTTTCCTGAACAAGCGCTTCCCGTGGATCTCATCAAAAGGTAAAATCTTATAACCATAACGTTTTTCATCTAAAAATTTCAGCAATGGATGCAACTCAAATATTAGAGCTAAGACACAATGTTACAGGGAAAAATGAATACAACTAAAGGGTCTAAAAGATTTGATGAATGCTGTCATTATGTTCTTAAGTCTCAAAAACAACAAAGATGAAAGGCTTGGCTTTTAATTATCTACTCTTTGCTATGTTCAGAGGAATGGCAGTTGAAGATCCAAAATCGTCACACGGTGTACGCTTACTGATAAGAGGACTATCCATATGCTGCTGATGGGCTTGAATATGGTCTGCAATTAAAACATGGGTTAAAGAGTATTGCTTCTTCTACTATAAAAAATGATGAAATGGTTCAAAATGACTCAGAACTCCAGTCTTGGTGGAAGGAACTCAGAGAGGAAGGTCATAGTGACAAGAAAGATGAACCCATGGTGGCCTAAAATGCAGACTTGTGAAGAGCTGATAGAAACATGCACCATGATCGTATGTCTCTCTTCAGCCTGTCATGCAGCAATCAACTATGGCCAGTACTCTATAGGTGGATACGTCCCGAACCGGCCAAGCATAAGCCTGCGCTTCATGCCGGAAGAAGGCACACCTGAGTATGAGGAGCTCAAAACCAACCCTGACAAGGCATTCTTGAAAACATTTACACCTCAGCTGCAGACCTTGCTTGGCATGGCCTCCATAGAAATCTTATCAAGGCACCCAGTTGATGAGCTTTATCTGGGGCAGAGAGACAACCCAGAATGGACAACAGATGCAAACATGTTGCAAACCTCTGAGGATTTTAGAAAGAAGCTGGAAGGAATTGAGAAAAGAATTATAAAAATGAACAAGGATAATAAATTGAAGAACCGGGTTGGACCGTCCAAGATCCCATACACTTTGCTCTATCCTTCTAGCGAGCCTGGACTTACTGGCAAGGGAATTCCCAACAACAGTGTCAACATCTAATGCTTCTCTATTTTGTATATTTTACTCATCCTTCTCTCTTGGCTCGATATTTATTTATTTATATTTTTTGTAAGAATAAATTCAGAAATTGTTCATGTGTTTACTATGTGAATCGTGGGGGATAAACCGGAGGTACACATGCTGAAATTACTTCATGGACAAAATCTGCACACATAAGCTTTCAAGTTAGTCCAAAGTCAAATAGATCATGAAACATAATTAAGAACCAAGAGACATTCAACAATCAGATTTCATTGGTATCAAATTAAACAACAAAAGCAGACTGGCAAGTCCTGCATCAAACATAGCAAGTCCTGCTTGCTACCATTACATTAATGATCCATCAAAACCAGAGTATTATTGTTTTTCATGAAACAAGAGTATAACCAACAGGCTGCACGCCAGTTTCTCCAATTGCAGAACTTCAAGGTATCTGCTTGGCAACTCTTAGCCCAAGTCCAAGAACTCCGTCTTCGTCCAGATCAGAAAGAACCTTCTGGTCAGGAAATGGGCCTTCTCCTTTATAAAAATTCGCCTCTGTTTCTTCATCAGCCACAGCTCTTGCAAGATTAAAATTATTTTGTCAACCAAAACTAGATTTCTTGGTAGGTCTTAAAACATATTTTTTATATGATTACACAATTTGTATGGAAATGAGCCTCTTACTTCTGATCATACACTTTGCATTTGATTAAATAAGTATTTAAAGTGCATAGCCGGCTATACTCTTTGTGTATATAAATATTTAAACAGTATAGCCGCGCAGCATTACTATTTAAAACAAAATGTCCCGCGTATAGCCCTACTAATTATTAATTTTTTTAAAAAAGGTCCCGAGTATAGCCGAGTGGCTATACAATTATTATTAAAAAAATTAAAAAGTCCATAGTATAGCCGCGCTGCTATACGCTTCGAATATACTATATTTAAAAAGTGTTATATTATGTTATATTCTTTCCACATATCCAAAGCATATAATGATGAGTGAGAAATTTCACAGTAAATCAATCAAGTGTTCAATTTTGTCATCATTTTTTTTTCTTGGGAATGTTTGCTTTTGATCTACCTCACTCTCTCGAGTCCTACTAAATTTTGTTACTGTACACATTATTTGTCGTAGAGAATTGCATGTTGAGTTGGAGTGGTCTTGTTAATTACTTCATTTTTCCAACACTTTATATGAAGAATACTACATCCTCTCTTACTATTATATCCATACATCTTTGTTTGAAATTGTTGTTTTGGTTGGCAAAGAGATTGCAAAATCACCATCTTGCATTTTTGTTACAACAAGTAAGAAATAATCTTAGCCTCCCACATTATTTCATAATTAGTAAAATATGGAATGCAACTAATACGAATATAATATGTACGTGTTTATTTCGGCAAAATTTTGGCAAGTTACAACTGAAAAGTTCGGCCACTATATAATATTTTAATATAACTTATATAATTTTTTTAATATATATTGTTTTTATTAACAAAATATGTGAAAATTTTGTGCATAATATGTAAAATTTTTGTGCATTATTGAAAATTTTGTAAAAGAACATGTGTATTAAACATGAAAAATATGTACTTACGTGACAAATATGTGTATTAAAATGCAAACGTTATTAGGCCATTACACGTCACGTATTTTAAAACGAAAAAGTACAATACACATGTTGTATACGTATGTATGTATTTTTAATATTTAATACACATATTTTTACAAATTTTTTAATAATACACACAAAATTCATGTATTATACACATAATTTTGGTATTTGTAACGTTCATCCAATAAAAGGAGATGATATTGTGGTGGATGATTAGATGTTGCATGGGTCAGTGCAGAGGCTACAACCAAAAGGCACTACTTTCTGTGATGGCAATCACAACCGTCAGTTATCCTCAGATGGTATAATGATTGGACGGACAGGATCATGGGCATCATTGACCCCAGCAGGTTTTAGTGGTTACAAAAACCATCCCCACCACTCAAAATCATTTCGAGTTACAGTCACCACCTCACACCTCCCAGGTGACCTTTACAGATCACAATTCACACACTTCAAAGGCAACTCTCCTCTACGACGCGTTTCAATCATAACAAATCCAGTCCGTTGATTTTTGTGGGCCCCGAGAAACTCAGCGTCTGGATTCTTACAGTTTTACGTGTTTCCCAGGAAATCACTCCCCTCTCTCTCTTTCCCTCTGAATCTTGCACCAGTTCATTTCCCATTCAAATCTCAGAGAGAGAGAGACTGAGAGAGAGAAATGGCGGACGAAGAAGAAGCAGAGCTTAGCGAGAAGCAGAAGAAAGAAATAGCAAAGTGGTTCCTTCTCAACTCTCCTCCAGGAGAAATCCAATTCGTTGCCAAAGGTCTCACCTTTGACCGCACTCTTTCTTCACATTTCTTTCGCTTTCTCTAATTTTGTTTCATTTTTTAATTTCAATTTTTGATCGATCATGTGAATCGCATTTTGTATTTGGTGTTTGGGTTTGGTGGCAGATGTGAAGGCGGTACTGAACGACGACGTTTTGTACGAGGAGGCTGCGTCAGAGGCATTCCCACTGTATAACAAATCCCACTTGATTTCCCTCGAAATGCCCGGTCGAATTGGAGACGTATGTTTTCTCATTATTTTTTCTGTTTATCTTTTTTCAATTGAAGTCTCGACTTTTCTGAATAAAGGCTCCCTCTTGGTTTTAGTGTTTCATTTCGACGAATTTTGGAGCTCTTATTTTATGAAATGTGAACTTTTTTACTATTTTTGTTGTATGTATTTGTGCTCATTGGTTGTTCTTTCTAAAATATATGGAATTGTGTGCATATATGGATTATATCTACTTATCTTTTTTGTGTGAACAGGTTATAGTTACATCATTTGGACAGCTCAATGAGACTGAGTTCATTGATCCCAGGACTGCTCAAGTTGCTGTAGTTGACCACATCAAACAGGCAAGTCTTATGCTTCCACACACCTAATATAAAAGCTTTCCATGTATTTTTGTTACCTTTGTTTGTAATTACATCCTATTTGATTTTGTCATCTAAGTTTTGTTACCAATTATTTCATCATAATGTGCTAAAATTGGTTCAGGTTTGTACAGAGGTGAGACCTGCTCTGGATGAGGAGCTTCCATCAGCATATGTTGAGGAATTTCGGTATGCTTTTCTAAGTTTTATGGCAAGAAATTCTTTGCATTTTGTATTCTCTAAGATAGTTGACTTAATATTAGGGCCTCTAGTGCTCTGCTTCGTGTCAGGCATGCATGTTGATGTGCGTATTCCAAGTAATTTTACCTGGCCAAAGTATTCGACCCTGCAGGAACTACTTTCTTTGTCAGTTTTGATATACCAAAGCAGTTTTTACTTGCTACAGTAAACTGAGGTTTGAGGATGCCTTTCCATAATGGCCGGGAGAGAACTTTGCAATAAACTTGTTACTTATGATCAAATTATCTTTTGAGCGTGCTTGTTCATATGGCTATACAAGAATGAAAAATTATTGACAGCTTTTGGAATTGGAAACATAGCACACGAAGAACCAAACTTGTTTTTATTTTATTCATGTGTGTATTTTTGTGTGTGCATACGTGCACTTGCGTATAATTCCGCATTCCTTTGTGTCAGGTGTGCTCTCGATGCAGAAATGCTTAAATATGTTGATGAAGCTTATCCAAAGGGAATTTGCTCAGTGTACTGTGGCAATGGTAAAGATGTAGAGGGCCCAGGATCTGACTTTGAGCTTGTAGTGGTGATTTCAGCTGCTAGACATAGCCCACAAAATTTCTGGTGCGTGAAATTAGTTATATACCCAATCCATGAGCTTGTTATTGCTCTTTAGTTTTGTATTTCAGTTAGAACAAAATGTATATGTAGTCTGTACCAACAAATGTGTCCTGTTATTACACCAGGTCATTTCGCTGTTACAAATACAGTTAGGTTTTCTTTTTTTCCTTTTTTACATGGCCATCTTCTGATATAGTTTAATTGGCATGTTCCATAGCAATGGTAGTTGGCGCTCGATATGGAGCATTGAGTTCAAAGATGAATTACAAATGCTGGAATTGAGCGGCAAGCTGCAGGTATTTGTTGTTTTGGACTTGGTGCATGTCTGCAGACTGGTTTCTTTGTATCTATGCAATTCAGACTGCAGTAATTTGCTTGGTTCATAGTATAAGAACCTAACCATGAGTTTAACTGTTTCTCATCTACGTCCTCCTATTCTTATCCTTTCAGGTGGGTGCGCACTATTTTGAGGAGGGAAATGTGCAATTAGATGCAAAACATGAATGCAAAGATACAACAATTTTTCAGGTTGAAGTTAAGATATGACTATTGCCATGTGTTGTCATTTTTATTTTGGTATTACTTGGGATGATTTATCATGCAAGGTCTCTACAGCAACAGTATAATTAAATTTGATATTGTGATGCTTAAGCATTGGATAGTTCCCATGTCGTGCTTTACATTATTGATAAAACATTTCCTGTTGCTTTTTAAACTTTTTGTCATAGCTTACAGATGTGTCCCTTTTTTTCACCTATTTGGTGCCTTCTTTTCTTGATTGATATGTCTCATATACGTTGCAGTCCTCGGAAGATAGTGCAATTGCCATAGGCAACATTATTCGCCAACATGAGACAGAGTACTTGTCATCTCTCGAGGTTCAAAACATCCCACTTTCTTCAGTTTATAGCTGATGTTGTTTTACTTATTGAGCTTTTTACTAACAAATTTACTTCTGCAGGAATCCTATTCAAACTTGCCTGATACCACTTTCAAGGTACCATTGACTTCAACTGACCCTGAAGTTAAACTTTTTGTATATTGGTACAATGGAACATATTTGGACATAATACGTCTAACATAAACATGAAACACATTTGCAGAAAAAAAATGTTTCTATATTATGTCTGAGCTCAAAACCATTCCAGTTGTTATTTTGTTAAATCTGTATTATGTTTTAACGGGAGATTGATTCCAGTGCTAACCTTCAAAACTTAATGTGATGCAGGATCTTCGAAGAAAGCTTCCAGTTACCCGCACCTTATTTCCATGGCAAAATACGTTGCAGTTCAGCTTGACAAGAGACATTACAAAAGAACTTGGCATCGGAAAGTGAATTCCGCCTGTTCAACTGAAAGAACGAGTTTCTTCCCATCTAGACCCATAGCTTGAGTATGCCAGTCATACTTGCGCTGACTATCTGTCGTTCCATTTTCTCGTTTCCATTCTGAGTCATGTCCTTTGCCATTGAAGCTTCTTTCCCTCAGTTTTGGTGCTTGTAATATAATTGTTATTTATGTCGTATATAGTAAAGGGTTGTGGCTGATTCTCGTTGTGTTATAAACTTGTAACTACTGAAGCTGTCGAGGAGTTTGTAATTTTATGTATTCTGAGGAGTGGCTTAATTTGTGCCTTTTCTTTCTACAAAGTGGAGATTTAAATTAGATGAGTTTGTGATATGTGTGGTTCAGTGGTTACTAATTAACCATTAATCTCTGGACTCTGGAGAATATGTTGCATAAGCATATCACTTTTCACAAATGTAAACCAAAATTAGGTTTCGAAAGCCACAAACTTAATCTTGTTTAAGGCATTAAACATCGGTACTAATAAAGATCATAAAATACAGAAATATCAATGCAAAAAGAAATTAAATTGTAAATAAAAGTATAGAATGAAACGCACGAAATATTTCTATATAAATTGTCGAAAAACATAACTGGGCTAGGTCAAGCCCGCGCAAACCAGTGCTATATAAAGAGCTAACTGAGCCTGTGTTGTTCTTTGAAAACATTTTCTCGCCGCAGATTTTCAGCAACCAAACGGCGAACTTTCACTTTCTTCTTACCTCATGTACTGATTTTTGGGTTAGGGTTTGGAATTTGATTCTCTTCTCACTTAAATTTGAAAACTTTCATCTTGTGTTTGTATCGTATTTATTCTGATACTGTTGTAGTTGGTTTGATTACAGCTTCCACTTTCTCTGCTTAAAAACACTGCAAGGCCACCTTATAGTAAAGTAAGGATCTCTCTCAAATTTAGTCTCTTTGGTTACAGAGAAAATTTAGGGAGAAAATAAGGTGCATTTCATTATGTTTTAGCACTGCAAATAAATACGATATACAAAGGAATAAACTTGACAAACAACTGACTGGGTTAGCTAAGATGTTTCTAATTATTTCATCCTTGAACAAATTTATTCTTCATCAATAAAATTTTCCCCTCTGAATCTTCTTTGGATGCTTCTTTTATGTTTGATCCATTTGGGACCCTTCCTCCCTCACTCCGTTGTGTTTGTTTACTGGTTAGTATTTGTGTCTTTGTGTGTTGTCTGGGATGATGCAAATTAGCCAAATCATATGTGGATGTGCTCCATGGGGCAGTTTTTCCTAAGCTTGTACTGGTTCCTATTTGAGAGGCATTTTGCCAGTCTCTTCTATGGACTTGGTTAGGCTTTTGATATTTGCCTTTTGTAGAAGCGCATCTATCTGATGATAAAACAGAGATAAGGGTTCTTGCTGACCAGAATTTTGCTGTCTTTCTTGAATTGGTTATTTTTGTGTCACCTTTTCTTTGCTGACCAGAAATTCCAATGATGTAACCTTTTCTTTGTGATACAGACAGGATGACAGGTGCAGTAAAAAGCTTGTAACTTGCTGCAGAGTTGAGGTGGCTGGAAATTATTGTGGATTGTTTATTAATGTAAAAATTGTTCCAAATCCCAATTATACGATTTTTCCCTTGGAATTTCTCCAGAAAACAAAGGCTAATACAGTCCGTATAGTGATACTTTGAAGCTTAATCCACACACTCCCATGGTACCAATGAATCGACAAGTTATGACTACTGCAACAATTTTCAGTATAAAAACATGGTTTTCTTTTTTTGCTGGAAGAATAACAGAAAAACTGAAATCATAATATGAAACAAAATATTTGTCTTTCATGTTTATCCATAACAGTTATGTTCTGACCTCACGGGTCTTTTCAAAGAAATAAAAAAGGAGATGGGTAATGTAATTATACACGCAACTTTGAAATTACTCCAAATTACTGTACTAGTGGGTTGTTTGTTATTTTGATGTATTTATTGAGGATATGATATATTTTATATTTCAATGATTCATTCAATCCTCTAGAGGGGTAATTGCAAATTGACAAATATCCATGCAATGAAATCAGTCAGTCAGTCATCACTATCTGAGAGTGGACTCTGAGTTTAGTTATATAATATATTTTACAAGAAGCTTAGCTTAGCTTTTAGCTGAACTGAATAGCTCACCCTCATCATCAAAGCTCAAACACCGTTGACGTCACAAAATGGCCGAAATCAAAGCCGATACGGCCACTCACCACCACCATCTCAACGTGTTGGAACCCGATATTTCGGACCACAAGCCTTCCAAGCCGAAACGTGTCGCTTCCCTCGACATCTTTCGTGGCCTCACTGTTTCGGTAACTCAAACAAGTTCACTCTGTAGTTTACTTTTGTTACTTCAATTCAGTGTCAAAACCGTAAACAGAAACAACGTTTTTGAGGTTCTGTCGGGAGGAAACGAGACTTTTGTTGGCGTTTATGAATTTTTTACTTGGCATAGTTTTCTTCTTGATGATGCAGCTGATGATTTTGGTTGACGATGCTGGTGGAGAGTGGCCTGTGATTGGGCATGCGCCATGGAATGGCTGCAACCTTGCTGACTTTGTAATGCCATTCTTCTTGTTCATTGTGGGCATGGCCATTGCACTTTCTCTCAAGGTTGGTTTGCTTTCCTTTCTCTGTTTTTCAATTTTTCCTTCTTATTCAACAAAATGGTAGCATAATATTACAGTACAAATTTGAATTAATGACCTTTCTTCTTATAGAGAATACCAGACCAACTTTTGGCTGTCAAGAGGGTGATTCTTAGAACTCTCAAGCTTCTGTTCTGGGGTCTCCTATTACAAGGTCACTGTCCTTGAAACCTTATATTGAATATATTTGTTTGTTGGGTTCAATTTGACTCCTACTCTGCTTACATTTTTGGCCTTCAAGAGAAAAAAGACATAAACTAGGGAGTATTATGCATTCCCTTTATTGATTTAATTTGCTTTTCAGTTTCTAGTCTTATGTGAAAGAAACTCTAATAATATGATGTAGTTTTGTTCCATTTTCCCCCAGCTGAGGAGGTGAGGAAATCTGACATAGCTAAATAGGGGAAAAAAAACATTTCTCATCAAAATCTTAATTGCTTAACACTGCACTGTTTATTGTGATTCAACTGTTGCTCTTTGTATGATGCATCACTTTACGTCACACTTGAAATTAGAAAGTTATTTCGGAATGCCTTGAATGCTACTATTGTTGAGGAGACTTGACTGGCATGGCTGCAGTCTGCAGATATTAGCTTAGATGGTTCCTGTTAAAGAGTTAGAATGTCAACGGTTGACTTGATTAATTCTTTAACCGTTCCTACGAGGCTCTAACATGTGGATGGACTGCTAGGAACTTAAGTTTCTTTTACAAATGAGGCTTAGAGGTCATTGACAAGTTAAAGGTCTCAGAATAATAACCAAAAGTCTACATATCAACATGTTTTCATAATAATCTGTTACTATTCAAGGACATAAAAGCAATAAGGGTCCAGACCTTACTTTGATACTCTCATGTTGACATGCCTTCAATATGTTGTGAAGGAGGTTTCTCACATGCTCCTGACGAACTAACATATGGTGTTGACATGAAAGAAATAAGGTGGTGTGGGATTCTCCAGGTAATTTTGATAATTATATGCATTTGCATGTTGTTGATGTTGATTACATAGTTGAGTTTTATGATGCACTGCAACTTGTAGTAATTCATGTTACCCTTTGTAGAGAATTGCTCTTGCATATCTGGTAGTGGCTTTGATAGAAATTTTCTCCAGAGGTGCACAAACCAAAAATATGGCACCCAGCGGGTTCTCCATATTCAAATTATACTATTGGCATTGGTAATTCTTTTATTTCTATGATGCTATGGTTTTTTTTCCCTATTTGTTATAGTTCTTTCATATTTAGGAAACAATTATGAATGAATTTTCCCTTCAAAATTTCCAGGCTGGTGGCAGCATGTGTTCTCACTATTTACTTTGCTGTAATTTATGGGACATATGTTCCTGATTGGCAATTTACTGTCCTTGACAGAAAGAGTATTGATTATGGGAAAAGTTTCACTGTAAGCCTCCAGTTCTCACATCTCATACTTCTACTAAATGATAGGAATCTGTTAAAATCTTTGTAAGAATTGCTGAGTAAGGAAAATTTGAATGTGTTTGAAGCTACAATATATTCTGTGTTTGAGAATTCTTTTCAGTGGTAATATTCATTTATCTACAAGGATTTCTTATCAATAGGTAGCTTGTGGCGTGAGAGGACAACTAGATCCTCCTTGTAATGCAGTAGGATATATTGATAGAGAAGTGTTGGGAATCAATCACATGTATCCGCGTCCAGCTTGGAAAAGATCTAAAGTATGTAGTTTAATCCTTTATATATATAGGGGTCGGATCCGTGGCACCATATTTTTGACACAAGTTTTAGACCTTTAGATCTATAAACTTTTAATGGTTGAGATGTACTTTGATTTCTCAAAACAATAAATTTTCTTCAATTAATATTTATACATTGGGATTAAAATTCTGATACCATATTAATTAAGAATTCATTCTCTCTCTCATCTCATTAATTATCTTTAATTAGTTCTTTCCCTTTCCCACTAGACTCTTTTGTTCCTTCGCACCCTCTGCATTTTTTGTTCTACATTCATCATCCGCCTGCGATCTTCTCTTCTATACTAATTAATTTGTGGCTTGAAGCAAATGTGAGGGAAAAAAAGGTAGCTTTATCTTCTATATGGTCTGTTGGAACAGAGAAATCTTCCATATTTTCTCTACTAATTTGGATTTTCTTCGAGTTTCTCATATCATATGCTATGCTATGTTTTAGCTTTAACTTTATTTTCAACATCTTCATAACCAATATTTATTGATTTTTATTTATTTATTATGTGATAAAAATAAAATATTAAGAAGAAGAAACCAATATGATTGTACGATACTACAGATTAAAATATAACATTATTAAAAAAATGTAAAAATTATTGGTGGGAAATTGTAATATGTAGAGGGGAGATGAATGAATGGAGAAGAAGAGAGAGACATAGAGATGCAGAGGGACGAAGGGCAAGAGCCAAATAGGAAATAAAGAGAATGAAAACTAAGGTGCGTTACTTCCCTAACTCTGAAGTAATTTTGATTGAACAGAAACAAAGACCCAGTTTCTCTCCAACGCCCACAAATTGACTAGATTAATGTGATCTACTCTGCAACTTGTTGTGTAGATTATTAAAACAATGATTTATCAATATAAATCTTAAGTCTAAGTAATATTTGCTAGTTTGTGATTTAGATGGAATGGTTTGCTGAAATTGGATGGCTAGTTTGTGATTTCAGGGTTACTGAAAAAAGCAAGAAGAAGAAGGGAGGTGGTGTTAATGAGAAGGCACGAAGAAGAGAAGAAGAAGAAGTGCCTTGTTTCAATAAGCCATCAAAACTTAATTAAATGAAGAGAGAGGAAATACAAAAGTCAATTAAAATTTATTTTCTATAAATTCTTATTTAAATAATAAAATAATTAATTTGTTTAATCACATCCATTGATAGTGGGCTAATCCAAGGTTTAAAACTTGTGTCAAAAATATGGTGCCACGGATCCGTGTCAGCTGTAATCAATGCTTATTTTGTTTATATGATTTTCTGATGTAGAGCATATATCAGTGTCAGTTGTAAACGTTTAACCTTCTTTACTCCAAACTGCTGCAGGCTTGCACTGAGAATTCCCCATATGCAGGACCATTTCGACATGACGCTCCATCATGGTGCCATGCTCCTTTTGAACCTGAAGGAATTGTAAGGTAAATATAACCCTTTCCATTGTTGGACTTTAACCATTGCGTACTGAACTGGTTTTGGTGTTGTTCAACTACAGCTCAGGGATTAAGCCCCTGAGAAACTTTTTAGAACTTTATATTTATGTCAATTTGTTTCATCCTGTAGCTCTATATCTGCAATTCTCTCCACAATCATTGGAGTACATTTTGGTCATGTGCTTATACAAATGAAGGTCAAGTCTCAAATTTGATGTACTTAGAGCTCCCTGGTTAGCATGTGCAAGACTCTTCCTCACTGTTCTCATGTTTCCAACAACAGGGTCATCCAGCCAGACTGAAGCATTGGATCCCAGCGGGCTGTGCTCTCCTTGTCTTAGGAATCATTCTTCATTTCACTCACGGTGCGAACTGAGGCGAAGTGTATGCAGCTATGTTGTGTTTACCAATCAATAATATATTTCTGATGTTTTATGCCCAGTGCAGCAATTCCTTCAAACAAACAGCTATATACATTTAGCTATGTATGTATAACATCTGGAGCAGCAGCTTTGGTGTTTTCAGCCTTCTACATTCTGGTATAGTTTTGTCATGAAAATTTTGATGGTTCTTTTCTTTTTACATGAGGTTTCTCAAATTTTCTCTGCTAAAGATCAACATCCTGCAATGCCAGGTTGATATCTGGGGTATAAAGTACCTATTCCTGCCACTGGAATGGATCGGCATGAACGCTATGCTTGTGTATGTTATGGCAGCTGAAGGCATCTTTGCAGGATTCATTAACGGGTGGTATTACGAGGACCCCCATAACACGCTAGTATGTTCGAATTCCATATGTTTTTGCCTTCATTTTTCCAATGTAATTTCCATGATTTTCGTACTAATTATTTTTTCATTCATAGTTTGAATTGACTTGTGGCATGGGCAGGTATATTGGATTCAAAAGCACATTTTTGTTGGGGTTTGGCATTCGAGGAGAGTAGGCATTCTGCTCTACGTCCTCTTTGCAGAGATCTTATTTTGGGGCATTGTTACTGGCATTTTGCATCGGCTGGGCGTATATTGGAAACTCTAAATTCTAATCCTATTGTTAGTACCTCTTTAGTTTCTGCCTCGCTGAACCTTGAACTTCTTATGTATGGCTTCCTCAGGTTGAATAATTACCGTGACATTATCTTGTACATATGACATATCGTTGGATAGTAGTGCTCATTGGCATTGAAATTTTCTTGTATAAATGTGTATTGGTACCTATTTTTCATTTATTGGTTGTATAAATGAAAAAGAAAAAAGCAAACGCTCAACAATCCACAAACTTTTTTGAGTCCCTTTTTTTGTTTTGTTTTTTGATACAAGTGATATTTTACTTTAAATTAATCTAAATTACGGAGGGCGAAACGGGACTACAGTAGGCGTTTTCGACTTTTCTTCATGTGGTCGCTGTTTATTAATTTCTGTGGGTTTCAGGCAGGACTATAACATTAGTGCCTGTATATATAAAGCAAAATTCACCTATGCCTTAATCAAATTTAGGAATTTGTATTACAACTGGACCAAAAAAAAGGGCCGAAGTTTGGGCCCAACAGTACACAAACAAAAACCTCTCTCTCTTTATTTATTTTTTGGGTGCCAAAGAGAGAAGAGAACAAAAACCTTTTCTTTAAGAACAAGTAGAAGCATAAGCATTCTACTCGCTCCCTCTCTCTGAAATCTGTAGCTGAAAACTCTCTCGGTTTCGATAAAGAAAAGGAATTAATCGGAGTCAGATGGCTACCGGTATGGTGGAAGATACGAGCTTCGAGGACGAGCAGCTGGCCGCCATGACCACCGAGGACATTATCAGAGCCACTCGCCTTCTTGACAACGAGATCCGAATACTCAAGGTCCCTTCTTTCTCTCTCTCGCTCACTGATTGTGCTTCCACTTGTATTACTCTAGGGAACTAGTATTTTGAGCGACTTAGGGTTTTTTTTAATCGCTGTCCTATGACTTGTTTAATTCCCAGAATCATCGATTATTTTCAGAATTAATATGAAAGAATTGACTTTGATTTTAGGGTTTCTGTGTAATTTTCTTATGATTTTATTTGTTTGGGAAATGATGCATTTTTAATATATTTCTACGCGTTATTTGATGCTTTTTAGTATGTGACTTTGTCTGAATTGGGGGTTTTGGATTTCAATATGTAAATGGTTGTGCGTTTTTCTGATATTGTTTTGTGGGATTGAAGGAAGAAATGCAAAGAACAAATTTGGAGTTGGATTCATACAAGGAGAAGATAAAGGAGAATCAGGAAAAGATTAAGCTCAATAAGCAGTTGCCTTACTTGGTGGGCAACATTGTTGAGGTAAGAATTTCTTTCTCTTAATCTCAATTATTTTCGTGGAAAGTCTATACATAAACAAAATTTTGGAGAATAGTGTTTAAGCTAAGTGCGCTGAATTGGAGAACTTGGCTCCTTCTGTTTGTCATCTCAACACAGCATTAATTGTAGCTGTATAATGAGTGTATGAAGATGTGAATTAAATCTTTAGTGTTCCTGAAACCAGACTTATTGTGGTCAATCTAGCTACTCTTTCGTTGGTCTTTCTAAAATTATCGATATACTATATGGAGAACTTTAAGCAGTTGAGTTGATGTTAAGGTTTTGATGGCAAGTGAACTTCGTATTAATTTTTTTAGTTAGTCTTAGGCTCTTATTGGATTTTTTCTTTTCCTTTCTAGATTCTGGAAATGAACCCAGAAGACGAGGCTGAGGAGGATGGTGCAAATATTGATCTTGACTCACAAAGAAAGGGGAAGTGTGTTGTTTTGAAAACATCTACTCGCCAGGTAAGCCAGCTGAGTAATGTTTTATATATATTCTTTTATCTCACTAGCAAAGCCAATGAGTGTGTTTACTTGTATCATTTATTTCTTTTCTTTAACAGCATTTTGATTTTATGATATGTGTTGATTATCATCTTAGATGCATTGTTCACTAGCCGAATATGGGTTTTTGCTTTACTGCAGACTATCTTCCTGCCTGTTGTTGGGCTTGTTGATCCTGATAAGTTGAAGCCTGGTGATCTTGTTGGTGTGAACAAGGATAGTTACCTGATCTTGGATACGTTGCCATCCGAGTACGATTCTCGAGTAAAGGCTATGGAGGTCGATGAAAAACCGACTGAAGACTACAATGACATTGGAGGGCTAGAGAAGCAGGCAAGTTTCCAGATTTTAGGCATGCTCTGTTGAGTACCAAACATTTTGATGTTGTACTCTAATTTGTTTTTACTGTAACAGATTCAAGAACTGGTTGAGGCAATTGTTTTACCCATGACCCACAAAGAGCGGTTTCAGAAATTAGGGATTCGTCCACCAAAGGGAGTGCTATTGTATGGACCTCCTGGAACTGGTAAAACATTAATGGCTCGGGCTTGTGCTGCACAAACCAATGCTACTTTTCTGAAACTGGCAGGCCCACAACTGGTTCAGGTATAGAAAAATTTGATATAATTATTACTAGTATCGTTTTCTTTTCATTGAATTCAAGGTTATATACATGTACATGTTTAGCATGGGTGGCTGATTCTGAAACGATTTTGAGAATGCCTCTAATGCACTCTTTTCATAGTTTGATTATCTTCATTTTGGCTTAGCCTTTGTTTGTTCTCCATAATGCTGATCCTTTTGCTCAGATTAGAGAAGGAATCGTCTATTTCTTAAAATTATTTTGCATTAGAGGTTCCTACATCCTGAAGAATTGAATTATTTGTTTGTGAACTCTAGGTTTTCTGAGATATAAATCAGTTGTTTCATAGATTTTCCTTTGTCTTACCTGTTTCTAATTAGGAGGAAATGATCCTTGTATCCTTTATGGAAGAGTAAATGATCTCTGTATGACCTAGCTCTCTATGTTTAAATATGCTCAACTATTGTATTAGCAATCATTTTTTTACGATGTTAGTGAACTCTAGATTTTCTAACTCGGTGCTTAATGAAGTAATCATACTTGGAGTTCATGTAGATGTTCATTGGGGATGGAGCAAAACTTGTTCGTGATGCCTTTCAGCTTGCAAAAGAGAAATCCCCCTGCATCATTTTCATAGATGAAATTGATGCAATTGGCACAAAGCGATTTGATAGGTATACTATATTTCCTCAGCAGCCATTTCTATGAATTATTTTCATATAGATAAGAAATATGTACTTGGATGTTGTTGCCCAATTTGATCACTGCATTCTTTGCTGATTGAAATTTATTCTCTCATTGTTGGTTACAGTGAAGTTAGTGGAGATAGGGAGGTGCAACGTACAATGCTTGAACTGCTTAATCAGCTTGATGGCTTTAGTAGCGATGACCGGATCAAGGTTTGTTTATCCTTGTTTGTAGTGTATTCACTTTTCCTTCAACTATGATTCACTTGGGAACTCTTAGAAGATGTTTCAGCCTTTTTACTTTCTGGGCATCTACTACTTAGAGAACGTCTGCTTTATTTTGGTAACATTACCAATTTCATTGACTTAATTGCAGGTGATAGCAGCAACAAATCGTGCTGACATCCTCGACCCTGCTCTCATGCGTTCTGGTCGGTTGGATCGTAAAATTGAGTTTCCACATCCCACGGAAGATGCAAGAGCTAGAATTCTGCAGGTTTGTCTTTTACAATGCCTTATGTTTCATGATTACTTTTCCAGTTGGAAGCATTCTTATTAAAACCTTTTTGTTAATTTTGTAGATTCACTCGAGGAAGATGAATGTCCACCCAGATGTGAATTTTGAAGAATTAGCTCGGTCCACTGATGATTTCAACGGTGCACAACTAAAAGCAGTGTGTGTGGAGGCAGGCATGCTGGCTCTGCGTCGGGATGCAACTGAGGTTAGTTGCTCTCATCTTTATTTGTGTGGTATTCTTGAACCTGCAGTACGAAGTGTACTAATCATCAGTGTTGTTTTGGTTCTACTACAGGTCAACCACGAGGATTTTAATGAAGGTATCATTCAAGTTCAGGCGAAAAAGAAGGCGAGCCTCAACTATTACGCATAGAGTGGATGGGTTCTCAAAGGGTCTTCAAAGCCTAGTACAAGTTCCAACTTTTAAGTTTGTGCACCAGAACCATACCCTCGTGTAATTTGATCTATTGAATTGTAGTAATTTGTATTTGTTTTTATAACCAGTAATGGATAGACCACTGCACTTGAGCATTTTGCAGTGACACTTAAAAGTTAATCCAAATATGTTAGACCCTTTTTCTCCATCTTTTTTTTAAAAAAATACCAGTTATGGTGAACCTTTTAAATAACATTCTAAACTAAGAAACTATAATAAAAATTTGTACATGTAGCACCACCATCCAAAGGCATTATTAACACACTATTTCCTTCAAACCGTAGGCCAGGTGGATAATTGTTGGGTCGGTGGCACCTTCCTTGTAGAATGCAAAAACTATGCTCCCATCATCATGCATGCTCTCCCCCGCAAAACTGCCACAACAAACCAAACCCACAAACTCACGCAATCGATTAAATCTTAGATTAAAAGTAAGTAAACAAATTAACCAAATTGGTTGAATTAGCAAGCAGGTGGAGAAAAGAACATATACAATTGGAGGTTGCTGAGTTTAGAGATCAAGAATTTGGTGGCCCCCTCAATATATATGCTTCCTCAAAAGCTCTTGGTGTCAACAACTTTATGTACCTCTTCATGAATGTCACAAACTGCTTTTTGTCCATAGCTGGTTGCTCCTATTCATGACAAATATAGAGTATACCAGAATGAACCATTTTGTTTTAAGTAACTATATAGAAGAAAAGCATGCTTGATTATCAAAATGATTATTGAGTAATTATCTAGCTTCACTCACCTGAAGCCTGAAGGTATCAACAATGTCAACAACCCAAAGAAAGAAGCTCATCACCTGACCCATAACATGAGTCTAAGCATCATCATTTATCTAAAATAACTTGGCATCAACAACACAAATCCAAACCCAAGAGATTACCTGACAATCAATAAATAAATGGTTGTTAATCTAAGCAATAAGATCTCCTTAAGAACATTATTCCCAGTAAATTTGTAAAGGTGAAACTTTTTTCCATCAAAACCTACTCTAAAGTTTGCTTCAGAAATACTTTTCTATTCTCGTTTCATTAGCTTTCTAAGAGATAGAAAGAACGGGACAATGAAACAAAAATAGAGAAGTTTTGCTCGATGAGACCAAAACTTGTAACGAAAAAGAAAAGCATTGAGGCAGTTGGTCCGGATACACAAGCATGTCTACTTAGTTTTTGTTTGCGTGACTTGGTTCAATTTATCAGAGCAACAGAGACTGTTCCGGAGCTCAGAGGCTGTGAGTATTTATAGATTAAATAGCGTAACGAAAGTGTAATGGTAGCAGAAGTTGAGCTGCGACAGAATTACTAAAATGGGTTCTTGTTTTCAATAGAATTGCGGTTGCGATCCTTTTACTGTAAACTTGGTTTGACCAAGAGTCATCGAGCGAGCGGGCCCAAGATTCTCCCCTCGGTGTCAGGGAAAGTTCCTGCACGATTCAATGTGGTACTGGATCAGATGACGTTCTTTTGTAGGCCCCACATGCAGTTCTCTTCTGGACTGATCATAGCCGTTGCTTGCTCCATGTTACAATCGATGACGTGACTTGGGCTTGCTGATACGACATATGACGGGCCCCACCTTGGTTCAAAAATCATGACGGTGCAGGGTGATAATAATTTTTTTCCCCAATATGCCTTTCTTTTCTTCTTTTTTTGGTGAAAATATATGCCTTTCTTTTACTACTTGTTGCTGGTACTACAAATATATAATTGATAGAATTCACCAAAAACAAAAGTTGATTAGAAGTCCTTGCTATCGTTTTTTTATTTTGATTTCTACCAAACAAAAATAATGCTCACAGAACAATTGTTATACTTATAGGCTATATGGATTTTGGAATGATAAATATATCTAAATTATTAATTTTGGGAGGGGGCAATAAATATATTCTCTCTTACACGGACGATTCAAACGTTATTATAGTGCAGAGATATGTATTTTTTACTATCATTCCATGTTTACAAGGGCAGAACTATCAAAACATTGTACTAGGCTTTAGTTTGGTGCTGAGTTTCACTTTAGGCTTAAATGTATTTTTTTTATAAATGCAGTACAATTAAATATTAGCCTACTACCTCATAGCCGCACATAGTATATATATTTTTTTATTTTGTTTAAACATTAGAACATTAAAATAACACAACTTGCACTTTTTTTTTCCCTGCTCCATTATTATTTGTCGGTGGTCAAACTCAAATACAACATTAATATATTAGAACATCATTAAATCAATGTTACCAATCTCTTCCCCAATATGCATGCAATCTAAGGTATTAACTCACCTTTATTTCTCAAGTTCTGATATTTATTCATTGGTTGTTTGTTTGCTAATTAATTGACTCCAATTTTTAGTTCCATTGATTTATGTTTTATTTATTTATTTGGTTGTACTCATTTGTGTTAGTGTTTGGAAAATGAATTACTAAATTTAACTAGACTATAGGCCTCGTTCGCGTTTAGTTATGTTGTTTTCAGGCTTTAGGCCCCCTACCGAAATATAAAATTTAGACAATTTAAATCATTAGATATTATATTATAGAAGAAGTATAAATAAATAAATAAATAATTAGCCATTGCAAGGACCTCCTCATAGAAGAAATATATATATGTTTGTTCACAAATTCTTATTTTGATAATATAAAAAATTTAAACAAATTTGAGGGTAGGTCCAACCAATCAATGAAACTCACCCTGTTTTTTTTCTCAGATTCTTTTAATTTCTTGTATTATGTTACTTATGAAAGGATGAGAGAGATAGGAAAAAGTGAACAGTACAACGTGATAGATAAGTTTTTCTCCGATGGAAAAAAAAACTAATAAAACTGTTTAGAAAAGTAGACAAAGAATATAAACAAATGGCACCGAATATTCGTGGCATGCGGACTGAGATGTTTCCATTACTTAGTCAACGAAAGCTGAGTGGGATAAGAATAAAGGCACGCAATAGAACGCACATGATCATTATAAACCTTGACCATCTAGTTGGGAATCGGTTTTCAGACCGTCCATGATATCATCAAATATATAAAGATAAAAGAAGGCTACCATCCAATTATGTTTGGATCTTGAACAGTGAACACCACCATTTTTAACCCACTCCTTTTGTGTAGTTTTACAAAACCTGAAGGAGAAAAGCCAGTGGGAATAAATAGAAGATGAATGTTCATACTCGGTTTATAAATAACGAACTAACAATCACTTACACGCACGAACTAGCAATTACTTACACGCACGTAAACGGTTGTTTCTCATAATTTGCCCCGGAAGGGTTATGCTCCACAAGTGGGACATAGGATGCAATTCAGCATGACCCCATTAACTCTTCTGACTCTACAAGCTAGGACAGATTTTTGAAAGTTGACGGAGATAATGCAGAGGCAACAGAAGATAATTACTGTCTTTTGGGTTCTTGTTATAGTGCTTTTCAGTTTTTATGATTGCTTTTTCCTTTTGACATATGCATAGCACATAGCAGGAGAAAACCAAACGCGTGTTGTTTTTGAGCGTTTTTTTTGTTAAAAAGCAATTGAACAACGCGTGTTGTGACCAAACCCACTTGGCAATTGCAGGATTTGTCGATACATGCAAGTAAACACACAATGACAACAAGATACCAGGAGATTAGGTACTAATACGGTCAAAATGTCAGGGTTGGCATTGTCTTTTTCGTTTATTTATTTTGAAAATTTCATTGAGAATTCTACTTTGTATCAATTCATTTACAATCATGAAGACCATCACCTAAATCTGTGGGGTTGGTTTTTCGTTTTTATTTTAATAAAAGAATTATTAGTTGGAAAAATCCAACACATGACCGAAAGAAATGCTTTTAACAACTGAAAAAAGTTAGAAACATCAGAGAAAATGAATGTGTAGGAGATTAAATACACCCACAATTAATTTTCTTTCTGACTTTGTAGGCATTGGATTATGAATTTTAATATGAAACTCAGGAAAATTTTAATTTATTACGTGTTAGAAAACACATGCATAAATTATAATGGATTCCAATACTAAAATTATGTGTTAATAAACGCATGAGAAATCATGAACTAGAATTGATTCCAATACCGAAATCGGAAATGTAAATAAGTCCAATACATATTTAAGGTAAATAAGTGTGCGATGATTACTATGTCATCCTTAATTCTCTTACCATATGAGTAAATTTGCATACATCCCAATCATTTTCAATCAACAGTATTATACCAAAAATACACATTGATCAAATAGAGTGCAGACTCACAAGGAAGCTTTGCTTTATTTTGGAACTTACATTTTAGGCAATGCATTAATTGTGATGGAGTTGGAAAAAAGTAGGAAGGAAAAAAGTGACTTGTACTTGTATAGCAATAGCATCTTCCTAACTTAAAGCTCAAGAAAATATATAAACATTTAAAAAGGGACCCGACCCGACAAGCCGGGTCACAATACCGAAAATTTTCCCTTTTTGGGTCCCATTACCAAAACTTTCTCTAACCCGAGAAAATAGAAACAAAATCTTATCTAACACCAAAAAAATAAAAAGAAAAAAGGAAAAAATGGGAAAGCGTTTGAGACAAACAACAACGTCGTCAACAAAAATCAAACTGCAGGGAAATCTCGAAACTCAATCACAGCCGTTGATCTGGCTCATTTTGGACAGCGGTTATTGCGCCCACCTTAACCAAAGTCCACCATCCAACGGCCCGAAACACACGACTCAGAGATAGAGAGGTCGAGCGACAGAAAAGAAGAGATTTATCGATTGATTGTCCATCAAAATTTTTTTTTTTCCTGCACATCCAAGAACACCATCTCTGACGACTGACCGTCTCCTAGTCTCTGCTTCGATCCTAACGACGTCGTCTCGTTTCGTCGTAATTATCAAACCAGACGCTGTGTTCCCGCCAGATTTACTTCGTCTCGTATTTTTTTTGCGCGGTTGAGGAAGAGAGAGAGAGAGAAACCGCTAGACGCCGGCGAAACGGAATTTAGGGTTTTGAGGGCCCGATTTGGGGGTTTCTATGGGGCTCGGAAGCGATGAAGAGGTCGTCGTTGAAGACAGCGATGGTGTTGGTGGTGGCGGTGGTTGTGGAGGCAAGTCGTACGGAGGCTCTGTCTCCTGCTCGATTTGCCTTGAAGTCGTCGCCGATAATGGGGATAGATCTTGGGCCAAGCTGCAATGTGGGCATCAATTTCATCTAGGTGAGTCAAAATTGAATCTTATTTGGGTTGGAATTTTTATTTTTCCGGGTTGCAACTAAAGAGATCCGGGTTCAATTTTGGTTTCTGATTTGGAAATTCTGTTGGATTTTGGTTTTTCTGGTAGTGGGCTTTTTGATTGGTTAAGAAATAGAAGAAAGTTGAGAAATTGAAACTGAATTATGCCTTTGCTTAGTTCAATTAAAGCTTTGGTTTTATTGGGTTGTCATTACTTGCCCCTGTTCTGTAATTACATAAGTATATGTTTTATCCATTTTATGTCCATCATTAATCTGTTTCTTTGATAAAGATATGATGATTAGATCTTTCTTGCAGAATCATGTAGTTTGATTTCTACATTTTGATTTGTTGTAGATGTTCGATTCAATAGATTGAACCATATTTTGTACTGAAATTTGCAAAATTTGATAAATAAAAAAATATAGATATTGGGATATAAACATTGGTCAGTCAAAAAGAATTAATCGTTTTATCTCTTCAAACTAGTGGAGGGCACTGGACGTGACTTTAGTTGGAGATTTGGAATCTCTATGAGCCATACTAAGTGAGTCCTTGATTATTTTTTATGATCCTTTCAGATTGCATTGGTTCAGCCTTCAATATAAAAGGGGCAATGCAATGCCCTAATTGTCGGAAGATTGAGAAAGGTCAATGGCTTTATGCTAATGGATACCGTTCAATTCAAGAATTTGGCATGGATGACTGGACCCATGATGAAGATCTTTATGATCTTGGGTACTCTGAAATGGTAAATAACAATCTCGCTGAATTTTAACTTCCATTTTTAAGTTTTAAGTTTCTTTTTTTTATTTATGATCAATTTTCGATTTTTGCAATCAAAATGCAAAGCTTTTCTTTTTATGATTTTTATATGCTGACACTATAGTTACAACCCTTCGTTCATGCTTAGAAACGTCTCTGTGGTTTCAACCTACTTGTGACAAATATTAAGATTGTAAACAGTTTAGTTAACTAACAAAACAGAGTCAATAGTACACAAAAAAGAATTACTGCTTCAAAGGCTAGGATAACTCATTCCTTATTAAAGGTGGTGGATGAGTGTATTCCCTTTCAAGCCAAAGGTCATGCTTCTAGATTTGCCTGATATCGATATGTAATTTATTACAAAAAAATCCCTATTTTAAAGCTTTACACAAGTAGACCTAGATGACTTGCTTGAGAGCCTTATTGCTACTCTTAACACAGTCAGAATGTCAATTTTCTCCCTTGCTAGTGGTGAACAGTCACCTCAGCTTATAGGTAAGTTACTTTGTGCCTGAGGATAAAAATATGGGAGATTCACTAATATACCCAATATGAGGGCCCAAATTATAAAAATACCCCATATGAAATGAACTTTATAAACACACCCAAAACCCATTTACAACATAACAAAGAGACCTTAACTTCTTATAAATTACAAAACAACCATAAATTTCTTAAAACAAGCCCAACCTCAAAATCTCATAAAAATACCCAAAACACTCAATAGGGCATTAAAGTAATTTAATAATCAATATTAAATTCAATAAGGCCAGCTGTCATTTTTGGGGGTTTTTTTGGGTTTGTTTATAGAAATTCAATGATGGAGGGTTTATCTATAATATTAGTGCTAATAATGGGTATATCACTAAATATCTCAAAAAATATTTATCTTGACCCGGTATCAATGTTTTTTGTCAAATGTGATGTGAAGTTAACGAGGCTATTTAGGAGCAAACTCTCAAATTTGTTAAATAGGCAGAACACAGTAAGCTTACAGTTATTGAGAAGAGCCTGAACTGATTGAGGTAATATTTTATTGTACAGTGCTATCAATAGAAGATCTAATTGAAGTTTCATTTTCAAATGTGCAAAGTGTTATCTATATCAGTTATGAAGGCCTTCCTTTGCCTTCAAATCTGGAAAGGAACAAAGAGGAATCGAAGAGAACCAAAGCCTCATATTTTTAGTTGTCTTTTTAATTTCTTCCCGTTACATTAAATTGAAGAGCGGAATGTTATTGAAGATTAGATTGACGAATATTTCTAAGAAGAGCCTAACTAGAGTCCTCCATATTGAAGTAGTGGTGCCACATGAAGCATTTGCATATTGCTGTCATTTATTTCCTTTCACAAGTAGCTTCCCACATAATCTTAAGGAGGACAACCGAATATCCTTTTGCATGTTATTCTCTGTTGAATGGATAAAAAAAAAGAAGTGACATGTTTTGATGCTGAACTTCTATATCCTGTGTGTGTATAGATAAAGACTTAGATTGACTGATGTGCTCTATAGACTACTATTTAACAGAATGTTGTTCGCCATTTTGATATTTTTGTTTGGTATACAAATGCGTTTTGCAGTCCTTTGGTGTCCACTGGTGTCCATTTGGTAGCTTAGCACGACTTCCTTCATCATTTGAGTAAGTGATCTCATTTGCAACACTTCATGCTTAAACTTATTTTGGTTCTAGTTCTTCTGTAATTAGTGTTTAGTTTATTGGGTTCAAAATACAACTAGTTTACATAGGATCTTTAGAAAACTGATCTATTTTGAACTATGTCAAGAGCTTGACGAATGGAAATCGAGTTGAGATATAGTTTTAGATGGGGATTCCCGACCCACATCTTGACTCACATATTGACCACAACTAATCCTTTCAAGTTCAAAGTGGGTTAAAAATCTAAACTTTTAGAAAAAGGGTTAGTTTTCAAACGGACCTATGCAAACGGTGTCTTTTATGAAGGACCTTAGTTGCCTTTTCTTTTCTTGGCCTAAGTGTTTTGACCCTCACGTCTTCTTTTATAAGTTTGAATAAAAAAACATTCATATGGATCTTTGCAATAAATTATTCCTCCTGGTATGTGCAAGGAGAGGATATCTTCACAAGGGAACCCAAAGTAACCATAAAGAGTTGGAAAGCAGTTGCATGTGGTTAACTGGATTTTATTCTGCCATCTTCTTTTACCACTCTATTTCATCTCTCAATAAGTTTACTTAAGAGTTTGCTGTTAATTTTGCACATTGGTTGGGTTGAGCAAAACATGTAGAATCACAGTGTTTTGACGGAAAGTATCAGTGCCAATGGATCTTTGGTTTCCTGGGAACCCTTATTGATTGCACACTTTTGGGTGCAGTCACGTTTTCCTGGGAAGTAACAAGAAAGCACTGAGCAGCATCATCTGGCTATTGTGCCAATATGTAAAGATGGTCTTTTATTTTCTTTTTCATCCGTGCTGTTTTTCTCATATTTGTTATAGTATCTTATTTCTTCTCCTACAGTCGCAATTACTTATGGTTAGTCCATATTTCTCTTTTTCTTCCATTCTTCCCAAATGCTTTAAAGTTTCAGCAAAAAGAGAATTTGGGATTTGTTCTTTCTAGAAAGTCTTATCGACTCGGACATAAGCATTGGTATTAGAAATAGTTTTGTTCATTTTAATGTTTGTGTATTGATTAAATAAAATTAACTTAAACTTTTAACTAATTGACAAACTTTTACCAAATATTTAAACAAATCGTATAAAATAAATGACATGAACATATGAATATATTATAACATGTATAGTCTTTAAAAAGTTTTCAGAAAATAACCAGCAACTTTAAAAGAAGACCAGCCATAGGGTGAGGGTGTGGTGGGGAGCAGAGGATATGAGTTTCTATTTTTGAATTTCAAGGTTAACTTTTTTCAGAAAAGATGGTAAAGACTTTCAAAACAATTTTAGAGTTTAAATATAATTGCCTCTAATGAACTCTTTGATGTTGCAAGACTTATTTTTTTTTTTTTTTTTTTTTTTTCATTTTTGTTTTGTTGCTATTTATGGTGCAATAATTTATTTGTTTCTCTTAAAATTTTTTTTTTTTTTTTTTCAACAGGGAAGGGGAGTTCTCGCCAACTTCATGTAAGACCTTTTGCTTTTCATTTAACTTGTGATATTCTATTGTAGTTTGGCATAGTTTAGCCTATAATGTGTGACATTTATAGGAGTAATGTTGCAATGCAGATCACGATCTACTTGGACAACATGCCATCTTTGCTGAGCATACAGCTGTATCATCTGCTGGTCATCCTTGCCCATATATTGCTTACTTTGGGCCAATTCACCCCTCATCCTCAAACTCCAGTGGAAGTGTGTCAGAAGCTTCCAACTTTAACCATCATTGGAGTGGCACATCAGTACCTAGTGAAATACCAAACTCCTATGCTTTTCCTGCCATGGATCTTCATTATCACAGTTGGGAGCACCATTCCCCACCTCCATTTTCTACAACCAACAATCATATTGGTGGCGCTGACCAGGGTTCAATTCCATCTGTTACTCAAAGATCTGCTAGGCCGAGTTCAGATTTACCAAGATCAGGATCTTTTATGCACCCATTCCTTGTTGGTCACAGGTATGCCTTGACAAAATTTGAAGGTGCTTTTCAGACTGTTTTCTTCCCTCATTTACTGTAAAGGAAGCAATATTAATTGCTTATTAGAATGTTTTAGAGGTATCACACACACGATGTGTGAAGATTACAAAGAGAAAATGGGCTATGTGAGATGAGAGTGGATTGGTTGGATGTGTGCTGATATATACCATATCGATCCTTGGTTTCAAAATCTGTTATTAGAATTGTTTGGATGAGAATTTGCATCACATATATATAGGTATCATGTTTATTGAAGCATTAAGTATTTAATGCGATTTTTTATTATTAATTACATGAATCCTTGAGACGTTAACATGGGGAATTCTTCGTGCAGTTCTAGTGCTAGAGCTGGCAGCTCTGTCACGTCCTCAATGATTCCTCCTTATCCAGGCAGCAATGCCCGGGCCCGTGACAGAGTCCAAGCTCTCCAGGCATACTATCAACAACAACAACCTAGTAATTCACCAACCATGCGTACACCCATAATTCAAGGAGCCCGAAGATCAAGCAGTCAAAGAGGCGTGGCTCAAGTAGGGCCAGTGGCTTCATCATCGGATCAAAATGGTGGTTTCTATTTTTTCCCCTCTGCCTCATCAGGTCGTAGTTATCAAGAAGCTGAAAATCCTTTACCTAATCGTTTTCATGCATGGGAAAGAGATCACATGCCTTCATTCTCAATGAATCAGGTTGACCGAGACCAAGGTTGGGCTGCTGTTCACCAGGGTGGCAGTGGGTCAGACTCAGCGATGAGAGGGAGCAGCTTCCGGCAAAGGCATGGGTCCGAGAGGACACCTTCACAAAATCGGTCATAGGCCTTTCTCGTTATCCTTGTTTTGGTGAAGCAAACTACCACTACTATAACTGAAATCAAAAGTTATGTATGCTTGAAAAACGATAATATTATAATGCTTGGTGTCTAGTCATGACCTGACAGACTCCAAAAAATACTGTGGCGTGGCTCAGAAAATGATCATTTGCCGCCACATGGTGGTGTGATGGACTTAAGCTTCCTCTAGTTTCTTCGCCTTGAGGATATGAAATAAGATCTCGTTTTGGATGTGGCAAAGCTAGAAATTTGAGCACTTGTGTGACGACCCACAAAAAAGCAGTTCTTCAGGATAAAGTAAATAGTGGGTCATTTATTTATGTCCAAAAACATATTCCTCAAATGCAAATGCTTATGCTTGGTTTCCTTTTGAACAATTATTGGTATGCAAGAACTCAAATCTTTCCCAATTTTTCTGACACCTAGTGCTCGTCTTCATTTAAACTTATAAATCCACACCACACCTGGTGTGCATAAATGAGTTTTCAAAAGTTTGTACTTTTAACGTACTCTCGAGTCAACTCCCATACGAATACGATGTGGAATGTTCCCAGAAAAAAGAGACTCGTTTTACCAAGGAAAATTTGATTTTTTGTTTTCTGGATTTCATTTATAGAAAACCAAAATATACATGTTAATGCCTTCATCAACCCAACGGGTTTCAAAAAACATAAACCAAGTCTTTCCGAAGCAACATGACTTCAAAATGGAACATCCAATCCATCTCAACGCAAGAACAAACTGATATCCTGAATTCCTCAATGTTTTCAGGGTCTGATTGGACTCTGGTGCACAACTAACCTTCATGGAGCTCCTGATGGTCACACCTACTCGACTAACGTATTACTAATTACATTGGGGGGGTTTTACCTTTTTTTTTTTTTCTTTCTTCCCTTTTTTTTTTTTTTTTTTTTTTTTTATTAAAAAAGGGGGAAAAACCCCAAAGAACAACCTACACCAGCAAATCAGTAGGAACTAGCCTAGATCTAGTAATTCCTAGCAAATCATCAATCAAACTAGGCTCAACCCAAGCTGGAGCATCAACAAAGATATAAAGACGCAAGTCTAAGTTATAGCTCCAGGGCGCCAAACAATCAGCAACACTGTTTTTCTCTCTGTAAACATGATAAACACTGCAGCAGTTGATCTTATGCATCAACTCCCAGCAACTAGCAACTAAGGCTGCAAGAGGATGAACATCAGTAAGGCCCTGCTTCTGGATCAATTGGACAGCAAGTGCTGAATCCATTTCAACAAGGTTATTAATCTCTTTGTCCACAGCAAGCTTCAACCCAAAAAATAATCCCCATATTTCTGCCTCAAGAATTTGCCCCTTCCCCAAGTTCACAGCAAAACCACCGATCCAATCTCCAGAGGAACTTCTAACACCACCTCCAGCACCAATATGTCTAGAGCCATTCCTCCTTAACCCATCAACATTAACTTGAATTGGCCAGAAATAGGAGGTTCCCACTTTAGATCAACCTGGACTTTATATGTATAAACCTGTCATACTATTCAAATTGAGCTAATAACTTCGTTCATGAACTCATACAGGCTAGCGAACTTCTTATTTCTTAACTCACTGCTGTCAAGCTTTGAATGGAGACAAACGCAGGATCAGAACAGAGACACAAAAGTAATATGGCTTAATTTAATACAAGACATAACATCAACCGCAAGCGCTGCACATATCTCACTTCAAAAGCAAAAAAGTAAAATGGTTTAATTTAATACATCATATTATCTTCAAACTAACCACTTCATAGATGCAATACTAGACCATCCAATGAAGGTCCTAATCAAAATGTCTAGAACACTACATCAAGTTACTGATTTCCCTATCGTGTCCCCAAAGAAAAAGCACTAGAAAGTTGTGTACTTAATAGCACTATCTCTGGGGTCAACGGCGTGGCTTCGTTTAGATCTCACCTGCAAATTACAACCATAGTTAGTACCTAAAATGCTATTACTTAAATTGGCTGCTATTAGATAAAAAATGCAGAGACAGATATATAACATCTATTCTATGATGGTGATCCTGAGAATGGAAAAGAATTGATAACAATCATTAGAAACAAAAGGAAAGTACCTTGCAGAAGGTGAAAATGACCGGGATAAGCTTCTGGATCTTGACTTGGATCTGCTCAGAGTCCTGGGACGAGCCTGCATTCAGTTGTAGAAGACTACTCAGGAGCATAATAATGGAATGCATTATATATGAGGTTCACTTTGTTTTTCCATTGCTCTTTTAAATTCAAGAAAAGATGAAAGAGTGGAAATAAAACTTACAGAAGAAACTGGAGACCTAGATCTTGTCCGAGATCTGCAATAATTTCCAATAACCCAAATCAATATTCAACGGCATTATTCTCTACTTTGGACCCAAAGGCCCTGACACCACTTTCAAGGGCAGACTTACCATAATTAGACGGGAAGAAAACAGTAAAAATTATAAACCTTTAGCCCAGATGCTCTACACCCAGCATCCCATGATCTTTCCGGCAGATCTTAGAAATATAAAACCACCAATGTAGTAAGAAATTAAAATACCAGCATCGAACATCTAATCCTAGATGAAAGGAGAAAATCCACTCATCCTTATCGCAAGTTAGTGAATGTGGTAGTTTTGAGCCTTATGTGTCCGCACCGCTGATTTGTGGTTTTTGGTAGCTATAGCACGTGTCCAACATAAATCCAACTTTAGAATTCAAACTCATTAGAATTACTTCCATTGAGACTATGTTTTCAGAGGTGCTCATCAATAAAGTGGCGTTACCTCAACTAAGAGTTGCAGGCATGAGCACCACATCCCATCAAGTTCCTAACATCCAGTCCCCAGATCTCCGCAAAAGCCAGATCTAGCAAGAAAGAAGGCAACCTTCATAAACAGATTAGGATAACCGGCTAATCTGATAACCCTTCTTATTTTCCCCTTACACCATTGAAAAATTAGGAAAAATGGTTTTGTATACCAAGTTTGAGAAGTGGTTAGAAGAGAGTTTCAAAAAGACGTCATAGTACAAATCCCCATGTTGGAAAAAACTGGAAATATGACACATAAGAATTTGAAATAGATAATACACAATTCTCAAATTCTTTTTCCAAAAACATACTCAGATTGTTTTAAAGAGAAGAGACGAGACACAACAAACTCACATTCTCTTTAATGAAAAAAACATACTCAGAAAGTTTTTAAAAGTGAAACAGATACGAAACACTCAGATCCCTACAGAACAAAATCTAAAGGATTGAAAATTTGATCTGTAACAAACATACGGGTAAGGGTAATAGGATGGTGTTAGTGAACTGTTCCAAGCCAACTGAATGGTATAGTATACTGAAGGTCATCTGACAATCTGCTCATCTTGAAAGTTGTAACCTCATAAAATTAAAAGGGCCTGTGCAATGCTAAAACATGCATTGAATAGCTAAAAACCTAAATATTCAAAATTTTCCAGATAGGGAAAGGATTTGACTAACAAATTCGACGAGGTGCATGCCCAAGCCAGAATCTACTAACAAAATCAAAATACGGAACACGAAGATCCCAAAGGAAAAGTCTCAATTAACTTCTCAAGAGCATGAATACTTGTTCAATTTATTTTTTGAGGAGGCTTGTTTAGCCAGTAACTTCCAAGATTTGGAAATTGGAACATATCATGAGGGAAACCATGTTATGACATAATGGATAATGTAATTTCAAGATTTCAGAACATGTATAAAATGCAAAACAACTCTAGATTTCTTCTCACTAGTAAACACATAAAGAAGAATTACCTAAATAATTTCCATCCATAATCACATAGATGAAACAAAACAAAAAAAGAACCAGGAAAGAAGAACAAAGCACTCAAGCCAGATAAGAGTAGAGAAGCAATAAAGCAAAAGCCAACCACTTAGCAGTGATGCAGATGCAAAGTTTGAATGAGTAGCCAGAGCCTATTTGTATCAATTATTAGAAGTGCAAGCCTATATGAAGATATAAGCCAGAGTTCAATGATGAGCAAATCTTAGGGTTATGGATGTCAATAGACATAAAAGCCAACTACCAGAAAAAAGGAAAGTAAATGTAGGCGAAATAATAACTTAATTATCAGAAAATCCACTAGGAAATTCAATTACTAGAAGAAAGGTAAGTAAGAGGTAGAAGACATTCAAACAACAATTTAACAATGAGAAGCTAAATTTTTAAACAAAAAGAAATATCATGAGGAATTGTTTGTGTGCTAAACCTGAAATCCTCATGAAAATACACGGAATTTGTACATCTATATCCATGAAATAAAAGTTCAGAACTTTAATGTAGCATGTCCATACCTTGCACGGGAACGTGAGACAGACCTTGGATAAGATGCTGATGGAGAGCGGTGCAAATATTTTGCCTCCGGTGATATGCTGCAACAAGAGAATCTTTGTCAAAATTGCACTGGGAAAAAGAAAAATTGCTAACTAATGTTGCCAAAAAACCATTATGCACCTTCTGATTCGGCCACCATAGCTATAGCTGCGACTGCGGCTTTGACTTCTCGACATATATGGACTACGACTGGGGCTTCTAGAGTAGCTCCGTCTCATGTCATAACTAGGGCTTCTGGAATAGCTACGTCTAGAATCATATTCCTTCACCTGTACATAGCAGAATAAAATCCAAAATGAATACAAAAGTGGTAACTCGGACTCAGCACAGTGTGTACATCATAGTATATACAATTACAAGTCAAACTGAAAAAAATACCCGTATGTAAGCCCGAGAAAAAGCATTTTTGAATTCAGAGTCATCAAGTTTCCGGATCTGTAGAGCAAATCAAATCAGACTGTTTCAAAAGAACACCACATTTGTATCATCTTGTCAGTATTTTAACTTACAGCATATCTCATATCGTCATAGTTTGTGTAGTCTATGATTCCCGTCATGCCTACGAGAAAATTGTAATAAAAACTATTAAAATCAATAAACATACAACTTCAACATGATAAAAGTACAAAAAAGGAAAATTCCAAGGTCCAAGCTGATGACTATGGAAGGAAAAAGGAGAATACAACTTAATCAACTCACCACCCCGATCACGGAACACTTGGGAGAAACAGACATCTCCAGCTCGACGCATGTGGTCCTGATAATTGAATACATATAATTAGTAGTTAACATTCATTTGCTAAAACAGTTTAAGTAGCTCTAGCCTTTAAATACTTTAATGCAATGCCATAAAACAAGTGTATTGGAAGAGCTCACAGATACAGAATAAAATTATATTTCTTACCTTCAGATCCTGCCATGAAGCAGAAGGAGGCAATCCAGTTACCAGTACTGCACAATGAAGTGACATATTATAAATTATACAAATTTATAAATTAACTAAATTGAACCCAAAAAAACTGCTACAAAAATAGTGTTGAAGTTGATACATACCACGATAGTCAGAGCGCCGGGAAGCTCCACGGCTACTGCTACTATGACTGTAACTGCTGTATCGATCCATTGATGATGAGTGTCCTCGTCCACCATGCGCTAGTTCAACCTACAAAGCAAGATGAAAAACAAACATATTTAAGAGAGACTACAATAATAAGCATTAAGTAGGGATACTAGCATAAATAATACGCAATAGGAGAAGTCAATATACAAGTATGACTAACCCGTAAACGATACCCATCAAAGTTGTACCCATCCCGGCCATAAATTGCATCATCAGCATCTCGAGCATCTTCAAACTGCAATTAAGCATCGAAATCGAAAGTATTACAAAAGTTTCAACCAACGAAAGCAAAACATAAGTAACCAATTCACCAACATTGAATTGCAACGGTTAGCAAGATGAAACTCCAAATGCAGAGATTATGTGAACAAAATCCTAATCTCCTGCACATAAAAAAGATTCAAAATCACCTCAATAAAAGCATAACCCGGTGGTCTCGGCGGGACTTTGAGATCAATGTCGACGATGGGCCCGTACTGCAATTATATAGAAAGATCAAAGGCAGTTAGCAAATAACATAATGCAAGCAGCTTAAACCAATTAATTGGCAGTCAACAATAGGGGGAAGCAAATTGTCCATCTTACTTGGAAACAGATTGGTTACAGAGGAAAAGTTAATATTACTATATCAAATTAATCAATAAGAAAAACACTCACAGAAAGAAAGTATATTTCAATAAATTTTTGTGAAAGAAAAACTCTAAAAAATAAAATAAAATATATAAGAAAAGGAAAAAAAAACAAGAGACCTTCATGAACAAATCCTCAATTTCTCTCATACGAATATCCCCAGGCAGATTGCCGACGTAGATAGTGCGACTCGATCGGCTACTCATCTTTTCCCCCCTGAAAACACAGCCGAAATTACCATACCACAAATTTTAAAAAAAAAACCGAACTTTACAATTAAAATACGACGAATTTGTCTTCTTATTCATGAATTTCTTAGACAAATATAGGCCTTACCTTAAAACTTCACAGAGATTGCAGGAGAGAGAGAGGAGATAATGGGTCAGTGAGTTCTCTTCTTTCTGATAGAGTTGGTAGCTTCTGGAAGGGTTAGTGAGGACAGGGCTCGACTATGGGCGGGTTGCGGTCCAATGCGTCCAGTAGTTTCTACCATTTATTACGTGGCGCTACATCAACGTGCGGGGTAAAATGGGAAGTTAGAAGATAATTGGAGAATTTAGGAATTTGATCTGTAGATTTTCATGCGTGCACGAGATGCATGTATGTTCTTTCACCATCACTGTCACGTGACACGTACGGATCTGATAGTTTGTAAATACAAACTTAAAGTTTTCTTGTTCATTTGTTTATCTATCTATCCATATATTATATAACAAAAGACGGAGAATGGTAAAATATTTAAAATATCATAAAATATCTTTGAATAATGTAAATATTAAAAATTAAATGAGAATAATATAGTCAATTTATAATTTTCTTATTAAAAATTAAAATTAAAATAAAATCAGATAATGAGTTCTATTTTTATAGAACATAATTACTCATTTTATTTTTTTTAATTTTAAAATAAAAAGTAAAAAATTGCTTATGATCACTATAACCTATCAAATTTAACAATATAATAAGTAAAAAGTTTTAAAAATAAATAATAAAAAATTGCATGTGGTCACTATAACCTATAAAATTTGACAATAATAGTAATAAATTAATAAAAAATACATGATACCTTTTAAACACAAGGACATGATACCTTCATAAAATTTGAGAATACAGAATTTTTATTTTCATCTTACTCGTCTCCTTTCACATGTGCAAAAGGTAATAATAGATCCATATTATAATCAATATTCAGATTAATTAGACAAATATATGTCTTCACCCTTTTTATTTATATTTAATAAGTGATATTCTACTTTAATTTAATTTAAATTACAGAAAGAGAGATTCAAATACGGATGCAAAGTAGGAAGAACATCCACTTGAGACAAATTGACTAAGCCCATATGTGCATGTCTTTACCCTTAAATTCCCTAACTTAAACAAACCTCAAAGATTATTTTAAAAACTTGAGAAAAGAGAAGAAAACACAAACCACCGTTTTTGTTGTTGTTGGTGAAATAGGGGGAAAACTTATAAAACAATAACTAAACACCGCGCATAAATCGAGCCTAGAAAGACTAAGCAAGTCATCTACCAACAGAGAGATAACCCAAGTAGGAGCCTCATCAAAGAAGCAAATTCCAAGGTCCTGATTATAACTTTAATTTGCCAAACAATATGTAATACAATTATTTTCCATGTAAATGTGAAAAAGGTGACAATTTTCAATTGATCTCATGAGATCACAATAACTACGCACTAAAGCAACAAGAGGATGACATTGCAATGAAGTGATTTGTCAAACAAGTAAGAGAACAACAACATCATCCACTTCAATAACAAGGTTAATGACACCTTTCTCAACAGCCGCCGTCGTCTTTGAACCCATACCATTCAGTTCTTTTAAAACCAAGTCTTTTTAAAAATAAACATTGAAAAAGCACAACTAAAGAGTGTGCTGGCAAAGGGTCTAGCCAACAAGAACAAATAATTTGACCACCAAAAAAGAAAAAGAAAAGGATAGAAAATATACCACGAGAACATGAGAAGATGATACGATATGACGATATAACCACGAGTTGTCCCAGGATAGAAAATATACAAAAATATGGTACACGTTTTAATCGTGCCACCTCGCACTGTGCCCACCGTATTCGCGGTTTACAACTTCGGTTTTCCTTCTGCCTCTCTATAATTGGAGTCACGAAGCCCCAACCAAAGCCACAAACCTTAAGCCCTTTTCTTTTCAATTTTTTTCTATCTGAAAACACCATCTCTCTCAATAATGTCGGAACCTAAGAGCACCGTCGATTCCATCAGGGAATGGGTTGTCGAGCATAAGCTTCGAGCTGTCGGTAAATTTCCCTACTTTTCTCTGCTTTGATTTTTCCACTTGGATTAGAAAAGTTGTTTGCTTTGGCCTGGTTTAGATCTTTCTTTGCTGTTCTCGTTGTAAAAATGGGTTTAATTTATGCATGCAATACATTTTTGTGATTTGAATTCGTTCATTTGGTTTCTATTTTAATGATCTTGGATTTCTGTTGGATGAATGTTGCTTCTTGCTTGATCTGGACATTCATTTTTACAATATTGGGGAAAAAAGTTTGTCCTTTGGTTTTAAGCCGAAATTAGGTTTTTTTTATTTTTATTTTCCTTTTAGCTTTATTTCTTCAATTACTACTCTTAGCTTTTGTACTTAGTATATTTTATTTTTTGATATTGGAAAAAGGGATATTAGCCAAATTACTGCATAATTGTGTGCGTGGATCTGTTTTGACAATGATTTTTTATTTGCATAACTGGAAAAGGGTGTCTATGGCTCAGTGGATTAGCGGGTTCAATAGCATACAACTGGTCTCAGCCCAACATGAAGACCAGTGTCAGGATCATTCACGCCAGGTAGTTTTGGTTTTCATAAATTCTTAATTTCTCTGGACAGATTTTGATTTGCAGCTTTGCTAATTGCATTTTGTAATGTATGCATTTACCGAGTTATAACTTTTAAGGGAAATAGGTAGGTATGTCTTTTCATTAAATTTCGTTTAGCTTTAGAAGAATGTTGTTGTACCTTACTCATTTGATATTGAAAGAATATTGCTCAATGGGAGCTTTTGTATATGTTTCATCTGCTGATTCAATTATACTATTTGTAATTAGTAACTGGTAACATGAATGCTTGAATGCGCATGACATTATGTTTGGCATAAGGCAATTTCTCTCTGAACTAGAGGTTAGTTTGTCATTGGTCATGCCTCAAACTATTCCCTTTCTGGTATTCCTTTGCCCTGCCAGTGTTATTTGTCATGTAAGTCCTATGCATAGGTTGTTTCCCTGGCATGAGAGCTGTGCCTTAGTCAGGATTGCCATTCAAAAATGGATTTTGTTGTGATGGCCCTTCAATTTGGGGATTTGGCATATTGCAGAGGAGCCCCTCTGCATTGGCCGGAAGCAGTGTTGCTATTTGTTACTTTAGGTTGGCATGAGTGTCCTGCATATGGAAATTTTATTGTGAACTTAGGCTCTTAGATCCTTTAGCCTAATCCGAACCGTGTCTCTGGGATTACTTCCGGCATACTGTTACTCCAATAATATGTAATGATCTATCTAGGGGGAAAAAAATTCTTAGTATCCAAACTCTTAAATAAAAATGCTTAAAGACACTTGTGATCTAGGGAGTATGGAGGGAAAAATTGAGAGCATTGTGAGTTATTCTTGTTGTAACTTGCTTCCATCTGTTGACTGGGAATGCTTTCAAGTAGTCTTTCCTCTCCAATTTTCCTGTTTCCATTCATCCTAATGGCCTTTTTAACTTTCAAACCGTACACCCCCTCACCCCTGGGAAATCTGTTTCGTTCATTTTCTAGTTTTTCTTGTTTGGTTTGTTTACAACTTCTTGTGCTTCCCTTCTGACTTCATGCCCCTCAATGTTATTTCAGGTTGCATGCACAGGGTCTGACGCTGGCTGCATTAGCCGGTGCGGCAGTGGTTGAATACTATGAGCACAAGTCTGGAGCAAAGGCTGACAAATATGCGAAGTACTTCAACATTGAGAACTTTTCACACAAGGATTAAGTAAACTTCCCATATAACATGGCATGGTGGAAGTTTTGCTAGGAATATAATATATTTGAAGGAGGATAATAAAGATACTTTTTTCTGAACCGCCTTTCTTCAACCATTACTGTATTTGTTTGTATTGGATAGTTTAGTATTTTATAACTTTGATGATGATAATCAGATCTTGGGAATTCCCTGCTATTGGTTTACAAGTAAGCTGTCATTTTTGCCTGCAAAATAAACATGTATTTGGTGTAAATTAAATCAGTTTTTCAGTTTCGTTCTGGTAATGGCGCATTCGGTTTAAATAGGTTTAACCAAATGTGAAAGTATAATGCAATCAAAAACATCCATTTTGAGCAAGAGAAGCAAAAGCATCTTCTTCTGTCAAATGCAGAAGCTTACTTATGCAGTTTCAATCGCATTATCAAAAGAAAGATTTTGAATCAATATCTCGAGTATGGAGCTCAATAAATTGGTCCCTGATTTGTAGTAGACCCATAGAAAGTTGAAATTTGAGGTCCTCCACAACAGGACCATGAAGATTTATATCATGATCGCCATCATTATCATTGTTGCGAATGTAATATTGATGACAGAAATTCATGTGGATTGTGGATTATAATTCAAGTCCAACTTATGCCATTTTCAGTCATCTTATCAAAAGGAAAAACAGTATAGATCAATGATATCACAAGTGTCACGACCATCTGGCTTACGCTTTCCATAAACAGTAAGTACTTCAAAAAAAATTTGATTCCTATTGACATCTTTCAACAAGCTTACTGATAAGTTACAAAGTGAGAAATGCTGAAACTATAATCTTTGGTCTCGGACTTGTTATCTCATTTGACTGAAACTATACTATTAACACAAACAACAGCCTGAAAATCTCCTCTGGACGCACCATGAACAGGGAGATACTTAAGATTTTCGGTATCGAAGTTGTAGCTGAATATGCGTCCATCTCTGTCAACCAAAAGAACCTCGTTCCTCCTCCAAAGTGCCAATGGTATATCTACCTCCTGATCCACTTTGGGCACAGCAGATAAGTGTTTTGTCCACCCATCAAACTCATCCATCACCCAAACCTCAAAGGGTTCAAATTCACAACGATAAAACCCGAAAAGTGCAATGGATTCGTTCCACACCGTAAGGGACATTTCATGAGATGGAAACTCATAGAAACAATCCGGAAGTGGCATATTGTGAAAAACTTCATCAAATGTGTCAAACAAAATGATCACTTGCTTCTTTTCCTCCTCAAGCCTGTCATAGAAAGACACAAACTCCTTTTTCTCCTCATACCCCAACCAATAAAACACTCCATTGAAATAGGTCGAGAAAGTCTCATTGCCCCAAAAGTAGGTCGTTTCTGTTTCCAAGTAATGAGTCTCAATCTCCCTCCAAGAATTAGTGCTCAATGTGTATATTTCTGCTTGGGGAGGATGGATGACAAGACGTTCGTCATCCAATATTTCCTCCCCATAAGACACAATGCTGAGAAGTACGTAATCTTTACGTTTGGGATCATAGCCAAACCCCAAAGTGCATGAGCAGGCATCTTCAAGGCATGATTGGGGAAGAACCGTAAACTCCTTGATAGCTGGATTATAGAAAACAAGTTCTCCAGTGTAAAGAGACAAACAAAACAACCCATCACAATGACCTACAATGTGGACAGATTCACCAAGCTCCAAACCAGGGAGCTCAATGAATTGGCCCCTACTTTTTAAACCCATAGAACGTGGGAAATGGAGGTCCTCAACGTTACAATTGATAAGGTTATGATCAGCATTGCTTTCGTTGTCGTTGCGAAGAATAAGGAATGTGAATACAAGCTCCTCCTTGTTGTGCTCTGTCCTGCTGAGGACAGAACGCTTGAAGAGGACGCAAGTGGAGGAAGGTTGGTTGTTGTACAAGTGAAGGTGCTTGGCTACAAAATGGGGGTTATTGAGGAGAGCATGCCATGATTTACACACACATTTGAATCGCATTAGGGATTTGGGAGGCAGCCTTGCTAGGATTTGCACCTCCATTTCCTCTGTCATTTTGTAAAAGTATGTCATTTCTGCTCCGATGAGCTGACAATGTAGGTGGAAAACAACGTCAAGTAAAATAATTTTTTTTTCTTTCGTTTTTGTTTAAGGAAAGACGACAACGGGATTAAAATGAACCCGGTAATTAATCAGAAGACATAAGAGCAAAAATGCCTGGCCATAAGAGCAAATATATACATGAAACAATGAAGGGAAAGCTATAGTAAAAAGATGACGTAGAAATCGTACCGAAGAGGGCTGGGGCAATTGGCATGCTGGTAAGGGAAGGGGAAAGATGTAGGTGAAAAGATAACATAGAAATTAATCATTCTGTAATTGCAACTTGGTAAGGGAAGAAGGGAAGGGAAGGGAAGAAAAGTTTTCAATTAATGCTTTTAATAGTATATTTGGAATACGTTAACAAGAACCTGTCCATAAACTCTGTGGCTAATATTCATCATCCATCAATTTAAGCTTTTTTTATGGTGTGTGTGTGTGTGTGTGTTATATGTTGATATTTATGAACATTTGTTTCCCAATCAAGACAAAGGTGAAAGGAAATGATGTTTTGGTTTATGACCAGCTCAATCAAGAGAGATGCAACAAGCTCGGTTAATTCATGATGAGTACTCCCTTTGGTCTGTATTTGCTAAAGAGAATATATAGGTAGTTGGATGCTTGAGAGATTTCTAAAGAGAACACAGGTCTTCCGAAACCACGTCGAAATGGACTTGAAATCCAAGACCTCAGCTATCCACGGGATTTAATTAGGTGGCTTTTCCCTCAATGAGAGCTTTGCTGTTTTCAGCTTTGGTTCCTCAATGACCTCAGATGAATCATCACCATCATCTTTAGTTACTTTTCCCCTAAATAATAGCTACAAAACTAGTAATGACAACACAAAATATTGAAAGATATAAAAATGTAACTTCACATCACATGAGAATTAAAATGGCCATAGGCTATGGATTCTGCTCTTGCTGATCTTCCTCATCATCTTCCACTGTAACATCGTCAAGGTTGTAAAGTTCATAATCTTCAGATTTTGAATACTTGTGTGCAACAGGGATAATACTATTTTGTTATCCCCGACTATGCCAAGTGGAAAAATTATGACAAATAGCATACTGTGATTGGCCGGAATTACAAAACAACACTATCCCTGTTGATAAGTGCATTTTTCCTATATTTTTATACCTCTTATATTTGGTTTTTGTATGGAAAGTTAATTAAAAAGAACATTATTACCTTACTTTCTTATTTTCATATATTCTGCACTTTTGAAAGGATTTCGACTGAAAATTGACTTTTCGAACGAATTTTAACACAAGGCCGATTGGAGAAGAAAGCTAAGACATTGAATATCATTATGTCAAAGTTTCATGATTTTCTACCAAGCCAAATGCTCCAGACTTACAAGTCAAGACAGCCTAAGTTGAAATCCCTTCAGAATTGCACTGCTGTGGAAGATTGAAGATTTGAAGACTTTTCTGATTTTTCCTAGTGGTATGTGATATATGCTTGGAAAGCTTAGAGATCAAGCTACATTTCTCATATTTTTCCAGAATTGTCTAGGAAGTGGAAAGACCCTAAAACATGCGTGCAAGTTGGCTGACATGTTTCCAAGTCAAAGAAGGATTATTTCCTAGTTTGTTTCCTTAATTGTTTGGGATTTTGTTTTGCTTTAAGAAAGTTTTTCCGAACTTTTTTTTAGAGTAGGGTTTAGTTGTTTTACACTATATAAGGTTACCCTAAGCTCTCTCTAAGAACCACATACCATATACTTTTTCACCATATTTCAAGACACCAAAAAATATATTAGAGAGAGAGCCAAGAGTTGCTGTAGTAGTGCTTTTGGAGCTTACAAAGGTGTTGCTGCGGAGAATCTAGAGATAAAATCCATATGCCAAATCAGTTTTATGACAACAATTTTTTTGTTTATCTTTTCTTTTGTCATGAACTAATTTCCCTTACTAGGGCTACGATATAACCTAACCATGAATACTTAATTTTTATCGTTATATTAAGAACAGTAACAAATACCCATGGTGAAAAATTAATATAAATATGAAAAATGTAGCTTGATCTCTAAGCTTTCTAAGCATATATCATATGCCACTAGAAAAAATCGGAAAAGTCTTCAAATCTTCAATATTCCACAGCAGTGCAGTTCTGACGGAATTTCAACTTAGGTTGTCTTGACTTGTAAGTCTGGAGCATTTGGTTTGGTGGAAAATTATGAAACTTTGACATAATAATCCTCAATGTCTTATCTTTCTTCTCCAATTGGCCTTGCGCTAAAATTCATTTGAAAATTTGATTTTCAGTTGAAATCCTTCAAAGAGTGTAGAATAACTGAAAATAAGAAAAGTAAGATAATAATGCTATTTTTAATTAACTTTCAATACAAAAACCAAATATAAAAGGCATAAAAATATAGAAAATAATGCACTTATCACCCGTTACACAAATTTTCTCTACTTTAGTCCACTCTTATCTTGTCTTACATAAAATAATAATAAAACATTAAGAATAAAAATGGGCAAAATCACTGCGACCCAAAACAGCTTTCCTGTACAATAATCTTTGTGACGTTTCTTTAATAGATGAATTGGTTGAATTGTGACTGAAAATTGGAAGCACTCATTGTACTTACTACCTATTGTATTTTACCCTCTTCAATATGAGCATGCTAGGAAATAGTTCTCCAATGGATGACGAAATTTCTAAGAATGGTATGGCACAGTGAAGAAGATTGGAGACTCTGACCCCAAATTCAAAAGAAGAAAAAAGCAAAAGATTGGTTTGCTTATTCAGCATGACATGTAGGTTGATTGAAGACCAAACAACCAACCAAGCATAAATAACCAGGCATGTGAAATAATGATTGTATTGCTTTTCCAAGCCTTGATACTTGTGCATTGCGTGTCCAAACACTCCCACTTATGACATATTCCTTCTCTCTCTCTCTCTCTCTCTCTCTCTCTCTATGTTCAAAGCATTGCTTGCAATTTAAGGTTTTATGAATATGGCAGGCAGCAGCAGCACTGCGTATCTCTCTTAGTTTGTCCCCCCCTCCCTCTCACTTCAATTTCCAACACCCCAAAGCCCTATCCAAACCAAACTTGCTTCCCACGAGACTAAATAAAAAAAGAGGGGGAAATGGCAGAATCCCCCACTATATAAGGCAAAGTGCAAGTACCCCTTGCTTAGAATCCCTTCTTTTTGACTGCCAAATTTGTATAACCTTACGCCATCTTCCTGTCAAACTGAAACTGGTCAGTCTCAAACGTGTGTGTTTTTGCTTCAGCCTGCCTCAATGCGGTTAACCCATACCATTGCTTGCACCAATTAACTACAGAGAGACAGAGAGAGAGAGAGAGAGAGAGAGAGAGAGAGAGAGAAGGAAATGGAAGGTCAAGTACCATTTGCATAATTAAGTATAGTTGGTCAAAGAGTCAAAACTGTCAGTCACTTCTTCAATGGGTTAGATCCAAAGGATATAGTGGGACGAAATTAATTGCTTTTTTCACAACTATGGTGGAAAAATAACTCCAAATTCATGCATATTTGATTGCCCAAGTTAACAAGTTTTGAAGGTCTTACAGCACCTACTCTATTTTTTTTGGCTCACAACTTTATAGCACCTACTCAATTGCCACCCTTTTGAGCATGCATGGTCATCATGTACCATATTACTTTTACTTGTTTCCTGCTCTGAACTGAAGCTGTGCTTTCTACATCTTATTTACATCGATTTGAACCTCGGGCCAAAATGAAACAAAGAAATTTAATCCATTCAATTTTAATTTACAAGTTTATGCTTAGCAAGAAAAGAACTATGTATATCTCCTGTTGCAAGGTTGAGTAGAAGATTGAGTGCCAAAACATCATGTCAACAAGTCAAAATGCAGAAAAATGTCTGGTGTTGATAAACTTGTTGGTTCTTGGTCATCTCACATGTATATCCATACCGTCATCCAGTCACATTACAATCTTGTTCAATAAAAACGCCAGTTGTACTAGCCAACATATAGATTGAAGGACCACACAAAAAGTCCATAATATACTTGAGACACATTCATGCTGGCAGACTTGACTTCCGTGTCTTTGTGATCATGATTCATGGGGCAGCCTCTTATTTTGACATTCTCATTCCTGGAATGTGTGTGTGTGTGTGTGTGTGAGAGAGAGAGAGAGAGAGAGAGAGAGAGAGAGAGAGAGAGAGATCTTAAAAAACTAAAACAGAGTCAGAGTCAGAGCAGAGCAAGTATATTTCAAAGAAACAGATTTAAGGAAACAAATGGCATGTGTAATAGTAGAAAACTAGGACAAAAAAGAAGATAGCCAGAGAAAAATTGGAGCTTACCATGCTTTTTAGAATTCACATGGCTTGTTCGGCAAACAGGGCTAGAAAGAAAGAGGTGAGAAACTTGTGTTGGAGAAGGGGAGCACGTGCAAAGTTTTGCTCTAAGCTTAGCTTAAGCTCCCATGCAGAAGCATTTGAGCTAGAACTTGCACGTGCCCTGCTTCTCCAACAAGAGCTACTCACCCATGCATCATGGGCTAAGTTAAGCATACTCCTCCCATCTTCTTGAACCATTAGGTTATGTTTCAACCAAAGGTGTGAATCAAAATGGTGAGGGAGGCCATGCATTTATATACAACTTTTTCTAGGAGAGAGAAAGACTCAATGAGAAACAGAGTAAAGACTTTGAGTCTTGAAGTGTCCATTCTTTAAAGACCTCATTTGAAATCAGAAGCAAAAGCAATTGAAGACTTGAAAGTTTTCAACGTTAAAAACCAAATTCAATTGTTTAATCATGACCTATTAAAAAAATGCAATGCAGGGTCTTTAATGCATATATTTTGTTGAAACAGTGCCCTCTCTGTTTGAAAAAAGTGAACCATACTTTATAATTTGATTTTTGATCGAGTGGTGCACAAACACGATCAGAAGAAAGTGGTTCTGTTTGTATGAGCAGAAATGATGGCATTGGCATGGCAATAGATTTGACCCCGTGTATGACATTGGCTCAGTGATCATCTCATCTGTTTGATTAAGTACTGGTCATGTTGTGAGATATTTTCAGATAATAAAAAACGTCACTTTGTGAGGTACTATCCTGCCGCCAATTTACCTCTCCCCAACGTGTAATTTGCACTGGTTATTTCTCCAAAATCTTGTGATTTCAGATTTGGGTGACAGACTGATGGTTAATTTCTGATAATGATACTTAATTCCAGACATCCAAGTCTATAACCAGATGTAGACATTGCCAGCATTTATAAATGGATTTCTGTTAATTTGCTTAATTGGGATGTTTGCGGATAATCTTCCCCGCAAAAGATGAAAAGGATAATGACCTTTATGACCAAGAAATGATGATGGTGGTGGTGGTGAAGAATGAAGAGAGAGAAGATGGGGAGGTGAAAACAGAAGCAGAATAGTGAGTGGATGGACAAGATGACATAACCTGTTGTTGCTGAGAAGAGGTTGCGTGTTGGAGGCAATTTTGTTAAAGTGTATGATTGATTAAAGGGCAAGGGAAGGAGGGTGAGATGGGTTTGTGTAAAAAAAATATTGTTGTGTTGGGTTTTGAGAGGGCAAGGGTTAGTCCCTAGGTGGATATGATTCCCTATCTTTGGTAGTGTACCTATTTTTCTATCTTCAAACTTCACCCCCCATAGTTTATGGTGGATTTTTATTTATTCTGACCAATGTCTCTTCTCTCTGATACCTTCTGCAAATCACCAAGGTCTCTTCAATGGTGGTATTTGTGACAATCACTCACTTCTTGAATTTGTCAAACCAGCTTGGTTCACTTGTGGGTTCTGTTATGTTTACCCCATTTTGTCATTGGTACACAAATTTGACTAGCCCTTTACCAATTTCATATTGTGGGTTTCCTTTGTGTGATGAAAATGTTTCCTTCATGCTCATGTTTACTTGAAGTCTAGCACAATAACTAGCCAAAAAGTTCATTCGACTAGGTTCCAAGATCAAATTTCTAAAAAGATAGATTTTATATACAGTCGATATTAGAGGACGAGGAATCTAACTAGAACATCGACTCCATAGATAAATATTCTTAATTACTTGAGCTACAAGTGCCTCCCAAAAATAAACACTCTTAGTCACTTGAACTACAATTATCTTATCTCAAAATACAATAATAAAATGTCACAAAATGTTCTTTAGACTTAGGCTTGGACTAGTAGAATAAACAAAAGGCCCAAACATAATGCGGGCTTGTATAAAAGTTGTATTTGTAAGCCCAACAAAAATGGCCCATTTCTCTTCCCTTCGGAAAAGAGAAGGGAAAAGAAAAAGGAACATCTACCATTTCGTTTTGGCCAATGAAACCATTTTTGAAGCTCTGAACTTTGAGCCCTTCTGTGAGTTCTGAATCCAACACTTCAAGCTTTCTCTGCGAGATATCCCATTCGGTACGCCGTTTTCAACTTCAATTCTTTCTCTTTTTTGCGAAATTTAGATCTTGTTTTCTTTGTTACTTTGATAAGTTAAGCAGCAAATTTTTAGTTTTTTGGTTGAACTTCAAGTCACATTTTTTTTCTTATATCCTTGTGTTTTCCTGGGAACCAAACAGAGATACATGAATGTAAAAGTTAAAGTTTTTTCTGTTCTATTTGCTTATTAGGAAGAACCCATATCATGATCATAGATAGAATATGGTGTAGGTTTGGAGCTTAAGAAGTTGCACACCAATTGTTTGATAGAGGTTGCGAATGAAAAACCAACAGAAACAAATACTGGGAAATTAATTATAACTGTTCTCTAGAGATATGCCTATTAATTTGGTCTGATACATGCCACAGAGTGTGTATGATCAGTTATAGTGATCGGGGTTGAAATTCTTAAAGTGATTAATACTTTGTGTAGGTACCATAGAGGCATAGAGAGTATATATTTCCTAACTGATATATAACTTCTTTTTTTGTCCCGAGCTCTGGTTTAATTGATAGAATCATATACCATTGTAAACTGAGGAATTCCATTGTATTGATGCCTCATGTAGTAGCTTTGGTTTTCATATATTCCTGCATCATGGCAGTTCTATATGTTGGTAAAAATGCATTATTGCTTCATTTTTCTTCTTCTTGTACCACTTGTCTAAGTCTAGATAATTCCACTGTGTTTCCTTGTGTTCGATTTTTCTAGCGTCCTGGATATTAAACTTTCCTGTTGATTTTTATGGTTGAACTTGTGACTTATTTGCAGACAGAAATGGGCATTCCTCCGGTCAGGCCACCGCGTATTACAAAGTATCTAAAGCCTTATGTTCTGAAAATGCACTTTACAAACAAATACGTAACTGCGCAAGTGATCCACACACCAACCGCCACAGTAGCTTCTTCTGCAAGCTCCCAGGAAAAGGCCTTGAGAGAAAGCATGGAGATACGCCGGGACGTTGCTGCTGCTGGAAAGATAGGGAAGATATTGGGGGAGCGCCTCCTGCTCAAGAACATCCCTGCTGTATCCGTCCAGTTGAAGAGAGAACAGAAATATCATGGTAAGGTTAAAGCTGTCGTTGACAGTGTGGTGGAAGCAGGTGTCAAACTCCTCTGATTTCGACTGCGAGACAACGATGAACAATTACTCGGGTTCGGGTATCAATTCAGTTGAAGTTTTTCTATTGTGTTGTGCTATTGTGATCACGAACACCATTGGAAATTCTGATTGTTGATGCAATGGAGACTTCTTCTAGTAACCTTATTTTGGTTTTGATTTGAATGTTATTGTTCATGTGAATGCACTTTGTAAAATGTGGTCAAAAAATTGACTTGTAATTGGAAAGGCCAGCCCAATGGGAAACACAACCCATTTGAAGCACAAGGTAGGTCCAAAGCCAATTACCCAAAACTTTGTAATTTTGTCCAAAACAAAAGCCCATTTCATTTCAGTTTGGATAAAGTTGAGGGCATTCTGGTAGTTTCTGTACCTGGACCAATGACTTTTCGTTCACTCCTCGTGTTATCGCCGCCTTTAATCTCCCATCTCCTGGGGTCCGCCTGTCACTTCGATCTTATCGCCAATGACGTGCTCCTCGATCCACCTGCCAAGTCACCATCCTCACTCTGGATCCGACGAACGTTCCAGATCAGTCTCGATCCAGCATACCTGTTCGATCTTTAACGCCCTCATGGTCGTTAAATAACCTCCCAAACTCCCCCCGTTCACTCCCTCTTAGTCCAATCCCACTGCAATCGTTAAGTTACGCCAGTTTTGCTATCATCCAGTGTCTGCCCGCGCACGACATATAACATGGGCCTACTTGACCAGCTCTGGGACGACACCGTCGCCGGGCCTCGGCCCGATATCGGTCTTGGCAAGCTCCGCAAGCACAAAACCTTCAGTTTCCGATCCAGCTCCGCCAACGGTGCGTCCATTTTCTGCTTATCCTAAGCCGCCGGCGCATGTTAGCACACGCCATAAACATATACTCAAGGCTGACTTTGCAAATCTTATATTTAAATGAAACTGAAAATAAAATCAGACCGGCCAAAATGAAGTTGAAGCATTAGAATGTTGAGATCGCGCGGCTTATATTAATTTGCTTTGATTTTGTTTGAATTAGGATCGTCGGATGGAGGGAACGTGGGATCGTACGGTGAGGATTCGACAGAGGAGGCGACGAGAGTTACACGGAGTATTATGATAGTGAAACCCCCAGGATATGGGAGCGGTAACAGCGGATCGCCTCCGATTTCGCCAGCTGGGTCTACGCCTCCGGTGTCCCCGTTTTCTGGTAAGCATCTGGAATGTCAGATGTACCCCTGGCTCACTATACAGTATGGTGGGGCCAAGTCTCCAGAAATGGTGGAGCCTGCCTTCATACTTACTGGATGTAGTGAGACAAGGGGCATGTTCGTAATTTAAAATAATGTGGTTGGGTCAAATTTCAATTGTCTAGTCAGATTTCTGTCTAGATACATACATATATGATATGAAGGAGTAATATCTGTTTGGTTGTGAAATGACGTTTGTGTCCTTATTGATTCGTGATTTAACAAGAGTGGTATGGAATCTTACCTAACGATGATATATTAAGTAGATATTATTGTCCCCCACTAATAATTAAATAGGTGAAGAATAAACTAAAGCAGGTCAAGGGTTGAGTGTTGTTGTTGATGATGTTTTGTTTTGAATGTTGATGATAAGGTGGCAGCAGCATGGGAAGATTCAGGAGGAGGTCGGCGTCGGATGCATACGAGAAGGCAAGCCAGGTTGGTGGAGGAGGAGCAAGGAGCAGCCCCCGGTCTCCTTTCGACGTGTGACCAAAGGACAACATGTAGTGATATAATTAAGCCCTTTCTTTGCTAAGTTTGGGTGTTGCTGGGTGGTGTGGTGTTTGTTTTGAAGCTATATATATATGTATTGTATGTGATATATATATGTAGAGAGAGAGAGAGAGAGAGAGAGAGGGAGGGAGGGAGAGAGTAGTTTTGTATGTAAGATGTGAGAAATGTGGATGGAGTTGCTGATTTAATCTGCTATATGTATCATGTATGTGTACATAGTGTTTGTTCTCTTGCAAGTCGTCTTCTTTGGCATCTGAATGAATAAAAAGTATTTACTTTTCTTGGCAGCATGGGTGTTGTATTATTATACAGTGTGGTGCATAATTTGGTGCCTGAAAAATTGCTCGTCTTAGTTTTTGTAGAGAGAAAATTGAAGCTCATGAATGATACATGATGCCAAGCCAAGCTGAATATTCATGTTGGTTCTACCACTGAATCTTGAAACAAAATATAATTTTACTTCAAGAATCCACTGATTCTATGAAAACCCTAGTTTCAGATCAAATCCTGTTGTCTTTTGGAAAAAAATGTAAAATGACAGAAGGTTATGGGCCAAAAAACATGAGCATCATGCCAACTATCAACCCGTGCAAATAAGTGTAAGAATATTTAATAGTGACGGTCTAATGAAGTCTTATTTCTTAATCGTCAAATAAATTAATTAGTTTGATATAATAATTATGAAACTAAACCTCATTTGAGGAGCTTAGATAATGCCCTTGTTATAAAATGACTCTCCAAAAGTAAAGCCTGATTAATATGGGCCTGAATTCTGTTCAGATTTTTTGTGCACCATGGACCCAACTCTCCTCTTGGGCCCAATTTGTCCAACACCACTGACCTTTCATAATCGGGTTATCAGGTACCCACAGCCACCGTTCTCTTCTCTGCGAGTCGGTTTTTCTTTGCCTCAGCTTCGTCAAGATGGAACAGAACAGAGTCTTCCATTCTCTGATTCCGAGTCTTTCAGCAGCTCAATAATGCAAACCACCACCACGGATTGACGAAAAATGGGTCATGCGTCTCTGATTTTGCTGCTGCTTATCAATTCACTGGTCCCTTTCTCCTCCGGTAAATATAAATTTCACTTTCTTATTTGGGTTTTTCAGTCTCCTATCAGATTTGCAGTTTGCTCACTCATAATTGTTGATGATAGCGAACCTCTTTGTTTAAATTATGCACAGAACATTTTTATTCATACTAGTCCAGCTTTAGATGAAAATGAACGACATCATGAATTTCTATTTGTCGTCTCAATCTAGAAAGCTCCCTTCTTTTGCTTTAATTGGGGATACTTTAGTCTAGCACATGCAAACATCACTATATTACTGCTTGGGGAAGCAGTCTTTGTGTATCGATGGCTTTAACATGGACACCTGTGGCTAAACTTGACGAACTGCAACATCAAATAGTTTCAGTTTTTCTCACACTAGCTTAGTGTCAACTGTCAAAAGCATATAACTTTTCATATGAAAGGTCATTCTGGCATGGCCAATGCTTCCGACACAGCTTGTGGGAAGCTGAGATATGCTAGAATCAGTTTAAAGCTAGGCCTCTATGCAAATTATCTTTGGGTTTCACTAGTCTTGAAGGGGCATGCTTGTGTTTGAAACTTACACAAGGTGATCTTTGGTCTGCCTTCACTGCCTTAACACATCTCACAGGTGTATTCTCAAATTGCTCCTTTCTTTTTATAAATGTAATGTGGCCTAGAAATTATACTAATTTGTTACTTTTCCTTCAAGTTTTTCTTTTTTATTAATACTTATATGGAACTATTTATTAAGTTTTATCTAAATCTGTTTTAATGCAGGTAAACCTGACAGAGTATGCACTTCCCAAGGTGGTCGTTTCCCACCATTCTCTTCTGAGGGAAAGCCTCCACGACGGGTGAACAAGGGACCCAAAGATCTGACCCTTTGCAGGGTGTTCCGCAAAAAAACTTGCTGTGATGTATCCCAGACACATCCTGCACTGGTATCCGTTAGGAAGTTGGCTTCAACAGGAGAAGCTAACCCAGAGTGCTTGCAATTATGGGAATTACTGGAATGTTCCATCTGCGATCCCCGCATTGGCGTGCAGCCAGGACCTCCAGTTATATGTGCCTCTTTCTGTGACAGGGTCTTTAAGGCTTGTGCTGAGGCTTACTACTCTACGGATGCAATAACACAGGTATGCGGGTGACTACTAAACTTAGCCAAATCCATTATAATCTGTTGTAATGAAGGAATAGGTGATTACAATTATCTCCTTCCAGATGCATTAGGGAATTATTTTTTCTGATCAAGTATTTTCTGCCAGGTTCTAGCACCATGTGGAGTAAATGATTATGTTTGTGGTAGGGCCTCTGAATGGATCGTTAATGGCACAGAGTTCTGCCATGCTGCAGGGTTTGTCGTTAAAGATGATATAACTGTGAGAAAGGGAGAGGCATTTTGCTATGGTGGTAAAGCCAGTCTTGATTTGATTTCCGATTCATGGAAGGTTTCACACTCTGAGGTGCCCCAGAAAGTTGAGAGCTTGAGGCTGCTAGACGAGTTCCAGCAGAGGTGGAGGGAAATGCCATTTAGTGAAAGAGTTTCTTGGGCCGTGGGAGGATTGGTTCTTACAGCAGGCCTGTTGTTTGTAAGGTTTGGCACTCTCCTACTGCCTCTTTTATGGTGCTAGTAATACAACTCTAAATTTTGATGGGGGATCACCATTGTTAGGCGTTGTTAGTGTAGCTAGGGTGGATCAGTTTTTGTTTTGTTTTGTTTTTGTTTTTCCTATTTTTGTCTAGTGATATTTTATTTGTTCACGTCTAATGTCTATCGTCTATGCAGCAAAAGGAAAAGCCGTCACCAGCGCCACAAGCTAGCTGCTTTAAAACACTATAAGAAACTTGAAGCCAAGATGAGCCAGAAATCTCCTAGTAGTCCAGGAAATAGGAAAAGCAAGTAAAAGATGAATCTCTCTCTTGTACGGGAAAGTATTTAGTTATGACAGCTTACAGATGGTGTATCAATATATTGTTATAAAAAGTTTATGCCTAAGTTCTTTGGTTATTGTATGAAAAATGAATGGTGTATTAGTCGACTAGTATTTGTTCAAAATTTTCGAGTACTTTGTTCCAGTTTTTGAGGCTTTTCTATTAGCAATAAGCATGCAACTACATTTTTTACCTCATAGAAAATCATAGATCATAGTCGGCCCATATTCAAGAGTCGTTCGCAGGCATTGCCGGAGATGGACTTAATACTCTCCTATAATCTGAGTACCGACGGATGGTCAAATATCTCCCTAATCATCATCATGGCCAGTTACAATGAGTTTCAAGATTTCATTTGTGCGAATAGTTGTTTCAGTAAAGGGGGGCAACAAACTTGAGAACAAAGATATATAATTCTTCACTTTCTCCTATGTATAGTTCCCCATTGTCTCCCCATGCAACTCATCTTGTTTTCAAGCTTGATAAAGGATTTCATTGGCTTTAGGATGACTTCAAATGTCTCCTACACGAAATGTCTTCTTGTCCCCTACAAATGATGTATTGTTAGCCTTCGGCTATTGTTAGGGGAGAAAAGTAAGCAAGATTTTGGTAATGTTGTGATATTGAATCAAACTATTTGTTTATAAACAATGCGACTGAAATTGTATACGAAATATTTTGAATCAGTGTTTGAAATGGTGAGGCGGAGCTATTCCCATGGCTCTAATCCACGTGCTGCCTGGAATTATAATGATAGGATAAAAACGAAGTCATTTGGGAAAAAGTGCCCTCAAGAAATCAGTTTAAAAGCTGATCGGATGAGACTTGATAAACACAGGCTCGATACAGATTTGCTGAAGAACAGCCACTTGAGAGTTGAGAATTCACCATCTTACATTACACACGAAAAATACCTTTTAACTGTATAACAAAATGGATATGACCATCTTACCATGAATTCGATTAAAGGATGAACTGTTTGTTAAAGATGATCACTCCACATACAAAGACAAAACAAGTAAATAAAGATGGGGTATACATATGACTCTTTAAGACAGGAAAATCCACAGCACAGTCATGAAACCATAATATAAATTCTTCATTTCTTCTTGATGTTATCACAGTTAGTCTTCAATATCCTCAATCTAGATGTTCCATCTGCAAAACAGGGCGAAAGATTGAAGAACGCCCACAAAACATTGTAGGAAGGACACCCAAAAATTATAAGAAATGCTTTGGCATGACAACGCATCAGCGAAGCAGCAATCTTTATCCGAGCATTTCGTGCTAATAAAGAAGATAATTGGTGATCGCTACACACAAAGTAAACATTTTACAATGACATACCTTCCAAAGACCATCATTAAGATAATGCATGTTGTCAACTCCAATTCCCTTGTTGATATCTCTTCTGCAAGCCAAGCAGAGGACTCAACTTCTTAAATAACGCAATCAGCAACTAATAACTAAGCTGGCTTTGATACAATTATAACTTCACCATAGTATGAACTTCTACCACCCAAGTTTACAAAGAACAAGGGAAGGAACTTATAAAAGCTCCCTACAGACATGGCATGGAATACAATATGAGCACCGATAAACCTTCCCCTAAGGTTTGCATCTGAGCTATATTGACCATTCATCGCACTGAAGCCAACAATGAAGCATTTATGAATTTCTTTAATTTTTTTTAATTTGCAAGCTATATGTTCTGAGGTCGGTGAAAAGTTAGGCTCTATGTAGCATATAGCTTGTCCTCAATAGTCCAAGGGTACAGTACCCCAGGCATTAAGCTATGAGAAGCAGCTATATTTCTTCAAAAAATAAAAAATAAAAAAACTTACATTTCTTTTGCTGACATTTTTGTGAAGCCAATGGCAAGAGCATGTTGCTTTCCTTCTGCCATTATTGCCTGAGAGTATTCAGTTTCACATATAAGGCAATTATTTAAATCAACTCAACATAATATCTCAACAAAAAGTTTTGCTCTAACATGAGTTTGCCATTACACTAATCATTAATAAAAGGAAATAAAACTTATACCACAGGAGTCTCTGCAGCCACTGTGTCATCCAAAGCACCGCCGGGAGAAGTCAGACCTGGACACATTATGTTTGCACCAGCGAGAACAAACTTTATGGCACCCCTATCTACTTGCAACTTTTTCATTATATCAGGATCTGTAAAACCCAAAAAGGAACCCTTTAGTTTTCTTGGATACAACTTTTTGGAAGGAAAAGTTCACTAACAAGATAGCTTTATTTATAAGAACAAAAAGGTAATCCACTGACAACAAGAAAAAACAAAACAATGGTTGCAACGAGATTCATAGATCAGAATTGAAAACAAAAGCACAATGATAACTGTAACTATAAATTATAGTTTCACAGCCCCACTCAACACCACCACACCCACACTCCCCACCCCCAACCCCAATTTTTTTTCCCTAAATTCATATATGAAGACTTGTGGAAAGTTTTGAAATCATTCTCTCCTTTTTAATAAGGTTCCCGGAACATAGTTGAATAGGATCTTCCACACATGAGAATCACTTAACCTGCAGGTCTTGCCTGAAGCTCACTTTTCTAGAGTAGCTGTATGATGGTTCCACCTGCCTGGACTGTCAACCCCCACCCAAAATCCAAGGATGAAAATATCAACAGAGTTTTCCTTGGCTTTCCACTAGAGTAGGGACTTGTCTCAAATTCAAACTCCCCCAAGAATAGCAAGAAGTCCACAAAATAGCTGGTTTTCCATTGTGATTTCATTCACCATTACATTACATTCTCATTAATGTTTCATTCAATCCTAAAATAGAAAATAGAAGCAACTCTTATGCTATAAGGAACAGTTAGGTATATATTGTTATTATAGAAAAAAAAGTTAAAATTTACTAGAAGTTGCTTTCCATTCATTCACTCCCAACACACCAGAATTTCATTAGAACAATACAAGAGGCAAGCATTAACTTCACAGTACAGAGCCATGACCATCAACAAATAAAGTGATAGACAAATAATTCTTGTAGAAAATATAATAACAAGAAACGACATATTGGTGGTTAAGAAATTATTACATTGATGAAGGAGCCTTAGGGTAGGCATATATGGTCCATCACGAATGTTGAAAAATAGTGGCACGTTGTTTACCACAACTAAATTTAGATGGTTCTGACTGCAAAAAGTGGAGGAGGTGGGGTACAATGTTAAATATACAGGATTACACATCATGAAACGAATACCTGAGTTAGAAGTGAAACCACAGAAGCAGGAGCAATAGAGAAACAAACCATTTAGCCACAATTAAAGGGGATTTCTTTGGTAGCAAATCTTCCAATGCTTGTTCGAGTCCAGGGTACTGCAATTGAATTGAATTTTGTGTTAAAGACATACGTAAAGCGTATAAAAGCATCAGCTAAATCCCTATAAATCTCTTACCTCATCGGCAATACTTTGGCGAATTTTGCGCTGGACAGATGCCTTAACTTGGTTTTGTGCAGACACCTCTTCAGAGGAAAATCTACGACATAGCACATATTATGGGTAATGGAGAAATGTTTTTGCTGATGTATATATGCAATCATATAACAAAATATTTCCCTTAACATAGAAGACTTTGCAATTACAAACAGCTAGCACAAAGAAGACAAATTAATGAGAACCCTGACCATCCTCTTCAAATAAATAACCTAAATAAGTGACCCTTCAAGATTCACTATATAACAATATCTCATATACAGCAAAAAAAATCAACTTTGATGAGAAAGCTGAAGCTTCAGAAACCATATACAACCATGTCACGGTTGCTTAAAGCACAGAGAAGTAATGGCATCATTCAAACCCATACTCGCATCAAACCAAAATACAATGAAATTCAAGGCATAAATCGAAAACCAAAACCCACATAAAAACACAATCAACAATACCAAATAAAAACAAAATTAAAACAATCTGATTGTATTTTCATCGAACTAAACCAAACCCAGAAATCATATGTCTCAAATATCAACAAAGTAAACAAACAAAAGACATATACTTGGAAATACACACCCACATACACAATAATATCGACGAAAACATTTATATGCGTGTGCGCGCTCGTGTACAAAGCTTACTTTTTGAACATTCTGGAAAAATGGAGGCAAGAGAGAATCTAAGATCTTCAAGAGCAAGCAGAGAAAACCCTTTAAACTGGTGTCAAGGTCGAACAATACTGAAACCGGTATGGGATCAGTTAAGCTCAGCTGCGCTCTATAGCCCGCGTCGGTGTTAACTCTATTTGAGACACTCTTTCGGCCTTTTCACAGTGGGCTGGCCTGGAAGGAACAATATGGTCTGGGCAAGGTTCAAAATAATGGGCCATAGTGGCACTAGTGACTTTCACTAATTACCTTTTTAATCACTTTAATTTTACACGAAATTTCAATTTGGTAACTAAAAAACAAATTTAGCCAAATTTGTCATTATATTATTTAGAGCTTACAATTTAAAGACTTACCATTAGTTAAGCCATGCAAATGTTACCCTCTTAGTGACTAATTTGATTAAACTTTTTTCTTAGTGGTCAAATTGAAAGTTCGTGTAAAACTCGGTGACCAAAAAAATATTTATTTCTTTAATATATAAATTGTCAAAATAAGCACATATGCATATTTACTGACTACGCTTAAAATGTATTGAAAATATTGCTATATATCAAAAGACCAAAACGTAAACATTAATAAGACAACAATGAAGTTTTCAAAGGAGGGAAGAGACCAAAACTTAAACATTTCTCGTCCACTGATCTGCACAGCACCCCTTTTTTCTCTTCCTCTTCCACTTACTTGCAACACGTACACCTACAAGTTGCGTGGCCGATTGCCGTGAGAGAATAATAAGGAATACCACTTTCTGACAGAAAGAGTTGAACCGAGAAAATGAAAGATTGGTGTCTGCAAGTCGTCAGTGACAAACAGAAAACAGGTAGAAGAGGAGAAAAAACAATAAAAATAAATTAGAGCACGAGAGAAATGGCAATAATGTTTGGCAAATTTTCGGAAGATATGGTGGTGCAAATGATGTCAAGATTGCCTCCCAAGTCTTTGATGCGATTTAGATGCTTGAATAAGTAAAGGAACAATCAAATGAGCAGCCCTAGCTTGGTGGCCAAGCATCTTTCCAATTCCAAGCTCAATGCCTCCTCCACCGCTTGCATTATTTTCAAGCGTCTTGTTATCCTTGAGGATGAAAACAACAAGGGTGATGAGTTCCAATATGACAGAACGGCCACGTTATTCTCAACAATAATTAATATACTTGCAAGGACAATACTAATGCCGATAACCTTGTTCATCATTCTGTTGTCTAAGTCATTCATGTTCCACTTCCGATGAGTGTAGAACATCATATGCTAGAACTTGTAGGCCACTGCGACGGCATCATTTGTCTTCGACATCAGATTGATGTGGACCAGGTTTTTTGTGCAATCCAGCAACCAGGGAATTCTTAATTCTTCCAACCAAAGCCTTATATTCCACCTCTTCCATATGTTCCAGAAACACCACAAAACCTTGCCTTGGGATTACCAAAAACATCAGAAACCCTTGGCGCGGGATTTGGTTATGATGACAAAGCAAAAGTGCACAAGGTTGTTAGAGTTAAATTTGTCTTGGCCGTGCCGGATCTCAATCTTATTTATTCAAGAGCAGAGGTTTACAACTTGGATGCTGATTCTTGGAGAGAGATCGAGTGTCATACACAAGAAGCTCATATTTTCCCACATGTTTTCCTGACGTACTTGAACGGAATTTTTTATTGGTACGGGAGTGACACAAGGACTAGTCTGGAAGTCATCGTTTCATTTGATATGGCAGACGAGAAATTTCATAAAATAACAGTACCAGATAGTTTCGATGATCTAGAGAGACAACAAGCTTGAAGGGATATAGTTAGTTAATTCTAGCTAGCTAAACTGATATTTTTCCAAAAAGGATGATGACATTTCATTGAATTTGCATGTCTTCTTAATTATTCCAAGTAGTAAATCCATTGTAAACTTGAATTTATTTCATCTCCCATGTTGTGTTTTGTTATTTTTTTGTTATTTTTTATTTTACTTGTATAATCGACTTACAAAAGAAAGTTTTCTATGTGAATAGCTTAGTTTCGATCACAGGAGGCAACGGGCTTGAGAGTGTAGATATATAATTCTAGCAATTTAATTTCTCACCTTTTGTTTTTTTTTCCTCTTGTCCAAAAGCTTGATAAAAGATGTACCAATAAGGATGAAATTGTGTTGAGTAATTTTTGTATGTTCAATAGGATGAGTAACAGAACATACAAAAATTTCTCATCCAATACGATGAGTACTTGTAGCCTCAATCTTTCAATTTTGTATGTTAATTATTACCTGAGAGTTAGCGGTGTTTCTGGGGATGGTTGCATTTTCTTGAGACATGTCATGTGTCCATGGACTTTAAAGCCTTATTAACCGCATATGGCAGCATCAGGAAGTCATTTCTAGAGCTCTAACATTCCATGTGGCCATTGACTTTGGCAGTTTGACATCTTAGCCTGAATAGCATAAAAGAAATCACTACTATAACCCTAATATTAGAATGATTTTCCACCACAAAAGCTAATTTTTAATCAGTTTGAAAACTCTACTAGTTTGTTCTAAAAGACAGCATGCAGATGGATGAATTGTACAACCAACCTTTTCTTAGATAGCAATTATACACCCAACTTTAAAGTTGTAGTGTTTTCAAGTTGACAGGGCACGTTGAAGACGATCACAGATGCTCAAAACTCTTAGACATGTCATGTGATTGTTACTCCTAAAAATAGATATTCTCATAAACATTAGAAAAAGTCAAATATCTTAAGGGGGAAAAAAAGTTATCTGGTGGTGAAGAAATTATAACGACAGTTAATAGTAAAAACTCTACATTGTTAAACCAAGTAAAACAGAAGGGAAAACTATTAAAAGAAAGTCACATATCACAAACCACGTAAACCATCTCTTTCTGGTCAGCAGATCATCAATATGGAAATCTTCCTGCCTCTCCCTTAATCAAGTTCTCTCACTCATTTCGAAACGCAGAACTCAAACCCATATTAATTAGTTGTTAATCTCTAAGTACGTACCATCAAAACATATATTTCTATCCCTTGTCGTTCAATCATTAGGGTTTAGAGTTTTGCAAGATGTGGGAAGAGATGGGGTTGCGTCGTATCTTTCCAAGATTGCCTTCCAAATCTCTAATGCGATTCAAGTGTGTTCGTAAATCGTGGTATACTTTGATCAGCAATCCCACCTTCGTGGAAAATCATCTCTCCAATTCGATGCACAACAAACTGTCGACTTGCGTCCTTTTCAGTCGTTTTGTCCAGAGCGACACTAATCCTAGCGAGAAGGAACTTGCATTCTCCTTCCTTTATCTCCGCAATGATTATGATGATGCCGAGCATAACATTAATTTTTTTGTTGAGGACATCAAATTTCCACTTTCTTCGGGACAATATATTGGGCTTGAGGTTATAGAATCTCCATATGTTATAGGCCATTGTGATGGGATAGTTTGTCTAAATGATTCTAGTGGCAACGTTATTTTATGCAATCCAGCAATCAAGGAAATCAAACTTCTAGCCAAATCAGGCCTTCCAGATTGGTGGGGATGTGCTGTGGGGATTGGGTATGATCCCAAATCTAAAGACTACAAAGTTAGTAGAATTGCATCTTATCGGGCGGAAGTTTATGGTGATGGTCTGGTTCTTTTTCCTCCTAGAGTTGAAATATATGCCTTCAATACAGATTCTTGGCGAGAGATCAAGAATAATTCTTTAGAAACAGAAGCTACTGTCTTGTTTCCTGATTATTTCCAGATGTACTTCCAGGGAATTTGTTATTGGGTAGGGTATGAGCAACCAAAACAATATGGGTTCTACGATGATGAGGAACAGAAGGCAATGGTCATTTTATTTGATACGAGTGATGAAAAATTTCATCATATATTATTTCCTGATAGTTTTTATATGTATGAGGAGGGATCGTCATTTTGTTATGAAATGTCTTATATTATGTATTGTGATCTGCGCATTATACTTTGGAATGGATCTATTGCTCTTTTTGGCATTAATCGTTTTAGTGCATTTCCTGAATCCTATGGAGTTTGGGTGTTGGATGACTTTGACGGTGCTAAGGGTTCGTGGACAAAACACTTGACTTTTGATCCCTTGGAGGGCATTAAGTGGGTATTAGAATTTTGGAAGAGTGACGAGATTCTTATGGTTAACGAAGATGGAGATGTAGTATCTTACACTCTTCAAACTCAGAATAAGCTTAAGATTCTTCCAATGAATATCCCATCTGATTTCGAAACTATTGTGTATATTAATAGCTTAGTTTCGATCACAGGAGGCAACACGCTTGAGAGTGTGGTTATATGATTCTAGCCATATAATTGTCACATTTTTTTAAGGGAGCTGATTTTCCCACCCTCATTTTCTCCACTTACACTCCCTTTTGCTTGGGAGCTTTAGTTTTAAAACACAATATAGTTTACTAATTTGGAAGATATGAATACAATTTCATCTAATTAGCATAAGACCAAAGACCAAATATAGTACCTAATTTTACAAAAATATCATTAAAAAATATCAAAATTACACACAATGCCACTCCTTCTAAGACAAGCATACTATGCCACAAGTCCATATCTAGACACCGCCGCTGCCGCCCGCCGTTGGCCATCACCGCCGGCTACTGTTGTCGGCCATCGATGCTTGCCACTCGTCGCCGGCCACCAGCCGCTAGGCACCACTGCCTTCGCCACCACCGCCAGCAACTGCCGCCGGCCACCACCGCCTGTAGGGGGCTAACTCCGTTGACCTTTATTCACCTTTAAAAAAAAGATTTTGTGTCATTGAAGGGACTCGAACCTTGACTCTTAAAGGGGGAAGGATGACTCACAAACCACTACACCAAACTTGATTTTGTAATATTTATTCAGTTATACAATATTTATATAACAATTAACAGTTTAAAAAAAAATTCATTTCAACATTTACTCACACAAAAACTGCAAATAAAACAGAAACTACAACAAAAATACAATTTAGATATGAATTATGTTATAAAAAAAAATTTGAAAACAACTACAAAAACAAAAATTGTTGATTGTTATATAATCTTAGAACAGGATGCAACAAACAGAATTGGAACAGGAAACTGCACTGCAGTTTCTGATAAAAAATTGCAACAAACAGAAACTACAAGTGCAGTTTATGAAAAAAAAATCTGCTCAAATGTGAAAAAAAAATCAAAAGGCAAAGCCATGATCAAAGTACTAAAACTAAGTTCAAAACATGTATAAATAGATGAGCAGTTGTAACATTCCCATAAACATAGAAAAATTATTCTCAAATTAAATTATGAAATAAGAAACTGCAGTGCAGTTTCTGATTAAAAACTGTAACAAACAGAAACTGCAGTGCAGTTTATGGCAAAACATCTGCTCAACTTTGCAAAGAAAACAAAAGGCAAAGCCATTATCAAAGTACTAAAACTAAGTTTAAAACATATTTAAGTCGATAAGCAGTTGTAGCATTCCCATAGACTTGGAAAAATTATTCTAAAATCGAAATATGGAACAAGAAACTGCATTGCAGTTTCTTATCAAAAATTGCAACTAACAGAAACTGCAGTTCAGTTTATAAATAAAAAAAACCTCAAATGTGAAAAGAAACAAAAAGGCAAAGCTATGATCAAAGTACTAAAACTAAGTTCAAAACACACACAAGTAGATAAGTAATTGTAACATTCTCATAGACTTGGAAAAATTATTTAAAATAGAAATATGGAACAGGAAACTGCAATGCAGTTTCTTATCAAAAATTGCAACAAACGGAAACTGTAGTGCATTTTATGACAAAACATCTGCTCAAATTTGCAAAGAAACCAAAAGTTAAAGCCATGATCAATAAAACTAAGTTCAAAACACATTTAAGTCGATTAGCAATTGTAACATTCCCATAGACTTGCAAAATCAAAATATGGAACAGGAAACTACAAAACTGCAACAGAAACTGCAGTGCAGTTTATGAAAAAAAAAGTGCATGTGAAAAGAAACCAAAAGGCAAAGCCATGATCAAAGTACTAAAACTAACTTTAAAACATATTTAAGTCGATGAGCAGTTGTAGCATTCCCATTGACTTGGAAAAATTATTCTAAAATCAAAATATGGAACAAGAAACTGCACTGCAGTTGGTGAGGTTGAAGGCCAAGGAAAGAGCAAAACTAACCACTGAGGGTCACACCCCATGTGCATTATTGTATACTTCAGGAAGAAAAATAAAACAAAAAAACAAGAGAAATAGTTCATCAAAAAATGCTCGGAGAGTAGTATTCATGGAAATCAATCCCCAACCATCATGCGCCTCTAACTCTTCTTAAAATGAATAGGCAAACCTTATGCATATTTTTCTGCAGTAGAGAAACAACATATGTAAACAATTAAATTTCACAAGAACTAGTGAAAGCCAAATAACTGGAGAATAAGCAAATGGTAATCCGAAAAATTGAATAAAGAAGATTGCGGAGGATATATTACCCAAGCCACAAAGAAATAATCTAAGCAATTGCAATCTTCAAATAACCAGAACCAAATGAATAAACTTTCCATTTTAGATATTCAAACTAAAATGCTAGTATGCCCAACCATAAAAGAAACTGTTGGAGGTAAAAACTAGACAGTAGTAATTAGACCAACTTAAAGATGAGGAGGAGGATGATGAAGGTGAGGACTCTCGGTATGTGAGGGCATTCGATAAGTACATAGGCATGCATAAGACAAATGTACATGGTTCACCCGAATAATGGGCTACGTCCACAGAGAAGTATGTTCTCATTATGATAAAAACTGTATACATTGCACATAGAGTTAGACCCAAGGAGAGGAGGAAGAATGCCGAAGGCTGAGGATCTGGCTGAAGTCAAATGATCCGTGGGCTTGTAAATGGGCTTAGAAGTAAGCCCATGAGGCCCTTATGAGCCATATGGTGCCCTAGTAGCCTGTCTAACTCTCTCTTTTCTTTGAAGGAGATGAGTATTCTTTTATAAGTGAGGAAGAGTCCCATCTTTTTGTGTTTTGTCGATGTGGGACTCCCTTTCCTTTGCTTGGATTGGCTTGGGAGTACTTGGCCAGATATTGTACAAACATGAGTCCCCCAAGTTCTCAATTAAAGAGGTACTTCTTGATTGGGGACTTGTAGTCATCAATGCACTGGCCAAGCAATGCTTCAGCTTCTTCTTCGCTTTTTCTTATATGCAGCATCGGTGCAGAGTTGTTGAGTCAGTACTCGCTGGTCACCGAAGGTAATGGTACTGAGTGCTGAGTAGTAAGTATTGAAGGGTATGGAGATTGAATCGCATGACAACTACTGGAGGCATGCACTATCGTAGGTGCTGAAGGTGTTGCTGCAATAATGGGTGTCGTTTAGCAGTTGGCACAGGTGCCGGAAGCTTAGAGAATTCTCCATGTGCCGTTCGGCAAGTAGCTTTGGCGCTGTAAGAGAGAAATATCCCTATGAGGTGTCGTTCGGCAGGTAGCCTTGGCGCATAAATGAATAGATATCTCGTGGGAGGTGCCATTCTGTGGCTTTGAGAAGAGGCGCTGAAGAAGTGTCACCTGTGGGGTGCCGTTCGGCAACGTAAGAGCTGGAGGATGCCGTTGGAGCTTTGGGAGTTGCCGTAAGCTTAAGAGCTGATGCCGTTACTTAGGAGCTGCTTCCGTAAGCTTCGAAAGCTAATGCCGAAAGCTTATGAGCTGATGCCGTAAGCTTTGGAAGTTGATGCCGAAAGCTTGGGAGCTGATGCCGTAAGTTAGGAGCTGCCGTTCGGCATAACCTTGAGAAGAGGCGCTGGAGAAGTATCACCCGTGGGGTGCCGTTCGGCAACACAAGAGCTAGAAGATGCCGTTGGAGCTTTGGGAGCTGCCATAAGCTTGGGAGCTGATGTCGTTACTTAGGAGCTGCCGCTGTAAGCTTCGAAAGCTGATGCCGAAAGCTTGGGAGCTGATGCCGTAAGCTTTGGAAGTTGATGCCGAAAGCTTGGGAGATGATGCCGTAAGTTAGGAGCTGCCATTCGGCATGACCTTGAGAAAAGGCGCTGGAGAAGTGTCACCTGTGGGGTGCCGTTCGGCAACGCAAGAGCTAGAAGATGCCGTTGGAACTTTGGGAGTTGCCGTAAGCTTGGGAGTTGATGCCGAAAGCTTGGGAGCTGATGCCGTAAGCTTTGGAAGTTTATGTTGAAAGCTTGGGAGCTGCCGCCGTAAGCTTTGGAAGCTGAAGGCAGACGCTGAATCATTGGGGGGATGTGAAGACATCGCACGTGCCAAATGATGGAAGGGTGCCAAAGGCAGATGCCGAATCATTTGGGGGGGATGTGAAGACATCGCAAACGCCGAATGATGCAAAGGTGCCGACGGCAGATGTCGAATCATTGGGGGATGTGAAGACATTGCACGCCGAATGACGTAAGGGTGCCAAAGGCAGATGCCGAATCATTGGGGGGATGTGAAGACATCGCATGCGCCAAATGATGGAAGAGTGCCAAAGGCAAATGCCGAATCATTTGGGGGGGATGTGAAGACATCGCACGCCGAATGATGGAAGGGTGCCGACGGCAGATGCTGAATCATTGGGGGATGTGAAGACATCGCACGCCGAATGATACAAAGGTGCCGACGGCAGATGCCGAATCATTAGGGGATGTGAATACATTGCACGCCGAATGATGCAAAGTTGCCAACGAAAGATGTCGAATCATTGGGGGATGTGAAGACATCGCACGCCGAATGACGTAAGGGTGCCGAAGGCAGATGCCAAATCATTGGGGGGATGTGAAGACATCGCACGCGCCGAATGATGCAAAGGTGCCGAAAGCAGATGCCGAATCATTGGGGGATGTGAAGACATTGCACCCCGAATGATGGAAGGGTGCCAAAGGCAGATGCCGAATCATTTGGGGGGGGATGTGAAGACATCGCACTCCGAATGACGTAAGGGTGCTAGAGGCAGATGCCAAATCATTGAGGGGATGTGAAGACATCGCACGCGCCGAATGATGCAGAGGTGCCGAAAGCAGATGCCGAATCATTGAGGGATGTGAAGACATCGCACGCTGAATGACGTAAGGGTGCTGAAGGCAGATTGTAGGAAGTGCCTAGGGTAGCGGTCACAAGGGTGCCGAGGGTACTGAATGTAAGAGTGCTGAGGGGCACTTGTTGTAGGGTGTCGAGGGCAATCGAGAAGGAGAACGACATAGCCTTTCGTGTCGCTTCCCACAAACGACACCAATCTGTTGGAGGTAAAAACTAGACAGTAGTAATTAGACCAACTTAAAGATGAGGAGGAGGATGATGAAGGTGAGGACCCTCGGTATGTGAGGGCATTCGATAAGTACATAGGCATGCATACAGAAGACAAATGTACGTGGTTCACCCGAATAATGGGCTACGTCCACGGAGAAGTATGTTCTCATTATGATAAAGACTGTATACATTGCACATAGAGTTAGACCCAAGGAGAGGAGGAAGAATGCCGGAGGCTGATGGCCGAAGGCTGAGGGTCGAAGGCTGATGGCCGAAGGCTGATGGTTGAAGGTGGAGGGCCGAAGGCTGAGGATCTGGCTGAAGGCAAATGATCCGTGGGCTTGTAAATGGGCTTAGGAGTAAGCCCATGAGGCTCTTATGAGCCATATGGTGCCCTAGTAGCCTGTCTAACTCTCTCTTTTCTTTGAAGGAGATGAGTCTCCTTTTATAAGTGAGGGAGAGTCCCCTCTTTTTGTGTTTTGTCGATGTGAGACTCCCTTTCCTTTGCTTGGATTGGCTTGGGAGTACTTGGCCAGATATTGTACAAACAGAAACTAATGTCGAAATAGTAATTGTACAAATACTTGTATCAATACTAGTAGTAGCATGCTATAACAAAATGATCTAAGCATGCACTAAAAATGATAGAAGATACCATATTTATGTTGTTACTGGCTCATTGTTGCAATTGAAAACAAAAGCTTAACAAACACTTACCGACATGGGATAAGACAATCAAAACGCATGCGCCCAATTCAACAGCTCTACGGCTTCCCATCTTAGTGGCAGCTAGTGTGTGCACGTTTCCAGTTAAACTTGTGGAGCCTATTCCAATACCTCATAGACCAGTCAAGACACTAGAAAGATCTTCCAGACCAATCCCTCGACTAAGAACACCAGGGGTTGGAGGTCTAGAAGCCACTAATAACGAAGATGAATGATAGGAGCCAACCTCACATGTCATACACAAAGCAAATTCAGCAACCAAAGGAATCAAACAACATTGCATGACAAATCAAATAAGTAGCTTGATGTAGCTTGATGTAACTAATAATTTAGTATTAGTTCAATATTTCCGTTACACAAGTGTAGAGGGCACTCTCAAGGAGGAATTTTCATACAGTGATGTAATTGGGATCTTTAAAGAGTATTCTATGTAATCAGACTAATGCTTTTCTAAGAGGAACATTCAGAACATGGAACAATAGTTTTTCACCTAAAAAAATAGCTTAACTCCTACCAACTACATTGTTACAATTTGCAATCTCTTCAATCTCAAAAGTTCTATGAGACCAATATTAGAACGTTAGACTAATGAAAATGAAAAATGATCAAGAATTAAGGATGTATGTCCAAACCTTCCATTCAGGCAATCAAGCAGAGTTCAAAACTTATTTATAAATGTGAATTAAAGCCAAATCATTTCACCCCACACCAATGACAAGGCTGGCCTAACGAATTGTTAGATCCATATAGTCTTAATAAATTAATAGATGCAGAAACTTCGCTTGAGAAGAATCTAATCTAGAAAATTGAAATAACGGATCTATTGTTAGATCCATATAGGTTGGCCTAACAGATCTACAAAATTGAAATAAGAATCTGATTTAGAAAACACATACCTCACCAGATGAAAAACAGATCTTCGTATAAAAAGAAGGAAGATGAGAGAGAGGGTGTTGTTATCGATGGAGCAAATAAGGAAGATGAGAGAGAGCGGGTGTCGTCGTCGTTGATTGAGCGAAGAAGGAATAGGAGAAAGAGAGGGCGTCGTATCGTCAATAGAGAGAAGAGAGCGTCGTTATCGCTGGAGTGAATAAGGAAGAGGAGAGAGAGAGGCTGAAATCTGATTTTAAAACAAAAGGGTAAAATTGTATTTTACCTTTATAATTTAGACAGGCCCAACAAATTTGGGCCTCCTCTTTGGCCTAATAAAAAATAACAATTCTTTTTTAGGTATTAAAACCCAAACAAAAATGGCCAATGTCTCAAATACTAATTAGTAAAGTTAATTATATCTAATACCTAATTTTTCTCTTTTGCTTTTTAATACTTTTTAAGCAATTTTGTTCTTTCTCTTTCCTATTCTACACTTACCCTATATTAATTTCTTTTTACTTCACTTTTATATTATTTCTTTTTCTTTATACTTAATTTTCCAACTTGCACTCCATTTTCAGTTTTTTTTTCCTTTATTCGAGTAAGAAATAATTAACACTGTATACTTGTCTAGACAAGATTATATGGTCCACCTGTTGCAAAAACTCATGCCCCATAAATTTAATATACCATGCATAATATCTTGAGAATTAGAAGGATTACTAACCTCTGCCATTCCACTCAAATCACCAATGCCCACCATGTCAAAAATCCTCTGCAACTCCGACTCTAATATTTGGTCTTCATCCATAGCTAACCTTTAGTCAAAAAATATGGGGTAAAATATTTTCTGATATATTTTATTCTCCAAAAGAAGGTCTTTATAATACAAGTGTATAAACCCTAGTAGGGTTATACAAATAAAATCCTAATTACACAATATTTGTACAAAAGAGAAATAAATAAAATCTGAATAGAATAAGAAATAAATCTCCTAATCAAACTAGGATCTCGCCAACATCTTTCACCAATAATTAAACAGTATTTGCTTTGGGTAGGAGACTGTTCTATTCCATGAATTGCTCTTAGAGTAGCTTTGGGTAGGAGAAGTGGGAAATACAAGATAAAGGAGAAGAAGACGCTCTGACTTCTTTTCTTCTTTTTTATGTTTTATTTTATTTTATGTTTTAATTTCAGTTATCAAAACATTAATGTAGGGTAAGGGTAGAATAGGAAAGAACAAAATTGATTAAAAAGTATTTAAAAGCAAAAGAGAGTGTAAGTGGAAAAAAGGAGAGTGACTACCAATAGGAAAAAAGATTGATAAAAGATGTACCAAATACCAATAAGGTCTAAATTCTGTTGAAAATACATTAGTTTCTTGCCGTCCAATAGGGTGACTACTTGTAGCCTAAATCTTTCAATTTCGTATTTTTATTATTGGGGAAATTTATGCTCCGTTTGGATGGAGGGATTAGAAAGAAATCATTTAGATTTGACGATAATACTAAATTTGCTAAAAAATAAGAACTACATTAAATTGAATGTAATTGGAATAACTATGTATTACATTTAAAATGACTATATGTAAGAAATATTTTGCAATTCATTTGTTTTCTTCCTTTGTTTCTTTGTTCAAATTTTGTTATAAATGAATTATAATAGTCTATACATATATACAATGTCATCTAAATCCATAAATTTGAAATCCCTCCATCTGAATGAACGCTTACAATTATATTAACTGAGAGTTGGGCTTATGCACATGAACAAGAAAATTTTACAATTAGCCACCTAGGTTTTACTTCCTCTAGTACTAGAAATATGGCGTCCGCACGAATGAAAGCTTCCATATTTTATCAAAATAAATCCCATATTGTATACAAGTATGAAATCTTACAATTATATTAACGAGATTTGAGACCAAATTTACAATTATATTACGAGTAATGTGCCTAATAATGTGGAAATCGTTGGTCCCGCATTGTTGCTGACATGGAATCCACAACAATACATGGCCATAAAATGCTATTGTATTATTGAGGTACCACGTAATCATACTATAATAGTATTATATATTGCGTAACATACTGTGAAACAGTAATGTTAAGTTAATTAACCCTCATATGAAAGAACCCTAATCACACCACCACAGTCTCTACCTATCACACAATCATCTACCTACCTAGATCTCGCTGCCACACTATCGCACCACCATATGTCTTACCACCGCATTAAGATCTATACCGACCAAAATAAATCTCTGAATTCTAGTTCATGAATCATGAATATATAGGGTTCAAAATAAATTGAGGAAATTAAAAATTAGAAATTGAAGATATAGGTTGCTCATCATTATGGCGATGAATAGTCTTGTAAACCATGATTGTTTCCCTCTTCCTCCCTCCAAGTCCAAGCTCGGTAATATTAGTTTGTGTTATAGTTGAAGGTGAATTAAAAGCACGAGCTTCTTTAACTCAAACTGAAAATTAAAGTGCCAGATGTGCATGTCGCCGGTACTGTTGAGACTCATCTATATATGGTCGCTGGCGGACCTAGAAATTTTTTAGCAGAGGTGCAATATTGACTAAGTATGAAAATGGTTTTTCGGAATAATCATTTTCTCAAGATAATTTTTGGCGGCTTTTATTCCTTATACATCAAATAAGAAAACTTGATTTTATGGGATTTTAGTATGAAGTATATATTGACTTAATGAGCCATCATTTTTAGCCTAAATCGTATTTTGCACTAAAACCGAATTTTCATATTTTGATTTGGTGGGAATTTGATTTTCTAGTATTTTTATTTGAATCCAAATGTGGGGTACTTCCTTATTTACATTGTAAACTTAAGTAAATGGAGTAATATAAAAATAAATAAAAGTAAAAAGACAAAGACATTTACTTAAATGTTGAAAATGGAAACAAGGTAATCTGTACACCAGTTGAGCAAATGGGCAATTTGAAGCACCTACAATGGTTTTTCTGGCGAAGGGAGGTACAGCTGCACCTCCTTGCGCCTTAATAGATCCGCCCCTGTATATGGTAGAAGGGATTGGAGTAGAGGATAGAGAGAGGGCTCTTGGATTGGAGTAGAAGTGATCACTAGTTGACTATTGGGTTATATGTTGGAGTAGAAGTGATCTCTTAATGTAATTTTTTAAAAGTTAACAATTTTAATTTAGAATAATGCTACTATTACCACATTTTTATACCATAATTTTGGTTTTTTACAATGCTACTCTTACCACATGCTGGAAATTTGCTAAATGAAAATTGATCCACATCATTCGGAACTTAAATTTGATATACAAATTTACATATCGAGTTGGGACTAAAACCGACCCAGTCCAACTCATGCCCACCCCTGTTCTCTAAACCATCATTTCAGCCTCCTTCAAAGATTGAATCAGTTTCTCTTCACAAATCCAGAAGCAAAAGAAAAGATGCCTCTGCTTCTCTGATCAGATCTGGGGTGGAGGATGGGGGCTGGGATTTCAGGTTCATGGGTGCTGGGCTTGCGAGCTAGGGTAGAGGGTTCTGGGATCGTGGGTGCTGGGGAAGAAGAAATCATCGGGGGAAGTGGGTTCGTGGGTGCTGGGGTTGGGGGAAGAAGAAATCATTGGGGAAGTGGGAAAGCGCAGAGGAGAGAGAGAGAGAGAGAGAGAGAGAGAGAGAGAGAAATATTATGAATTTACCAATTTGCCCTTAATTTTAATAGAAAATGTAACTAAATTGACAGAAATACCAATGATGCAACATGAGATCTAATTAAAGTACCACAGTAACAATAAAACAATATAATGGACGAAAAGTAAAGTTTGGGTATAGTCCAGAGACTATTACTACAATTTGGCCTAAAATATAACATATAATAAATGATTCCATTATTAATATCACCAAGACCTTTTATGATAAAACCTCACATCTACTAGACTTTGTAAGTAATTAAATTAGGGACAATATCAGTGTTGCTACAATATCAAAGCAGTGGATCGATGGTTGCATTTCCTTGAGACATCCCATGTTTACGTCCATGGAGATGGACTTTAAAGTCTTAACTGCAATAGCATCATGACGTCATTATTACAGCTCGAAACATCCCATGTTTACGTTCATGGAGATGGTATTAACTGCAATAGCATCATGACGTCATTATTAGAGCTCGAACATTCCATGTGGCCATTGACTTTGGCAGTTTGACGTCTTATCGCCTGAATAGCACAAAAGAAATCACTACTCTACAACTCTAATATTAGAATTATTTCTACCACCAAATCTAATTTTTAATCGGTTTGAAAACTTTACTACTTTGTTCTAACATATAGGATCCTTCCTTCCAATCGGAACTTTTTTTTTTTATCTCCATGCACAAAAGTTAGGGTGCAGATCATTCATATTTGTGTAGGAAGCGTTATGTTAAACTATAGGTACACTAGTGGTTTGTGAGTGAAATTTTGAGAGATTCACTATTATACTCAATATAAGAGCCCAAATTATAAAAATATCTTATATGAAATGAACTTTAGAAATACACCCAAAGCCCATTTACAATATAACAAAGAAGCTTTTAACTTCTTATAAATTACAAAACTGCCATCAATTTCTTAAAACAAGCCCAACTCCAAAATCTCATGAAAATACTCAAAACACTCAATAGGGCATCAAAGTAATTTAATAATTAATATTAAATTCAATAAGACCAGCTGTTATTTTTTGGATTTACTTATAAAAATTCAATGGTGTATGGTTTATCTATAATATTAGTGCTAAAAATGAGTATATAACTAAATATCTCTTAAATTTTCTAATCATGAGAGTTAGGCTTCACATTGTCTTTCCAGTTTCTGTTTATTTGTTACGTGGCTTCCTCGTGTACTAATTTTTTTCTTTAATCTTTTGAATATGTTAAAAGAAAAACAAGGGTTTTTATGATGATTTTTTTATACATATATATTTGGTTCTTGAGAAACTCGTGGGAAAAGGTAACCAAAGTTGGATTTACCTTTTTTTTTTGGGTCTGAAAAAGTTGGATTTACCTTATTCTCAAAAAAGTAGAAGTTGGATTTACCTTTGCTCACAATTTATAAGTGGGAGATTAATGCGACACCTCATGCAACCTCCTATATAAACAGCAAACAATGTGATTCTTAGCTCAGAAAGCCTCTTCCATTTTGTTGTATTTCTTATAACTTTAATCTTCTCTAAGTATGGCGATGTTGAAATCGTCAATCGCTTTCCTTGTTCTTGCTTTTGCTTTCTTCTTGTGTTTCATTATGAGCACTAGTGGTGGGTTGCATTACAATCTTTTGCTCTTTATATCATATATGCATATAATTAGAATTACGAAGGAGAAGTAGGCAGGAAATGTCATTAATTAGTACATAACTTTCTTTGGATGAGTTACTATTTGGGAATTATTTTTCTGCATGGTATCTTTCGATTACTCTGATAGTTGTTGAAATAAGTGCAGTATTCATCATTGGAAGCTAAAATGGTGTTCTTCCTGCATAAAATCCATTAACCTTCTCACAATAATTTTCGCAGGATCTTATGTCTATTTTCAATTTGTGCAACAATGGCCACCGACCACCTGCAGAGTTCGCTGGAAACCTTGCTCCAAACCCCGGCCATTACAAATCTTCACCATCCATGGCCTATGGCCAAGTAATTATTCAAACCCAACGATGCCCAGTAATTGCACTGGGTCGCAATTTAACGACAGGAAAGTGGTATGTATTGCTTCATTTTTTTTTTCACTTGCTCTTTAGCATTTAGTTATTAGAAAATTAGACTGCTATTTACAGATAATTTACTTTTTCAATGAAAAATGCTAGGGTATAAATGTATCAAATTGTGTACACATTTTTTTAATAGAAGTGAGTCTCATAGTCATCATGGTATATAAATGTCATCTGTCTAACATTACTCTTTTTCAATAAACCTTACATTAGGCTTAGTATTTTGAATATATACCTAGCTACAACATTGTAAGTGCATTTATATCAGTGCGTATGTTAATGTACCTACCTTTACATTTATCAGTACGCGTGTGCAATTGGATTTTTTTTTTCATTTTAGAATTGAAAAAATAAAAAAAGGGTGTAGTTTTGTTGCATGAAAATATGACCCATAAATTATTTTCTTTAAAAAAAAACAAAAACAAAAACCATTTTGTTTTTTAAAACCATTTCTTTAAGGAAAAAGCTTGGTTCATCCTCAATCTTGAGGAGGAATTCCTCCTTACAATTAATCTGGTTTTAACACATGTCAAATTATTTTAATATTATTTTTTCTTTTTGTTGAAACTTTGTCAATGTTGCTGGAATTTGACAAGTGTCAAAACCACATTGATTTTAAGGAGAAACTCCTCCTCAATCTTAAGGAGTCAAGCCATGCTCATATGAAAAACAATTAATTTATTATATTATCTCATCTAATGAATAGTTTACTAATGAGGTGTTAGTTGGATTGAACCAGGCCTTTGGTATGCTCTCAAATGGTCATGGGTTCAAGTCCTTATGATACTCGTGTGTGAATTTCCCCATCTCTTTCCTAATTTTGGCCCCAAAAAACAAGTCTAATAAACAATTACATTTTTTAATATTATGAAGGGCTTTTTATGAATAGGCTCATTCTAACATGACATATTATACAAGTATCCATATAGAGAAATCCAAAACTAGCCACTTGTCATTTTCTAATTGGTTCTTAGAAAATTTTAACACACTAAAAACCAATTAAAAAAGAACAAGTGGCTAGTTTTGGGTTTTTTTTCTTCTTCAAATAGGCTCTATATGGGTATTTATATAATATGTCATGCAAAAATGGACTTTTTTATTAAAAACCTATATTTTGAATGTTTCACCATTTTCTACCTTGTGTGTGTGTGTATATAGATTTAGAGTTAGATAATGTGTATGATTATCTAAAGAATAATGCTACTCTTATCATATTTATATACCACATCTTTATACCATCTTATATGGCAGTTGAGGTGAACAACCACATCAATTAAAATTATGTAATATTTTCTTTTCTTTTATGATTTATTCCAGTATTTATTTTTCTAATTATCTTAATTAAAATACACTTCATCGATTTAATTGATGTGACATATAATATGGACATGTCACATCATGTGGTATAGAAATGTGGGATAAAAATGTGGTAAGTGTAGCATTACTCTTAGCTAAATAAAGGTCTACAATTTTGTACTTATGTGTATATATATATATATATATATATTACAAATATTGTATCTATTGAAATGACCAAAAGCATTTGACAAAAAAAGAGGACCAAAATCAATTTCAATTTAAGATCATCTCCTATAGAGATGCCAATTTAGAAACATCTAATTTTTATTGAATGGTTTAGTTGGAAATTTGACATCTTTGCCTAAATCCCCTACCACCGGATGTTTTAAATATTTTAGTTATTTTTATCATAAACTACTAATAAAGTACACTTATAAAAGAGTAAAAGGCAACTCTCTAATATCGCTTGAATTTATTTTTTTATTTTAAAAAAAGCAACAGATTTTGTCCCTAAAACAAGTGGGCCAATATAATTTATCTATATATATAAAGGTAGAATGTTTTAAAAGTGAAAACATTCAAAATCACACAACTCCCCTTGGGTAATGAAAATACTAAAATATATACATTTCATTAAATACGGATAACATGGTACATTCATAAATTATTTAAATCAAAATAAATTTAAAAAGAGCATGTAATATAGTTATCCATAAAATTAGGAGAAGTTGTCCATAAAAACCGGAGAAAGTGAAACATGTAAAGACAGAAGGTGTTAAAAGTGAAACATTCAAAAACCCTCAAAATGCCCTTTTTATTTATAAAGACCCTCAAAATGCCCTTTTTATTTATAAAGACCCTCAAAATGCCCTTGAATGCTCAAAGTGTTAAAATACAATAATTTAATATAATGAGGGGAAAATAGTAAAAGTTTAATTGCTAAATTATGAAAATAAAAAAATAAAAAAATCAATTCCACCTAAATAATTATATAGAAGCAATTACTCCCCACCGCGTGAACATTCCTCTAATTTTACCCTCCACTCCACCCACATCCCTCTCTTTTTTGTTATATTTTTAGTTTTTATTTAATGAAAAGACAACAAGACAAGTTGCTATCAATTTTGACAGCAAAGTCTCAGCCTTCATTTCCGCGTAGGAATGGGCTGCTGTGTTGGAAAAAATTATGCTGCCATTTGCAAACGTTGGAACTTCACGTGGCATTTTAATATCTCGGTTCAAGATACTCTAAAACCAAAGTTTAATGAAAATTTTGTCCAAAAATTAAAATATTGTTTGTTTTTGGACGAATTATTTAAAGACTAAATCTACGTCATTGAAGTTTTCACTTTTGGATGTTTCAGTACCCTCAATTGCGGTCCAAACTGAAGAGGTCTTGGCCCAACGTGGAAAGTGGCAATGATACAAAATTTTGGGAAGGCGAATGGAACAAACATGGTACATGTTCCGAACAGACACTTAACCAAATGCAGTACTTCGAGCGATCCCATGCAATGTGGTACTCGCACAATATTACAAATATCCTTAAGAGCGCTTCAATCGTACCACATCCGACACAGACATGGAAGTATTCGGACATAGTATCAGCTATTAAAACAGACACTCAAAGAACACCCCTCCTTCGTTGCAAACGTGATCCAGCACAGCCGAACTCTCAGTTTTTACATGAAGTGGTATTGTGTTATGAATATGATGCGTTAAAGCTGATTGACTGTAATCGAACAACAGGATGCTGGAATAACGTTGACATTAAGTTTCAATAAAATTTTAGCTAAGTCATAATAAAGTAGTATAATTTAGTACGGTGCTAGTGTAATAAAACAAATTGAATGGTTGCACTTACAATTTGATTTGTATGCCATTTTTACGAGAAATTATAGAATGATACCGTATTACCAGTCGGTGATATTCTCACTTAAAATTTAACATGTATACAACTTTTTAAAGAAAAATTTAATATTTATACAGCTTGATTTAAAATCCCTTTTTCAATTTAAAGTTAATTTAACAAAAATGGAAATATCTAAAATAAAAAATAAAAAAATTTCCTCAGCAACATCAACCCCTTCTTTGAACTTGCGACAAAGCCCCCACCCCCACCCCCACCTTTCTGCCATGGCTGCCGCTGGTCTTTCTTTTTTCATGTCTTTGTGTCTTTCTCTCTTCCCCTCCCTCTTCCTCCCTCCTCTCTATTACGAGTTGTTCAAGGAATTTGGATTGAAACTTTGTTGGGGGTGAGTTCATGGTCTTTGAGGAATCCAAGCTTTCAACATATATCAAGAGCAAAATCAAAGTTTTTCTCTTGATTGTGAAACTCAAAGGGTTCATTTGCCATGGGCTGTTTTCATATTCACAGATAGAGAGAGACAAATAGTCATGACAGGGGGCTTCGTAGCCGTTGATGAGGCAAATGATTTTTGGGTTTTCATTTTTCTTTCTTTTTTATTTGTAAGTTTTTAAAATTCTTTAAAATTTATTTTTAAGGGTAAAATGAATACTAAATCTAGTTGTCAAAAAGTTATACACATGTCAAATTTTGAATGAGAGTATCACCAGCTCACGTGGTGGTACGATATTATTTTATAATTTTTCTATTTTTTCTTGTAGTAATACTTTCGTTTTTTAGAGTTTTTAACAAAGCACAAGTTGTCTTAGTCACACCGCATCAAGATTGATTTTTTTTTAAAAAACCCTTGCTCACTTTTTTTCCTTCATAAAAGCAATATTAAAAGAGAACAAATTTGAATATCTAACCTCAAGTGCAAGAGTAACTGCTATTTACAGTTGCTCACTTAAATATATCCCGATCAGGGGCGGCTTTGGGGTGCTCAATTTGTGCCCTTGCACATGGCCCCTATTAGGGCCCCCATTTTTATAACTTTGTTCACATTGTATCTATATATATACAGCAAAAGGCAGAGAATGGTGAAACATTCAAAATACCAGAAAATGCCCTTGGTTAATTCAAAAATTAAGAATTTAAATTATTAATTAAATGAGGATAATATGGTAAATTCACTTTTTTTTTCATATTAAAAAATTTAAAATTAAAAACAAAATCAGATAATAAGTCATACTTTTATGGAACATAACTACCCATGTTATCTTTTCTTAATACTAAAAATAAAAGAAAAAAGAAAACCAATTGGCACATGCATGAGCATGTGCCAAGGGGCTAGTATTATTTTATGTTATTAGTACTGGCCATGAGCATGTGCCAATTGGTTTTATTTTTTATTTTTTTATTTTATGTTTAGAATTAAGAAAAGATAACATAGGTAGTTATGTTCTATAAAAGTAGCACATATTATTTGATTTTGTTTTTAATTTTAATTTTTTTTTAATATGAAAAAAATGTGAATTTACCATATTATACTAATTTAATCAATAATTTCAATTCTTAATGTTTGAATTAACCAAGAGTATTTTCTGGTATTTTGAATGTTTCACCATTCTCGGCCTTTTGCTTTATATATATGGATATATTTGTTTTAACTTTGCACGTCTGAAGGAAAAAAAAACATTCCTTTTTTTTATTGGTGTTGAAATGGGGGGATTAACCCCTAAACACACAAAAACTAAAAGATAGAGACAATACGAGTTCTAGGAACTCTTAACAAATCATCATCAAAGGTAGCCGCAATCCAAATAGGAATCTCATCAAGCACATAATCTACAACATTCCTTTAATTACACATAAAATATTAATATAACATATATTTTGCAAGTATTTTTTGTCCATCAGCTATAGTCTATGAGTTTAGTATTTATAAGAAATTTTTTTATTTTATCGAAAGTATGTATAAGAATTATTTTGCTAAGTTTCAGCGTCATTTCACTCAACTCTGTTTCTCCTTTTCAAATTACCAAATCCTCGAACTTTTTGCTCACTCTCTCTTAATCATAGTTGAAGAAAATCCTTAAATCAATAAGTTCATTCTAATATAGCAATAGCAAAGACAAAGTGAAGTATGGTCCAATTCTTTTTTATAATATTTTCATTGAAGACTTTAATTTATGATGCCTTGTTATTCATTTAGCACAGAACCCTTAAATTCTCATAGCCATCGCTAATCTCATCATTTGAGGACCATAATTTTTTGCAACAAGTGGGAATTTCTTGTGGGCCCTACTGAAAATTCTAGTTTAATAATACGAACTATCTATTTAAGTTTTCGACTCAAGCATCATTATATTGCAAAATAAACCGAAAGAAAAACAAATAACAACAAACTTTATACATCTGTTTAATAATTATTGAGTAAAACCAAACTTTCTACGTAAGTAATTGAAAACAAGAATTCGATTTCGCCATATTTCATGGTGGCCAACTCAATTCCTGTTTCAAGAACTTGGTTGGATTCGTAATCACATAAATCCAGATTTCTTATGCCTCTAATGTCATCTACTCTTAGCATTAAGATTTTGTTATCCATACTAATCCCTGTTGTACAATAATAATAATCCGGAGGATAAATAAAAGGGAGATTTACTAATATACCCAATATGAAGACCCAAATTATAAAAATACCCTATATGAAATGAACTTTATAAACACACCCAAAACCCATTTACAATATAACAAAAAGGCTTTAACTTCTTAGAAATTACAAAACTACCATAAATTTCTTAAAACAAGCCCAACCCCAAAATCTCATAAAAATACCCAAAACACTCAATAGGGCATTAAAGTAATTTAATAATCAATATTAAATTCAATAAGGCCAGTTGTCATTTTTTGGGTTTTTTTTTGGGTTTGTTTATAGAAATTCAATGATGGAGGGTTTATCTATAATATTAGTGTTAAGAATGGGTATATCACTAAATATCTCTAAATAAAAGGACTCAATTGTTTCCACCGTTTTTCTTGCAGAACCCATAAGTCAGCTTTTTCCATGCCCTCCTCCTCACACCCATAACATATAAAAAGCAAGCAAATTTGTTCCTTGTAAACGTCAATATATAACCCCCATAAACTGCAAATGGCATCTGGTGCTATGATTTCTTCGAATTTTTCACTGCCTGAATCGAATGACATAATGCTGAGCATAGGACCTTTCTGAATGATGTGGTATGCTACTCCACTGAAAAACGTACCCCTATGATGTTCCAAAGTGCATTTTAACCAAGGAGGAATTGCTTCAATCATCTTCCAAGAGTCTCTTTTGAGACTATAAACCTCAACCGCCAAGGCACTTTTATTGGTACGCATCATCCTTACAGCCTTGTAGTCATTAACCCCAGGGTGGAACCCGAACTGGAGAGCAACACAGCTAAATTTAATGTTAATGTTGGTGCTCATTGGAAGGGCCCTAAATTTCCTAACCGATGGGTTCCATATGTGTATAGGACTATCGAAATTCAGGATCTCATCCGAAATGCAAACTAAACCATTGCTTGAACCATATATCCCATAATGTTCTGTCATCCCTAAGGGATGGCTTAGTTTGTAGCACTCCTCAAATGTTTCTTTGGGAAAAAGAGACCATTGAAATTCCTTTTTAAGATATGGGTCATTAGGGTCGACCAAACGCTCAAAATTTGGGTGGTGGAGGCAAAGTAGATAAACATGGGTATGTTTTGTCACATTCCTACAAAGGTGTGTGCTAACAAAAATTGAGCTTCCAATCAAATCACTCCACGACTTGCATGTACTCAGAAAGCGAATAAGGGATTTTGCAGGTAGTCTTACTAGGATGTCGATTAAGATTTCTTTCTTACGTAGTGTGAATGTCATCCTGAAGAAATCATAATCAAAATAAGTTAGCATCCAAAATATTGATCATAACAAAACAAGGAAAACAATAGTGCTTTTCATTTTTGCAGAAAGTCCAACGACTCACTTTTGAGGTTGGGAATAGGCAAGGAAGGGAATGAAATTTCCAACAGAATTAAATGACTGTTCATGTGCGTCAAACAATAAAATACAGAGCCTGTTACCAAAAATAAAATAACATATAGAACTGTGCCAAAGAGTCATTTAAAATTAGAATATTTATAACCTCCAAGAAACCTCCTCCCCTTTCCTATCTTCGGCAACCAAAAAAAACCTCCTATAAACAGAAAGCCAAAAGGAAGAAAGAACTGCATTTCAGGGCAGCTTCTCAGGAGTAAAAAATGACTAAGATCCTGGCTGTACGTTATTGAATCGATAATGCAGTGACCAAGTAATTTGGCGTCCTAGAATAAAGCACCACCGCATGACAAGGAGAAAACAATGGTCAATAATGTAAAGAAATCTGTAAAAAAAAAAAAAAAAAAAAAAAAAATCATGATGCTAGCTAGTTTCAACGAACATTTATGCTAATCCAAGAAATTAGGTAAAGACAAACTTTTTATGTTTTTCAAAGCCAAACAAACATTAAAGTTTAGGCTCACGAGTTATTTTAGGGTTTTGATTATGTTGGGTTTGTGGACTTCGTTTGGGTGTATTTTTAATTGTGGTGATGTGGGTGTAGTAGTTTTAGTACGGCTTTTGTCCATGTTAGTTTTGCTTATAGCATGTTAGTTTGTTGTTCTATTGGGATTAGTACTTTATATGTCTTGTTTAAGTCTTTGATTGTACCGTTGAAGTTTATCTAATGAAGTTTCTTTTTGATAAAATAAAATAAAAACATTAAAGTTTAAAACTTCGGATTCATAGTACTAAAATTGAGGGGAAGCATCAAACAACATTCGTTGATGTAATTTGATTGAAATTTGAGTGCATGTTTAGTATCCTACTCAAAAACTATAATTCTTTTTAAAAACTGGGGCGTTGCATTTGGTATGCTATTCAACTAGAGAATTCAAAAACTTTGATTGTTCTTAAAAATAAGGAGTTCTTAAATCAATTTTTTTAAGATTCAAAAACTTGTTTGTTATTCTATTCAAGTAGGGAACTCAAAAACTTATTTGGTATGCAACTTGAAAACAGTTTTTAGTAAAAATTCTTTATTTAAAAAAATATATATTTGTTCAGTTTTCAAATATTTGGCTGTTTTTTAGTTATATTTCAGTTTATGTTTTCAAAACTAGGTCTACTAAACAGATTTTTTTGGTTTAAAAGTTGGATGCAAATCCAATACCAAACAAGCGAGTTGTCAAATACTTATTTTAATATCTAAAAACTTGTTTAGTATTGAACTTCAAAACTATTTTCAAGATCTAAAAAAAGGTTTCAAAAACTAATTCACCTAACTCCATATCTCGGCAGGGGCGAGAGAGAGAGAGAGAGAGAGAGAGAGAGAGAGTGAGAGTGAGAGTGTGTGTGTGTGTGTGTGTGTGTGTGTGTGTATCTATTTTCAAGATCTTAAAAAAGTTTTCAAAAACTAATTCACCTAACTCCAGATCTCGGTAGGGGCGAGAGAGAGAGCCTAATGACCTTGTGGGGGATGGGCCGGGGATAATATTGTTATCCCCATCCTCATACCCGACCCAATAAGTAATATATTTATTTTTAATTAATATATAATATAATATAGCCATGTATGATTATGATATCATATTTATTTAGGAGGGTGTATTCAATTTAGATTTTAAATGATTTTAAAAGAGTTATAAAGTTGATGGAGTTTGACTGAATTCTACAAACTCCACATAGATTTTGACTGAATTCGTGTATAGATTTCAACTGAGTTTGATATAATTTTATTATTGATTTTAATGGAGTGTATTACGATGACGGTGGTGGTGATGACCATGGCGGTGGTGGTTTGTAGGGGAGGTAGTGGTGGAGGAGGTGGGGATGGTGGTGGCGGTGGGAGTGAGATGGTGGAGGTGGTGGCGGTGGTGATGACAATGACAATGATGGTGATGATGCTGGCAATGGTTACAGTGGGGCTGATAGTGGTGGTGGTAGTGGTGGTGGAGGTATGGGTACGGGTGGTGGTGGTGGTGGAGGTGGTGGCAATGTCAGTGATGGTGATGGTGCTTGTGGTAGTGGTGGTGATGGTGGGGGTAATGGTAGGGCTGGTGTAGGGGCGGCGGTAGGTGGTGGTGGAGGTGGCAGTGCTGGTGATGGGGGTGACAGCGATGGCAGTGGTGATGGTGGCAACCACGATGATTGTTGTGGTGGTGGCAACGGCGGCGGCTATGGTGATACTCATGATAAGATGGTGGTAGTAGAAGTGGTGAAATCATATCTTGAGAATAAAAATAACATATCTATCAAAATCTCTTGTTGGGGGGGGGAGAAAAGATTTGTTATGGCCTAAAATTAGTTTATTATCAAACGAAATCCACCATTTTTTATATTTCTTTTAAAATCAATGAGTTTTTTAATACACCCAAATTTTTATGAAATCTTTTAAAGTCGTGATTGAATACATCCAAATTTGAATGGAGTTTAAAAAGTCTGAATTGAATACACCCATAATTGAATAGACTTCTATAAAATCGTGACTGAATACACCTAAACTTTTAAACTTCTTTAAAATATTTTAAAATCTAAATTGAATACACCCTTGTCAAATTGAATTGAGCTTATTTTGAGTTGTTGAGTTGAATTTTATAATTCAATTGAATGTAATTAAGTTGAATGATAATTTAATATGAAATTTAAGTGTTATTATGTAGGATAAATATATTTTTAAATAAAAAAAACCAGGAATTCAGGGCGGATTTGGAAAGTAACCCCCCGAAGGGGGCGGAGCCGGGGATTCCTCGAATTTTTTCTAACGGATATAGGGCCGGTGAGGAAATTTATGGTGACCGTCTTGTTTTTTTTCCTCTTAGAGTTGCAATATACACCCTCAATACTCGGTTTTAAAAAATAAAAAAATAAAAATCAGCTTTATATAAATACATAAATAAACATTTTGGTCCCTTAAGTTCAGACCAAGTGTTTTTTTTTTGGTGAAATGGGGCCAAGAAGGCCAAAACAAAAGAAACTAAACAGCCACAACTCTAGGCCTGGCCAGGCTACAAACATCAGCAGCAAGGCTCTCACGGACACAAGGAGGCGCGAGCTCCAACCGATGAAGGCCAGGGATCATACCATGACTCATGTGAGCCAAACCATCAGCAACATAGTTTTGCTCACGAAACACATGAGTGAGAGAACAAACCCAATCTTGCTGCAACTTCAACTTGCAACAACTTATCAAGCTAAAGAGAGGATGTGTGGAAGCAATGGAGCCAGCGAGAAGAGACACCACAGAATTAGCATCACATTCCACCTCAATATGTCTGCAACCAATCTCCCAAGCCAGATGAAACCCCCAAAAAACACCCCAAAGTTCAGCCTCAAGAGTAGAACCAACACCATGATTGACAGCAAAGCCCGTAATCCAAACCCCTGCAAAGTTTCTAATCACACCACCTGCTCCAATAGCACCATAACTAGAATTCCTACTCCCATCAGTGTTCAACTTAAAAACACCAGGAAGAGGGGCATGCCAATGCACCTGCACAACACACTTCTTGGGAGAGCTAAGCATAGGCTTACAAGCTATAAACCAGTCCATAGCATACTGCTGAATCATCTTATGAGGCTCAGAAGGCATGACAAACCCAGCCTAAAAACAATTTTACACCGCCACTTCCAGATGAACCAGAGGCAAATAGCAAAAACTAAGGGCCAAGATAAATTATCACAACCAACACATTTAGACTGCAGATTGTGCAAAAGCCAAACATCAAAGTCACCATCATGGCAATGAACCCACTCATCATTAAGCCCAAAGCCACTTCAAATATCCATAAAGCAACAACAACCTCTAACTAAATGCTCAATAGTTTCAACAGGGTAACTGCATCTAGGACAAGCAGCACAAGAAGCAAGGCCCTTCTTTTGTCTTTGATAATTGGTAAGCAACTTCTTATGGCACAACAACCATAGAAAGGTTTTAATCTTAGGAGGGATTATAAGCTTCCAAATAAAGCCCCACTGCCACGGAAGCACATTCCCTTCAAGAAAACTGATACCATAAACTGACTTAACAGAGAAGTCACCATTAGGAGTGCACTTCCAGATTCTTTTATCCAGACCAATTCCAAGGAAACCGGCATGAGTGCTTAAAATCATCTGGACAATCTCATTAAGCAAACATTCCTGCAGACAATTCAAATCCCAACAACCATCTTCCAAAAAATCACTTACGTTAAGCTGGAGCATTTCCTCAGATAAATCAATTAAGGCATGACTCAGCATAGGACCATAGCTTAACCAAGAATCAGTCCAAAATAAGATATTGTCACCAGAACCTACCCTCCATTGAAGGCCATGAGGGAGGAGCTTAGCACCATATAAAACACCCCTCCAAGCACTAGAACTGCAACTCAAATGAAGATCCTTGGCAGCAAGAAGGTCATACTGCCTTAAATACTTAGCGTTCAAAATTTGAGACCAAAGACCTTGATCATTTTGAAGCAATCTCCAACCAGTCTTAGCCAACAAAGCTTGATTCATCCAAGCAGTTTTCTTGATTCCCAAACCACCACCAGTCTTAGGTTGACCAATAATCTCCCACTTAACAAGATGAACCTTACTCTTATCCACAGTATGGCCCCAGAGGAAATTCCTATTTAACTGATCAAGTTTATCACAAACAGAGATAGGAAGTTGAGCAGTTTGCATTGCATAAATGGGGATTGCAGAAGTAACTGACTGCAGCAAGGTAATCCTACCAACCATAGAAAGAGTATGACTCTTCCACGCAGACTCTTTGAACCTTCTCAACAATCTCAAGATAAGTAGCCTTAGTAACTCTCTTATGAATCAAAGGAACCCCAAGGTATTGACCAAGACAATCAATAAGAGGAGAACCACTGATAGCAGCAACTTGGCGGGCTAAATCAGAGCAGGTATTTGGGGAAACACAAATCGCAGATTTCTTAAAACTAACCCTTTGACCAGAGAGATTACAGAAATCATCTAAGCATTGCTTCATAACCTTAGCAAGAGCAACAGAAGCTTTGCCAAAAAGGATGAGATCATCAGCAAAGAATAAATGCGACACCATAGGACCCCTTTGACAGATCTGAACAGGCTTCCAGATATTATCTTGAACTTTTTGATGAATAAGATGAGAAAGTTTCTCCATGCACAAGACAAAAATATAAGGGGAAAGAGGATCACCTTGCCTAATCCCACATTTAGGAACAAAAGTTTCAGTTAACTCACCATTAAGGACAGCTCTATACTGGACAGAACAAATACAACTCATAAGAAGCTCAAGAATCCTGCCTCGAATACCAACTTCCCAAAGCACTTCCCTAATAAAATTCCAGCTTAAACGATCATATGCCTTGGATAGATCAATTTTCCAAGCCACAAAACCTTTTTTCCCATTCGAAACTTTAAATTTATGTAACATTTCCTGGGCCACAACAATATTATCATTAATATGTTTGCCTAACACAAAACTCACTTGAGAGGGACTAACAAGCTTAGTCATAAGAGGTCTAAGTCTTGCCACAAGAATCTTAGAAACCACTTTATAAAGAGTGTTACACAGACTGATAGGCCTTAACTGAGGCATAGAAGTAGGCTTTTCCACCTTAGGGACCAAAGCAATCAAGGTATCATTGAGATGCTCAGGAAGAGAGGCAGATATAAAACAATCCTTAACAACTGAGCTGATATCACTAGAACAGAGGTCCCAAAAATTCTGATGAAAAATAGCAGGGAAACCATCTGGCCCAGGGGTTTTAAGGCCTCCAATAGCAAACAAACTATGTTTAATTTCTAATTCCGTGACAATGACACTTAAACTGGCTAACTCATCACAATCAAGCTGAGGAAACAAATAAGGAAGCAAAGAATACGCACCAGTTGAGACAGAGACGTTAAACAACCCTTGAAAATACTCATAAACAATCTGCTTCATACCACTCTTCTCAATCACCCACACCCCATCATCATTATTCAACCCTTCCAACTTATTCCTTCTTCTTCTGATGACAGTAGACAGATGAAAAAACTTAGTGTTCCGATCTCCTTCCCTTAGCCAAGTATTTCGAGATTTTTGAAGCCAGAACATCTCTTCATGATCAAGAATGAGATTATACTCTTTAGTCAACTCAACCTTGTTGGCTGCGCAAATCTCACGGCCTGGTGCTCCGGGCCGAGGGGATGTGCGTCAACACGTGACGTCATTCTTTTGGATGCGGTGCGGTTGTGCGTGGGCGTGCCAGCATGGTCTACCATGCCAGCATGGTCTACCGTGCGTCGAGATGGTGATGAAGTTTGGGTAGAATATGGTTAAATGATGCGCCTGTTTTGCGTTCGACTCCAGATCAAACGATTGTGGCCGAGAGAGGAATTGATCTTGGCCGTCAGGTTCACGGCCTGAGCTACAAGGCCGTTTTAGTGGTGGTGTTGGTGGTGGGTTTTAGGCGGTGCTCCGGCGTGTTGCTCAGAGAGCGACGGTCGTATGATATATAGGGTGAGTGAGATGATAACAGAGATGGTGCTCCGGCGCCTTGAAAATCAAGGGTCGTATGATATATTGATGAATGGATTTTCCTTACAATCTACCACTACTCTTAGGAAAGCAAATAAAGGTATTGAAAGTGCATTACAGGAAAATATAATTTGCTATGTGAGAGGCTTTTGGTTTGGTGTTTGAACCTCTTGAATGTAGTCATGAGCTTAGTATTTATAGGAGGAGTCCTGGAGGGACAATCGATGCTGAAAAGACCTGCGTGGTGGAGCCTGATCGGGGCAAGTGGGTAGTCAAATTGGCATTTGGGATCGTGAAGCATGGTGGTATGAACCCCATAAATCCCGGTAAATCTCAGTCACCGCCCTGATCGTGGGTTCTGCCCCCTTGGCCGTGGGAACGCATTTAATGCCCTGGTGTGGTAGTTGGTTATCTGACCTTAAGTCGTAAGATTACTTGTGAAAATGTCTGCGCCTAACCACTCTGATTTTCATCACCAAATCCTGACTTCAATCACTTCCCTTCTTCCCTTGTGCATTAAATGCTTCTTGCGACTAGTGGGTTTGCTGCGATAGTCAGATGCATTACTTCATTAAATGGGGTGTGGGACCCTGAGGCCACGTGGCGATTTAATCACAGTATCTTCGACCGTGTCTTTTACGGCCTTCGGCTTCGGCCTACAATACTGTGGTTGCGAGGCCGAGAGGATTCTGCCTTTGCAGCTCTTCTTTTGTTTTTAGGAAGGCGAAATGCCTAACGAAACGGTATGTGCCAGGACCGAGAGGAAGTCTCTTCAATCAGTTTATGACCGTAATTTATTAGGCACAAACAAACCTCAAGATTACAGAGAAAGGGATTGGACTGCAAACACAAATTCCGTTGAATACCAGCAAGCCTAGCTAAGAGCTTCTTTTTCTTTTGAAAAAGGCAGCCAAAAACATGCTTATTCCAATGATGGAAAGAAGGAATAAGACTAATAGATTTATGAACAGCATGGCCCTCACTAGAACTCCAAATATCATATATGAACTCAGAGAAATCAGGATGGTTTAACCACATAGCTTGAAACCTAAAAGGCAAAGAAGCTCTGGCTGGGGCATGATTAGACAATAACTTCACCAAAAGAGGGCAATGATCCGAATTCACCCTAGGAAGATGAGATAAATGGGCTTCAGGAAACAAAAGCCGCCACTCAATATTACATAAACCTCTATCAAGCCTTTTCCAAATAACACCCTCAGAATTCCTTTTGTTACACCAAGTGAAATTAGCTCCAGAGAAGCCCAAGTCAACAAGATGATTACGATCAATCCACTCAATGAACCTCTGACCACTATTATCCAAATTACCACCACACTTCTCCTTAGCACACATAATGTCATTAAAATCTCCATGGACAAGCCACGGCAGGTTAAAAGCTTGGGCAAGACCATTAGCCAAAGAGACTCATGAATCCCAGGACAAGGGTTAGCATAAACCACAGAGAGCAACCACCAATGAGTCCCTAAACAAACAAGAGCAGTAATGGATTGGCTAGAGTGTGCAATGACATGAAGAGTGACAGCATTCCCATTCCACAAAAGCCAAACACCCCCCGAAAACCCAACAACATCCACAATATGGAAATGAGAGAACCCCTAAGACTTGGCAACGTTAAGAGCCCTAGGCCCACTAATCCTAGGCTCAAGCACAGCAAAAATATCCACGGCATAAATCTTCTTAAGATCCTTAATAGTACTAGCACATTTATCCTTACCAGCACCCCTTACATTCCAAGACACAATCATCATTAAATATAAGGAACAAGGGAAAAACTTAGGAAAAATCCTAGATATGCAATAGCTTTGCCTCAAGAGCAGAGCCATCATGCTTACAAAGCATACCAGTAGGCAAACCAACAACAGACAAACCAGAATCCGTGAAGTCCCTATGTTGATCCATATCATCAGAGGCAGAACTCACACTAGAAGACTCAGCTTCATGCAGCTTCATTTGGCTAAAATTAGGTGGGTCATGACCATTAACCAGGCCAACCTTACCCAAAGAATAGTCAGTAAAAGGAGAACCAACAACATTAAACGAAAAAACCCCACGAACATCATCTTGCACCTCAGAACCACTGATTTGCAACCCCACAGATTCCAACCCATGAGCATTAACAGGTTTAGCCCCCACTTTATTCCTCCAAGGCTTCCTCAAATTTGGGCCACCCTTAACCACAACACCTCCCACTTTGGATGAAGAAGCATTAGTGATGTCTTTCAAAGGCTTTTTAAAAACCCAAGGTGAAGACTCACGAGGATGCGAAGATTGCTTCCAAACGATTTAGCCTTAGAAATTAGATTAGCCCCAAGAGGACTGGTAGACCTCACATTCCTCCTTGTGCTAACAGGAGTAAACCCCTCCATATCATCCTTCCCACTATCCTCCTCAACAAGAACATTGAACCTGGACCCAGAAAGGATATCAGCATCCTTAGACCCAGACTCCTTTGAATTAAAGTTTCCTAACTCAGGAACCTTCCCTGACTCACTCACCACCTTCTTTTTATTAAAACTTCTTGGTTTCATTAACATCCACTGCCCATGCATCTTAGCTGGAATCTCAGCATCTTTGGTAACAGGATTATTCACACTGAGCCCACCACTCTTAGCCGAAGTATTAACCTCCATATTCTCAGCATGACCTGAATTTGACTCCTGTTTTTGGCTTGCAAAATAACAGGGCAAGAGTCTCTACCATGACCATAACACCCACATTCAAAATAGACTAATTGAATACCCTCATATACCACCCCATAAGAACGACCTTCCACCTTAATGAAAGGGGTTAGAGGTTTAGCTAAATCAAGTTCAACACAAACTCTAGCAAATTTACCTCGAGCTTGACTCATGGTATGAGCATCAACCTTAACAGTGGTACCAATAAGATTCCCAATCTTCTTCATAACATCTGAGCGAAAATACTCCACATTCAAGCCATTAATCCGAACCCAGGCAGTCATATGAGTGATCTTTTCTTCTTTGGCATTAAACCCAGGCTTCCATTGTTGGGTCACCACATACTGCCTAGCAATTTGCTAAGGACCACCCGAGAGAACATATCTCATATCTTCCGCTAACAGGAACTTAGCAATGAAATAATTGTTCTCCAAATCGATTAGGCTCATCAGACCCTTAAGATCCCACTTCTGAAGGAGACGAGTCCTCAAGAAAGCATAAGATAGAGGCCAACCCATGAGCTTCAGAATTACAGCCGTACGCCATGGCTGAAACAAACAACTCTTAACTTTATCAGAAAATTGGATTGAAGGGATCTCCCCTTGTTCGATTACAAAATCATCATCACCAATCACCAATTGATCCTCAGCCATGCCAAAATCCCCAGAAACCTTATCCTTGAAGCTCATCGAAATTGGAGGCAAAGGGGGAGGAGGGTCATCTGAATCCAATCCATCATCTCCTGAGTACGAGCTCTCTTCTCACCAGCAACTGGGCCCTCCTTGACAGAGCCACCCACGCCGGCGGAGAAGACAAACTCCAGCATCACAGACTCCACCTTGAGCGGTGGTAACGGTTACACAGCGGAACAACAACAAAAACGTGAAAAAGAGAGAAGGAGGAGCTGGGCGCGTGGAGCGCGTTCTCACCGACCCCCCATTCTATTCTTTAACGTTACAAAGGCTTTAGATTGTTGTAAAAAAAAATTTATTTATTTATTTTAACTACTCTTCGCTTTATGTTCAGCCCAAGTTTTTGGGTTTTAGCAAACCCATTTATTTTCTTTTAAGCCCAATACAATGAGCCAAATGTTTTGTCTTATATGTAAATTGAGATACATCGGCTTTTTCTCAAAAATCCTGCAGCCAAATATTTCATTCTCTCTTATTTTGTTTCTTTCAAAAAATATCTTCATGCCTTGTTAGCACCTTATAGTGCTTATTAGTGACGACTATATAAGCTGATGGTAGCAAGATTTAAGGAGGAGGTGGAAGGACTAGGTAAGAGGTGGAGAGTCTATAGGAGGATGTGGCTGTTGGTGATGAACTTAGATTGCTTTGTGAGCAATCTATATGGCTGACTAATCCCGGCTAGTTTGCTGAGTAATCCCAGCTATAAAGAGGAGGTGGAAGATCTAGTAATAGTTTTTAATCATGACTTTTTCACCTATAAATAGTTGAAGTTGGAGAAGGATTTTTCATATGAGTTTTTAGCTCACTTTACTAGTAGAGAGAGAGAGAGAGAGAGAGAGAGAGAGAGAGAGGAAGAAATCTGAAAGAGAAAAAGAAGAAAGAAGGAAGTTTTGAGCTTTGGAAAAGGAAGGCTTAAGGGTAAGAGTTTTTATAGTTTTAGGTGTCTTTAGTAAATTCTTTAGTTTTCAATTTGAAGTTCAATGCTTTGTATTATGTTTTGATATGAAATTATAACTTTCTCTTATTATTTTTGTGTTTCTACGATTCTATTTGAACCTTTGTTTTCAAAGAAAATCATCAAAATTTCAGCATAATGCATATTTCATATTTTTCTAACCTCTCTTTCGACTCAATTTTCTTTCATTACAAAGTTTCTTTTGAAAAACGAATTCCGTAACTTTGAAAAAAGTTTCATAAGCTTTAAATCAAGTATTTATACGAAAATTTTCATGGAGATTTGATGGGTTAAAGTTATGTATGAACTTGGACTGTTAAAACTCGAGCAAAATGCTGGGCAGATTTTCTCTACTCGTATATGTTATTTTAATTCGCAATATCTTTCATTCCGGAGCTCGATTTTTAATAATTTTAAATGGTTGAAAAGCTGATTCTTCAAACTTTAATGCTGTTAAAGTGGTCCGTTTAAACCATTTAAATTGAATATTCTGGTTTATGTTCTTATTGTTGAAGCTTTGTTAATTCTTTTACATTTGTTTTTGTTTATGAAATTGGGTTCACTACAAAAAAAAAGTGGCAATAGTCACCATTTTGTCACCAATTTTGGTGATTGTTGTGGAGGTTACTAAAGGCTTTAGTCACCTTAGTCACCTTTTTTGACTTTTTTGGTGACTAAAAAGACTTTTAATCACCTTTTTTGATTTTTTTAGTGACTAAAGCCTTTAGTAACTCTCACAACAGTCACCAAAATTGGTGACAAAATGGTAACTATTGCCACTTTTTTTTGTAGTGGTTATGAATATTGTTATTATATAATGCTTTCCATTGTTATGACTTGCTTATCATTGGTTGTTGGAGTAAAGGAGTTCATTACACTTGGGTTATGAGAAAGGAAGTTAATTATTTCTTTTTTTTGTTCGGAATCGAGTTTCATTAAATAGAAGGTCAAAGTCAAATTACATTAAAATGAACTCAATTAGTTCATACAAAATGCAATACAAACAAACATATAACCCACTACAAATAAAACTAACAAAATGCATAAAGCACACATAATGGCAAAAAGCCCACAAAAGGCAAAAGCCCATAAAACACAACACAACATTAGGAAACCCTAACATTAATAACAGGTATGTGCCGCACAATCCAATAGCCACAAGCCACGCGACAAAAGTAAGCCAACAACCACCAAAGAGAAACCAGTAACCAACAGAAAATGGTGGTGAGCAAGCCACCCAAGCTACACCTAATAGGAGTAGCGCTACCATAATCCAAGCAATAAGTGCTATTTGCACTTTAAGGGCATCCCAAACTCCATAAGTTCCACCTAAGATAAACAATGAAAGAAACATTCGTGGAGTCAAAGAGCCGATGATAGTGGTTAAGACCAAACAATCGATGTGACACAACCTCCAACATTGAGGAGAGAAAATGCATTGCAGAAACTTGTAAAGAGCACAGCAAGCTCGAACACTCTAGGAAAAACACAGATCCAACAAAACCACCCAGAACGACCAAAATAGATAGGCAATCCCTGGACACGAAAAGAGCTCGCAGCATTAGTCGCCACCATAAGACCACAGGGCAACCGATAGATTGGGCAAACAAACTGAATCCACCAAGACCAACCCTAGATCCTAGCACAGGCTGGGAGGGAGAGGAAACTGGGTCAAAACAGGGGATTCAAAACCCAGATTTGCAAAAGAAACAAAACCAAATACGAAGGGCCAAAACTAAGCCACCAAAACCCAAACGCCCAGCCTAATCAAAGAAAAGGAAAAGAGAAATAGGAAGAGGAAAGAAAGCAAAGGAGGGAGGGGAGGAACAGACTGGAAACTAGGAAGGAAAAGGGTAAGTCTTCAAAACTAGGGTTTTCTTTCTAGAGAGAGGGAAGCCAGAGAGAGATTGTCTAAACCCAAAACCTTAAGTTGAGTCTAACCAATGAAATTTCGATAGAAATATCGGGAAATTTTTCTTGAAACTTTGGAGGATATTTATTTAGTCAATTATCCATTATTTTATCACAAATTGGAAGGAAATGCATTGCATGATGGGTTTAACTAATTTAAGTTGATTATATAGTGAACTGACAAACACTGCTAGTGTAGTAATTATGTAATAATTAATGAAAGAAGATTAAACACACCATAATAATTTATTTATAATGATTTACTACAACATTATACACTTTATACATTGCATGGTAAGATGTATGAGTGATTTAGTACCACATAGAATTCCTATAAGGTTCAAATTTGAGTTATTTACACTAACACCTCCTGAGGTTTTGGGTATTTTCACAAAACTCGAGATTTTAGAAATTACAAGAACACCTCCTGAGGTTTTAAATTGTTTTCACAAAACTCATTTCATTGATTTTTCATTCAAAGATTAATGATTTTATATATAAAAAATCTCCAAATGACAAAGTTTGGTCTTTGAGATTAGATTGCATTATACTTCATTGAGGTTATTTTTTTGCATAAGTTTTTTTTTTTTTTTTTTTTTTTTTTTTTTCCCAATGAAATCATAATTTTTGGACACACAATCAACAAAAAAGGGTTTTGTTGTAATTTTTGAGACCTAAGGGGGATTTGTGAAAACACAAGAAACCTCAGAGGGTGTTAGATTAAAAAATTCTTCAAAATTTTCATCTCGATATTATAGAGATATTTTGGCTAAATATTGCTGAAGTTTGAGAGAAATTATCGACATTGATATTTTTCAATATTATTGTCGATATTTATACGATATGTGTATGGATAAATTCCAAAATATCCTTAACTTGAAAAAATGATAATATCCTCAATATTTCGTCAATATTATCAATATTTAGACTATGAGTCTAACTATTGTGGGGACCAAGTTCAGGTGAGCCCGTGTGCACAATAGAATAGGACATCGGTAGTATAATTGTCGATTAGGTGATTTAGGCTTGGAGATCAGTGGTTTAGACTAGGGGTGGGCTCGGTCTGGGTTGATTCGGTTTTGGGCTCAACCTGAATACAGAACCGTAGGCCTCGGTTTGGCTATTTTGGAAACCGAAACCAAACCATAATTGATGAAAACCGACCATTTCGGTTAACCGGACTTGGTGGGTTTGTTTGGTTTGGTTTGGGTTTTTTTGGCTTTCTGAGAGAGAGAGAGAGAGAGAGAGAGAGAGAGAGAGAGAGAGAGAGAGAGAGAGAGAGAGAGAGAGAGAAGAAATAAAAGTGATGGAGAGAGGGAGAGATGGAGAATAAGAAGAAGAAGAGGAGAAAAAGGAGAGAGATAGAGAAGAAGAAGAAGAAGAAGGAAAAAAAAAGAGGTAGACGGGGAGAGGGAGTGAAGATAGACGTAAGGTGAAAAAAAAATAAAGAGAGAGGGACTGATGGAGACAAGACAAACGGAGAGATGAAGAAAGAAGAAAAAGAAAAGATTGAAACTATGTGTTATATATATATTTTTTATAATAATATTATATATAATTTTTTTTTAATACCATTGGTTTGGTTTGGTTAAACCGTGGTTTTGAATATTGCAAACCGTACATCGAGCCATATATTTTGGTTTGGTTTGGGTTCAAATTGATGACCAAAAAAAGATTTTAAAAAAAACCAAACCAACCCAAACCATCGGTTTGGTTTGGGCGGTTT